AATGTTCCTGACACTCCTGTGGTCAAGATCTAAATATACCAACAACCTTGATGTGCTTCAACATCACACGATTCAATTGATAAGTAGACGGAACAATTATTATTACGAAGGTAGGAGAGACGTTAGAGGCTCTAGAAGGAAATGAAATTCGTTATAGCGGTGGTGTGACAACGAAATAACGTGTAGTAAGGTATTTGTCATCCATAATTTGAAAATATTCAATACTGATTGATTGTAAAAGGATATCAAATATAAAGGTGATAAGCGGGGATCTCTAGGATTGAAGCTCACCAGCAGTGTAAACAAGGCTGCTAAAAACACAGTCGTCAAAAAATAAATAAAAAAACCCCACAAAACTGCACCATGCATCCACGTGTACGTCGCCATTATTCCTATCTTATCCCCACCGAACGGTGTCATAGTTTCAGTCCTATACCCAGTGTAAGGCTTTCATTTTCATATCTTTTACACTCTGAACAATGTTATTTACTTATTTTTCAAGGTGTAGAGTGCCATCATTCCTATCTTACACTCAGTGTACGGTGCCATAATTCCTATCTTACACTCAGTGTACGGTGCCATCATTCCTATCTTACACTCAGTGTACGGTGCCATCATTCCTATCTTACACTCAGTGTACGGTGCCATCATTCCTATCTTATACTCAGTGTACGGTGTCATCATTTCCATCTTATACTCAGTGTACGGTGCCATCATTCCTATCTTATACTCAGTGTACGGTGTCATCACTCCCATCTTATACTCAGTGTACGGTGTCATCATTCCTATCTTATACTCAGTATACGGTGTCGTCATTCCTATCTTATACTCAGTGTACGGTGTCGTCATTCCTATCTTATACCCAGTGTACTGTGCCATCTTTCTTATCCTGTATCAAGTGTACGGAGTCATCATTCTTATCTTATACTCAGTGTACGGTGTCGTCATTCCTATCTTATACTCAGTGTACGGTGCCATCTTTTTTATCCTGTATGAAGTGTACGGTGCCATCATTGCTAATTCATATTCTGTTAATGGTGTATTTTTTTTATCATATGCTGACTACAGTGTCATTTTCCAATTCTACACCAAGTGCCCGATGTCATCTTTCTTAACGTGTACTCAGTGTATCTACATCTCTCCTAGCCAAGGCCCGGTGTAATTTCCCTCTTTCCTGTCCGGTGCTCGGTGTACAGTGTTCTCTTAACTTTCATATCCATTGACCAGTGTACGGTGGCCTCTTTCCTACCCGATACTCAGTGGACGGTGTCATCTTTTTTGTCATATACCAAGTTAAAGGCGCAACTTTTCCTACCCATTACCCATTGTAATATTTACTGTACTATACCCAATGCATAGTGTCATATTTATTATAGTATACCCAGTGTGTGGGGTCATATTTACTGTACCACACCCAGCGTACAGTGTCATATTTATTATATTATACTCAGATGTGGGGTCATATTTACTGTACTTTACCCAGTGTAAAGTGTCATATTTACTGTACTATACCCAATGTACAGTGTCATATTTACTATACTCTACCCAGTGTACGGTGTCATATTTACTATACTCTACCCAGTGTACGGTGTCATATTTACTATACTCTACCCAATGAACGGTGCTGTCTTTCCTGTGCTAAACCCAGTGTACGTTGTCATTATTACCTTACTATATACACACTGAACGGTGCTGTCTTTCCACTTACATCCATTGTTTCTTTTCTCATCTAACCGGCCTCATTCCCACTATACTACTCTCAAGTAGTAATGAGAGAAAAAATCAACAACACAGTTTAACAAAAGCTCACTCTGAAATAGGGGATGAGTTGTATGATAAGGCCTATTGATTTTGACTTGTAAACATATATATAGTTCTAAGTAGTAGATGTCATTGTAACAGGCAGTGTTTCAAGTAATGATGAAAGGGGTTTTTGAAGTACTATCATTAAGTATTTGGGCAGCTATACTTAGAGATGGTCATTCGCCTGATGTAAGGAGTATTTTTTAAAATTTTGCGGTAACGTGTTGTTGCTTACTGACATGTGTGCAAAGTAGTGTGATTGATTACAGTTAACTTTTAAGTTTGACAGTAGTTTCATTTTGGTAACAAAATAAGCAACTAGCATATAAATTGTACAATATATAGTTATCTTGGGCTTATTAGTGATGAATACAGAACATGATTTCTTGACTGGTGTATGGTATCAGTGCTGCATATGAAGAGAGTGTATCCTTTGTATTTGACTGGTGCAATATGGTAATTAAGACAAAGTAGTTTTCACTTCAAGCAAGTTCACACTGTACTTGTTTTCATTTTTGTCATGAATGTTGTGATTGTTGTTGCATCAATTTCAAACAGTTGTTGGATTATAGGTTTACCTTCTCTGCACATGTATGTGAATGTTCAGTGTGAAGGCAAACAACGTGCTGCACTTCATTAGAATCGCCTGTAAGCGAGATCCGATTGTATATTACCTTACATTGTTTTGCTGTGGTCTCCTTATTTCCTAATCCACCAAAATTCAAGAAAGTAGCCAGTGGAATTATATTATTTATAAATTACTCAAATAAATATCAAGGCATACCTTTATTGTGCACCTGATTTTCTTGTGTCATTTTGCAGATTCACCCTGCATATTGTTATGTATTAAAATATGAATGAAAATGTCCCTTAGTTTCATGTTTTTATTAAGACTCCCACAGTCACACTGCATGTGACTAGATATATTATTAATTAGTGCATCTCATGGTCAGAGGCTGTTAGCTGCTGTGTGGTACTTTGCATTCAGTGTTCTGCATGCTGATATAACCTTTAATAGATTGGCAATATGTATTCACACATATTATTCACTCTACAAATTAAGTGCGCAAATCCTGTGATATATTGTTCCTTACCCCTACCCCCACCACCACCCCCTTGAAATGAGGTCCAGCAACTCATGAGGTCTGAAGTCGCATGAATGACCCTGATATATAACTAATTGCACTTTGATATTTAAGCCATCAGAAATATATATCTATATAGCCTTTCTCATTGCCACAATCAAGTTATTTATTACTATTTAAAAAAAGGATGAATTTGAATAAAATGCTATTTATTATTTCTTAATTGTTCTATTTTATTGTGTTTTTTTTTCTTCTTTCTTTTTTTGTTTGGAGCGGGGGGGGGGGGGGGTATTATATGTCAGTTTATTGTTAAAATTATCCTGTGCAAAATAACTGAGGAGTATATTTTTTTCAGTAATCTTTACATTTTAAATATTTTCGTTATTTTTTCTGTAATTTTGATTCCCGATAACTCCACTTTAACATGACTACAGCATAGAACTTGTTCTCCGCTTTAAAATGAAGTATTAGATGATACATGGGCTAGTGACCGAGCTACACCTTTTTAGTGGGATTTCTATCATGAGGCTTACTGTATAGCTATGGTTTGGAGCTAGCGGCAATACCTTCCCAAGATGGTGGCGCTGCAGACACGTTGCGTCAACAGTCGCGGATAGGCCGTGCGGCATCTAGGTTAGATATCTATGATCTCATTTGTTGAATCAAGTAATCCAAGGGAGGAAACTCGTGAAAATGTGACCTGAGTAATTCACCACAAAATTCGCCGCTGTGGACACTTTGGAACATTGATGATTACATACATGCAGATAATTAGATATGTATATATATTTTCTGTTTTATTTTTCCTTGTGAGAACATTTAAGGTATTTTAAAATTTCTGTTTTTTATTTACAAATACATTATGAATGTTACCATTATAGTTTATAACTTAAGGTGACGTTAAAGACGCTATACTCAAACTTTATCAAGTCTTTACCTAAAAATAAATATTTCACGGACATTTGAATTTACGCTAATTGTTGATCGTAATTGTCCACATATATCAATGTTTAAATATGGCAACATTTTCTTGGAAAATCTTAAGAAAGCTTAGAAGATATCGAATAAGATGCACCAACGTACCAGGCATACAAGTGAAACATTATGTACAATTGGCCTAGAACATAGAAACAAACTTCATACAGTTACTCGTCTTCACTCTACATGGTAAGCTAGGGAGGTACAACTTTAATAATCGCCTAATATCAAGTCAATTCGTCGCTATATCACTACTGTAATATAGCATGGAACATTTTCCATTGGCTGCCCCAATCAGAAATGGCATGTGTGACGTCATGATATAAACAATGAAATTTCGTCATAAATTGAAGTGGCGCAACAAAATGGCTGCGTCTGTCTTATTTTTTCTCTCTGCATTTTGACTTTAAAGCATATCCCACTAAAACCACAAAATGTAACTTTCCTTAGACGTGTAATAAAAATTATCTTATGGAATCATTTGTTTAGTTCATCCATTTCATGAAATCTATGAACCTCGTCAGTGGCGTAGCAATAATGCATGCGTGTATGCTATAGTCTAATTCTGCTGAGATAATTGTTTTAATCTTGTTTTTACTTTTACTTCTAAACAGATGGTTATGGCCTATATGGATCTTTAACTTCCGGCCGAACTTTTAAGGCTATTTTAACAAACCTCATTTTCATGAATCTTCCTTAAATTTTCCACTGGAAAGCAGAAGTCTTTCCCCTTTACTTACATAACGCATGAAAGTGGGGCCAGTAACTAATCTATCAGTGTGTAAGCACCCGCTATGAATACCATTGATTAAACAATACTTATATCCTAATGAACCATTTAGTTAAGTCAGAATTCAATATGTAGTTATAATAAGTTTACACTTGATACTTCAGACGTCATTGGTTTGCGAAATAATCCAAAAGAAGCACACAAAGCAAATAGAAACGAAGTTATCTTTTCGCGCGCAATACAATGCGAGGCCACGTGATAGACATCGTCATAGTGATTGGATTGTTGAAGCCGCCATGTTTGTTTTGGAATGTTACCCTTACATGTGCATACCGGTTGTATTCTTCGTTAAAATGTAAAACATCTTGAGCATTTGGGTAGTCAGTAATTTGAACAGTATCAAAATGGAACAGGAGTTTGCAGTTTCTCCAGATTTTGATGAGAATATACAATCCGATGGTGAAGATTCCGAAGATTCGGCAAATTCGATATCGAGCGAGCTTGGCAGAATAGGAGCAGGGTCAAGAGCGTCGGGCGCTGGCACGCCGACAGAAAGAGGTCTTGCAAAAACGAAAAGAGAGGAAAATATTATTCTTAAAACTATTGAAACAACTAAGGCGCTGGGATCAAATACGTTGGATTTGTGTCATAAGGGATTACTACAGATTCCACATGAAATTTTGGAACTCTCTAATTTGGAGGTATTAAACACTTGGAGTCTATAGAAACCATGCGACGTAGACGACATCATGTTAAAAAAATCTTTCTATTGCAATAATTAAATGTAGACATCTATTGATAGTCTAGAATTAAACATGCTAAGATATCCCGTAAAATATTATCTTGCTAAATAGAACAATAATAGATAAATAGGCGTACCTCATTACTAGTTGATTAATGCTAGTTTTGGTGCTCCAGATGGTAAGAGTAAGTTTATGAAGCTGTGACAGATGATAGCAACTTGCAATCTTGAGTTTTTGTGGCAAGGATTATGTGCCTGGGTCATCATTGCCATTCAGGAGATTTTTTTGTACATTTCATTGAAACAATAAGCAAACTGAAAAAGTCTTAATTTGGCAGCCAGGTGTATATCAACCTCTTCGTGAATACAAACCCACATCAATAATGATATCAATGCTCTGTAGTGCTTAGGGTGCAGCGGGGTATTTTCATTGATTTTTTTTTTCAATTTGTGAGGGTATAAGACAAAAACAATAAAGGATAAAGGGGATATGTGACATAAAGTCCACAATTGTAGCACATTGTACTACTGCTACAGAGAGAAGATTCAGTCGTGAGATTGTATGTTGGAAGAAGTATCTATATCCTTTGTAGCTGATGTTCATTTTTTTTGAGGTGGGGTGTACGTATCTAGTTCTTTTTTTCATGGATTAGCAGGGATAAGGATGGAAGTGTTGAGGATTGCAACTTTTTGATGTATAATTTTATAGAACAGGATTAGCCTGGATTACAGCCTACATGTTTGTAGTGTCTGCATATGAAATTGGTGTAATATGTCTGTAAATCGAGTTGGTATAATGATTTTTGTTGTCTATGCAACCTGCTGCTCTTGTTTGTTCTTTCTTAGTTTTTGTGATTTAGCTTGTGTTAGTGCTTTGTATGCATGTTCTTATATTTGTGGAGAGTTAATCTTGAGGTTGCATTTCAGTTAATTGGAAGTATTCAGACTATCTATGATGTAAAGATAAAACATTCTTCTACTAACTTGCATATGTGTGATAGCAATCAAATATTGAAAATATGTTGTATATACTGGAAAGTAAAGTTGTTTGGGAACATGAAAGGAAATAATTGGGGGAATTCTCACTATCGACTGCAACCAAGGCAAAAATCAAATGCATGATACATGCTTGGTCAGAACCCATCAGACTACGTTTAAGTTAGCCTTATGACTTGTTTCCATTTACTGTGTTGATGTGTAGTAGTTTGTTTTGTAGTGCAATGCCTAGATTTCTGCTTGATTCTATGTGTTCTAGTGTGTGGTTTGTAGTTGTGATTTTGTTGTGTTTGGATGTGATGCTAATGTTGCATTTGTTTGGGTGAAATAAAAAAGCCATTCTGTCTCTCATTGTCCTGCAGCACCCAGATGTAGTTTTAGTGAACTGTCTTTGTTTTTGTATTGTCGTTTATATGATGCTGATGTCTACAAAGTGTCTTAGTGTGCTGTCATTCATGTATTAGTGGAAATTGTTAATGTAAATTTTCCAAACAGGTTCCTTGAAGGATTCTGGATGTTACAGAATTACAACTTCTTGGGTATAAAGACTAGTGAGAGAAATTCTTTGATCATGCATGTTCTCTCCCATAATACTTATTAGATTCTATTGGTGAAATCAGATACACAATCAGGTACTTGATGTACCTACAGTTTATATGTAGATTTGAAACAAGTTGTTACATCATCACACTGAAGGTAATTGTAATTTTCTGTTTACAGTACCTATACTTGGAAGGTAATGAGCTATCAGCTTTACCAGATGACTTTTTTGACAAGTTGCCAAATCTTGTGTGGTTGGATGTGCGCCGAAACAACCTCCTTCGTCTTCCCAGTGTATACACAGGGCGCCATCAGCATTTACGCTCTCTGCTACTGGAGAGCAATCGTCTTCGCAGCCTTCCCTTAGAATTAGGTGAGTAATGACAACTGATAAAAACTAGGTGATATTGAACAAGTATTTTAGTGATATAAACTTAGAATTAGGTGATAGCATTATATACCTGGTATTTATGTCTGTATTAGATATATATCATTGAAACTTCATTAAGTTTTAGATTTCAGATATGAACACCAAAATATTATTGCCATTTTATCCTTATTTTTAAGTGTTCCACAATACATTTATAAACCCAAGGTCATTGGTATTAGATGATTTACATCTTATTTTTTTCTTGTGTTTTAGAAGAAAAAGATTTTATCTTTGAATAAACTGAATATGCAGTTTCATTATGATATGTATATCACAATCTACATTAAGTTTGAGCAGACATTTTTTACAAATACTGTAAACATACTTAATTTGGGGCAATCAAATTTTAGTGCATTATCACTTTACAGCACAATGATGAATTTGTGCATCCAATATAATTACTATATAATCAGTATATTGAAATTACAGTTAGCATATTTTTATTTTAGCACAATTCTTTCATTGCAGACAAATGCTAAAATAAGATTACCGCTAAAAGATGTATGTTTACGATATTTAAAATCCCATATCACAAGTGTATGATTCACATCATCAGATGCTGAGTTACTGAATATGAAATGACAAATTAGGGTATCAGTAAAATGTGCTTATCGAGGCTACAACTCAGTGGTTCTTATTCCACACAGAAACTTCTGTGTAATGATATTACCTTAATCTTGTCCTTGGGTAAGTTTACATATCTATATTGGTATGCATTGAAAGAACAGTGGAGTGGTACTCTAAGTATGTAAATAATATGTTGGTGTTAAATTGATAGATCTCAGCTTATAAACATTGATGAATATTGTGAAAAATTTCTTTTGGTTTGTTTCAGGACTGATAAAAAGTTTAAATGGCCTAAATACCAGTAATAACCCTATTGAGTTCCCTCCTAAGGAAGTAATGGAGAAAGGTACCACAGCTATCCTCCAGTTTCTACGGGAAATGTTGCATGCAAAGTCAACAGGAAAGATGATGAATGGGGGAAGTGGTGAGTTTTTCCTATTGAATGTGGTAAAGCTTTTCAGTCAATCAGGAAGCAATTATACTGTACTTGTCTATTTTTTTACTGGAATTTGTTTGACATGTCCCTGTACATGTCGTTAGTTTCATGAGACTTCATTGAGTTTACATTATGATAATGATTTGATTAACATATAGGTGACACCTGATTGACAAAATTGAAAGCTTTTTATCAGTGGAATGCTGGTTTCTATGTACAAAGATAAATTTGTAGCTGAGCTGTTTTTTTCTATTTTTGGAAAGTAGAGGGTTTGAAATGTACCTTTATTTACTTAAAATTCAAAATGATGATAGTGACTTGTGATGATGTGATATTTGAGGTATTTGGTACCTGGCTATCACAACTTTTCCATTTCATGATATTCTTTGACAAATTTCTAACATAATATTTCTACCATATTTTTCAAAAGATTGACATAACCATCTCATTTTGATGTTCTACAGTGTTGATCTGCTTAACATACAATAATTATGTGTTACTGTTGTAGGTGACAATGGTGCTGAAAATCAATCCAGTTCTAGTTCTGACGACTGGCAGGATGAAGATGACCTGAGGAATTATGCTCGACGTAAACACATTGGCAAAATGGAGGATACGAAGAGTACCACCACAAAGTCATCTGATATGTTTGGAGTGGTACCTCATTCTGCTGAGCTCCATCGCCCAGTCAGTTACACAGAGATGAAACAGGAGAAAAATGAGAAATTAAAGAAAGCTGGGGCAGCAGGAACTGTGGACAGGTAATTATACATTTTACAGAGTTGAATGCTGTTAATATTTTTTGAAGGTAATTTTAAGTTTTATCTTAAATTGTGAGCTGTATATTCTTATTGTGTTCTTGCAACCTTAATCTCTTCCAGTATAAATATGTCTATATATATATCATATTCTACCAAGAACAGACTAGACAAAACCTTTTAAACAAGAAATATTTATTGAAGAAAAAAGAAAATATTTACAATTTATGCTTTGGAATAGAAAGCAATGAATTCTCTGTATGTTATGTTTCAATCAGATAGATCTTGTCCCCAGATTTATAAGACTAAAATCTTTACCAAAATTCTGGGGGAAACATGAATGAGCATTTAGGAAATTACCAGGTATGGGAATGTTGTCCAAAGTAGTAAATTTGGAGATTCACTTAAACATATGGTTACAATTTGTTGTAATAAACTATAATGTAAAACGAGCTGTACATGAATTCCTTAATAGTTTATATATACTCTTCCAGGCGAGAGTTTGGCATGAGACATGTCACATATCAAAGGAAATGGTTGCGGTAATGAAAAACATGTCAACATTAGATAGTTATTTTTTTCCCTATCTAGCATGAAGAAAGACAGTACTGTATTATTTGGCCTTTATAAAAACACTGACAGTTAGAGTGATTATTGAGTCAGATGTATTCACTTGTAGATTAGTGAAAATATCATCAACACAAGCAGCCTGTGTGAAACTCAACTTAGGCATTTGATTTTTTTCTGTCTAGTTTTCTTAGATTATCAGAAAACAAAATGATCTGAAACCATTTTACTTGAACGTGATCTTTTATATATATATATATATATACCTCCCGTTTCTATGACGTCACAATGTATAATCAAGTTGTTGATGACGTCATAGATTGTGACCATGTAGGCAACCATGTAAGCCTGACAGTACATGATGTAAAGCGTCTGAAGATTAATACATGAAAACGCTCATGCTTTACACTTAAATGCACATCGTGTTTCTGATTATTATTCTCATACATATATATAATGAAAATCCCATTTTATTTTTCTTTCTTTTTTTTTTTAAATAACTCAACTATTTGCTTCACTTTTTTACTGCAATTTTGTACATTTCATGTTATATTTACTTCTACTTACTTTATAGAGGATCTTTATTTTCATGCTCAGTCTATTTGCTCTAATATCATTTCAAATGTGTTTCCATTTTTGATACTTATCTGTTATCCTCAAATTAAGAGCCACTCTTATGGTTTATAAATACTCAAATGCAGACAAACATTTTTGAAAAAAACTAGTGTTATAACTAAATGATAGCCTGCTATTCATGGAAACACATTTGATCTTAAACCTCATATTTTCTTCAGATTTTCAATCTTTCCCATCTTTTATTCTTTCATTCTTTTGTTTTCTCATGGTATTTCATCACGTAGTTACTGGTTAGTACGGAGGGAACTGACACCAGATACCAACTCTAGCATATACTTCATCAAACAAAGTCACAGCTCCCTGTCTTGTAGAAACTTCATTAACAGGTACTCTAACAAGCTTCTACTGTAATTATCTGTAGACTCTACATCAAAAGGTACTCTAATGAACCTTTATTGTAATTACTTGTCACTAATACAGCCACATGTACAATAATAAACATGTATTGTACTCTACCTGTATATGCTACGTCAACAGGTCCTTTTAACTATCCTCTGTAGTAATTACCTGTATACACACCATCAACAGGTCCTTTTAACTAGCCTCTGTAGTAATTACCTGTATACATCATCAACAGGTCCTTTTAACTATCCTCTGTAGTAATTACCTGTATACATCATCAACAGGTTCTTTTAACTATCCTCTGTAGTAATTACCTGTATACATCATCAACAGGTCCTTTTAACTATCCTCTGTAGTAATTGCCTGTACACATCATCAACAGGTCCTTTTATCTATCCTCTGTAGTAATTACCTGTATACACACCATCAACAGGTTCTTTTAACTATCCTCTGTAGTAATTACCTGTATACATCATCAACAGGTTCTTTTAACTATCCTCTGTAGTAATTACCTGTATACACACCATCAACAGGTTCTTTTATCTATCCTCTGTAGTAATTACCTGTATACACACCATCAACAGGTTCTTTTAACTATCCTCTGTAGTAATTACCTGTATACATCATCAACAGGTTCTTTTAACTATCCTCTGTAGTAATTACCTGTATACATCATCAACAGGTTCTTTTAACTATCCTCTGTAGTAATCATCAACAGGTTCTTTTAACTATCCTCTGTATAATTACATACATCATCAACAGGTTCTTTTAACTATCCTCTGTAGTAATTACCTGTATACACACATCAACAGGTTCTTTTAACTATCCTCTGTAGCCTAATTACCTGTATAATTCAACAGGTTCTTTTAACTATCCTCTGTAGTAATTACCTGTATTCATCAACAGGTCCTTTTATCTATCCTCTGTAGTAATTACCTATACACATCAACAGGTCTGTAGTAATTACCTGTATACATCATCAACAGGTTCTTTTAACTATCCTCTGTAGTAATGACCTGTATACATCATCAACAGGTTCTTTTAACTATCCTCTGTAGTAATTACCTGTATACATCATCAACAGGTTCTTTTAACTATCCTCTGTAGTAATTACCTGTATACATCATCAACAGGTTCTTTTAACTATCCTCTGTAGTAATTACCTGTATACATCATCAACAGGTTCTTTTAACTATCCTCTGTAGTAATTGCCTGTACACATCATCAACAGGTCCTTTTATCTATCCTCTGTAGTAATTACCTGTATACATCATCAACAGGTTCTTTTAACTATCCTCTGTAGTAATTACCTGTATACATCATCAACAGGTTCTTTTATCTATCCTCTGTAGTAATTACCTGTATACATCATCAACAAGTTCTTTTAACTATCCTCTGTATACACTACATCAATAGTTATTCCAACCAATATCTAATGTTATTATCTGTAGACACTTCAATGGCACCAATTATTTTTCTAATTAGCAGTAACATCTTCTTAAGGCCGTGAAAATCTGTTTCAAATTACCTGTGGTTTTTACAAGTTTTATAATCTTTTACCGGAAATTCTGAAAGAGCCTGGTTATTATGTGTGTCTGTTTCTCTTAAAACAAATCTGATCATTGTTTGGTATTGTTATAATTCACATGTAATATTAGTTTGATCATATACAAATTTCTATTTCCTAGATTCTGATTCAAACCAGAAACCAGAATTTTTTTTCTGTTTACACAAAAATTTGTTTCTTGCAAAATGTATTACAAAACTGTCTCAGTGGTTTCAGATGTAAATATGATAAGAACTTTAGAATCAAAGTACATTTCTAGGTGATTTGATTAATTATTGTTTCTACCGACAAGGTTTTGTACATACAGACCCCATAAGTCAATATATGTTGTTATATTTTAGACTGCCTCTTTTAAGTGACCGCAGTTCGTATAGAGGTAGCCGACGAATGAGAGCCAAATTAAATTCTGTGTAAGATAGCCAACATCTGCTGGTTATTTGGTGTTGTTTTTGTTGTTTTATAATTTAACCCATCAGGTGTTTTCAATTAACTTAAATCTTTTTAAGTCAAAACTCTTTTTAACTATGTTGTTTGTTAGGTTTTGGGTTGTGATTTGGTCTTGTTTCTTCAAAATTGTCATGTAAGTTGTCACCTGGTGAAATTATTGAAAAATGCCCTTGAAAAAAATAGTTTGAAAGACATGAAGCAAAGATTTTTTTTTTCTTATTTCCATTAAAGATTTTGTGTCTTTTTTTTGTCCATCAAAGCCTCATAGTAATGTTGATAGCATATTTAACTGCATATTTTTGTTCTATGACATTTGTGATTCATCATATTTCAAATAAATAAACGTGGCATACATATACAGCAGATCGTGTTTAGATAATTTCAGTTTTTAGTCTCTAGGTTTGTAATCACGGTTTTTTATAGATGAGAATATATGCTTTTGAATGCAATATTGATCGGATTGCTTTTGATTTATAATTAATTGTAATTAGTTTTGGTTTCAATCTTGCATGGAAGTTAAAATAGTATTTTGCATGTATGTAAAACTAGTTGATGAATGTAGGTTATACTAATGAAACAGTTTGGAGTTGAATGTACATTATATATCTCTGCTATGTTGCGGTTTTCAGAGCTGAATGAGCTTTAATCATGTTATATATCCACATATATTCCCATTATCTTTGCCCGAAAACTGCTTTTTTCATGATAAGCTCATTTTCATGGTCATCACTAACTTGACTGCTGCTGCATGAAGTGTTTTGTGGAGAATGATGTTTTGTTTATTGTTTAAGGATAATTAGAATCTGAAGTTTGTATGAAATGGTGATATTTTACCTTATCTAAAGCTGCCAGCTGGTAAATTGATGAGAAGTATATAAGGTTACATGTGACATGAAGGTTCAATCGGTTCAAGTGAGACATGTTTCTGGTATACATTTTCATAGAATTATGGCTGATGCAATTTTGTTTTTTTGTTTTTTGGCAAATTGCATACATTTGTGTGTTCACATCTATTAGAAGCTTGTGTATCATTTCAATGGGATTTGTGTTATATGGTAGCTAAGGACATGACAGATGTATAATAGATTTAAGCAAGAACGATACAAATAGTAATAAATGGTACATGTTACATATAAAATTTATGAATTTCTTGTGATGTTATTAACAATAGTAGCAATGTTATAAGATATTTATATCGCAATATTCAGTTCATGGTTATAGGATGGGGGATCTCAACTACTTCCAAGTTTTAACATAAGAAGAAATTCCCCAAACTAGCAAGACTCTGGTAGGGCATAAGTGTTTTAATTGCCTTTTTGATGCCCAAGCAATTCACTCTGAAATGTTTATGTCATTACTCAGAGATTCCCCAGTTATACATTTGTTCTTCTGAGTAAGTCATACAGAGATGTAAAGGCTGCTCTTTTTAAAGGGACCATATACGTGTAGGATAAAATCACCAAAAATTGAATGCCTTGAAAATAGAGTATGTGACCAATACTTTTGGTTAATCTGTGGAAATTTTAACCACCAAGATAAAAAAACCCCACCTGCACAGTACCTGACATTTTCCTCATGGTACAATGTATACAAAATAATCATGTATCACTATCTCTACAAGCATAACAAATGTTGTTAATATTCTCATTTGATTAAAAATTTCAAATAAACATTTCAGGTCTGCACCTTTAAAAGCCGGTGGGTAAGCAGGCTGTATATACATGTGTATCTGTATTGGGTACATACGGGACATCAACACTAAAGAGCTCTCTCCGAAATACTTCACTTTATTCTAGTTTATACAGGACATAAACAGTATGTGTGATCACAATTTTCATAACAACCATAACAGGTAAAATTTTTGTATCAAGTACTTTTACTCAAAATAAGTTTTTTCCAATTTTAGGGAGAGGAAAAATGTATTTTGATTTATATTGCCTAATCATTAAAATTTGATAATTCCAAAAAAATTGTAAAACTGTTTTTCAACTTTGATCCTTTGTTTCTGGAAGAAGACATCAGGTAACTAAGCACTGTAAGAAAACTTTCCACAGAATAATGAGCTTAAGGTCTCATCTCATGTATCATGTAAATGGAACTAAATAAAATAGCTAAATTGTTTAAATAAAAAGTGCATTAAATACTGCAAAAATACTGTGGATTGCAAATAGTTGTGAGTGCAAAGTTACATATAGCTCAATCTTGTGAAGATATGTTAAAGGCTTGGTTAAGATATTTTGACAGTCAATATTTAATAAAAAACCAATTCTACACTAATGCCTGTATAGACAACATAGATTCTGATCTATTTTGATGGAAATGTTTCGGAGGTTGAGTCCTTTACAAGTGTACAAATTAATACTTTGTCTGGTGCTGAGATGTTTTATTTAAGTCTGTATGACCATTCCTGTGTTTGTGTCCACTGGGAGTAACAGGAATGAAGGATTGATGTAACTGTAATTGGTATTACACAAGGTTGAGGGTAATAGCTACTGTGTATGTGGAGCTTTGTAACACATGTTACCTGGATATTGATGTATTTTTTGTGTTTTGAATGATATTTAATGATTTGAAAGATATTTTTGGAGAAAATTTGCTTTTCTTGGTTATATTTATTGATTATATGACTGGTGTAGGTTTGGTAAAATCAAATCATTGTTATATTTAATGTTAAATAGGAGTAAGTTGTGATGAAATCTAATGTTTGAAACTGTGCTTTCCATTGTTATGGGTGTAGGTTTGGTTATAATGTCAAAAGCTGTGTGTATTTTTTGTGCGATCTAGTAATTTGAAGTCTCTATAAAATTCTTCTGTATAAATGTGTTTATTTCTACAAAAGCCATGAAAGCATGTTTTTATGATTAAAAACATATCTGCTTTACTGCAAGCTGCTGTTAAAAAAGTCCTCATTCAATCATTGATATCATTCTGTAAGTAAATCTATCACAGCTAATTACGATGGATATATCCTGTACATTTTTTCTGTATCAAGTAACAGAAATGTAAAAGTATTGCTGTATACATGTCCATGGTAACAGGTTTAGAGTTGATGTAATAACTGCAGGATGCCAAGCTGGTCTGTAAAGCTAAAACATGATACCCCAATAACCACATGATATAGAAAACCACTTTATCTTGTACCACACAGTGACAACAGCTTATGAAATAGGATGTATTTGTCTTTAAAACTTCTCTATTAATCTGTTGAATATTGTACTTAATTGTTGAATTAATGAATTCTGTTGTCATGTAATGATTGAAAATTACTTTACAGACGAACCTCGGCCTCCAATAGTGTTCTGTCTTGGAAGGTCAATCCCTACCCGGAACCGCCACCTTCAGAGTACATTACATTTAAAATGAATGAAGAACGCAAAATTGCCAAAGTTAAAGAACTTCGTGAGAAAACTGATGCCATTATACAGAGAAGAAAGTAAGAATTTCAATTTTAAACATTAGATTCCAAGTTTGAAGACATTCAAAACTTATACTTTGTTTTTGTGTGCAATCATTTTTTTCCAAGCTGATATGAGATTTGAAATGACAATATATTGATCACAATATTCCTTTGTTTTTTTGATACATCCCAATTCAGGTGATGACATAAAATTTTCATTATTACATAACATTTTTTTTGTAATTAGACAATGGTGTACAGTATCACATCATTATTTTTGTATAACTTGTTACTTTTTGCAGAGATGAAGAATTATTAAAAGAATGGCGACAGGAAACAAAAAAACTGCAACAAAAACGCTATTTTGAGAGTTTACGTCGCGGAACTAAAGGTATGATCAGTCTTTGGTTTATTAATCTGCTGTAGAATCTCTCCTCAATTTGGACTAAAAAATACCGTTTTATATTAGAACATCTAAGTATGATGTGAAGAAAAGTGTTGGTGAAGTGATTTCTGGGTCCTGAGGTCAAAGGTAAAGGGCACTTACTATAAATAGAAACTTCTTTCTGCAAAATATCATCAGTTCTGTTTGGATGATTACATTCAAACTTTCTCCATTACTTCTTAATAGGAACTCTAGTCCTCATTAGCTTTTTGTATAAATAGTTCAAAGATCAAGATCAACATTACTATGAATAGAAATGGAGAAAAACAAAACAAAATTATATCCTCTCTGAATGTTAATAGTAAGTATTTATCAATTACAGATTGAAACATAATTGATTGAAATCTGATGAAATCAAATGATCACAGGTCAAGGTCATCAAAGTCAATTTTCAAATATTTTACTGGAAAATATTTCCTTTTGACAATGAAACAAAGATGGCCAGAATCAAATGAGGAGTTGCCAGACTACAAATTTAGGCCATCAGGTCAAACTTTAAGGTCAAATTTTTTAATATTTCAGCTGTAAATATTTTGCTGTGATATGAAACGATGTCTATTGGAATCAGAGACACCTGGTCATTGGATCATAGGTCATCAGCAGATTATATATCTTTATACTGCTAAACAATTTATTATGACATTATAAAGTTGGTCACAATCAAACCAGGTATCAACTGACCAAAGCTCATGGCCATTGGGTCAAATGTTGTTTTGACATTATGAAGCAATTGGTCACAAGCAAGCAAGGTTTCCTCTGACCAAAGCTCAAGAGTCAAACACATATAATATCACACTGAAAACTTTTGGATCCTCTACTGTTTTCGTATCAGAAATGAAACAATATCCTGAACTTCTAAAATACTTTTTCAGATTTTGTTGACCCAGTGGAGAAAGCTCCTTTTGATGTAGATAAAAACCACATGAAGTTACCAACAAATGAAGAAAGAATTAAAGTAAGATTCTGTGTCAGTTCTAATTTTAGGTCACCAACCGACAGTTGTCGTAAACGGCATAGCCGACTTTGAACAAATTCTGTCAGAAACATCATGGGGGAAGGGGAAAAAATTTGGTATTAATATGGTGGGAGTCAAGCCCCTGGGGTGGGAAGGGTAGGGTCCTGGACAGGAAATAGAGCAAATTCTTGAAAGTCCTACTCCTCCTGTAGGAATGACTGAATTTTGTCCAAATTTGGTCTGAAGCTTTGTTGGGGGAAGTTTTTGGCACGATAGTTTTTGCACAAAATAGTGTTGACTATACACACAAATTTACGGTAATCAGTTCAGCATAACCAGTGCATCCATGCCTCCTTGGGTGGGAGGATTGGGCCCAATTTGGGAAATGTAAGTTCTTAAAAATCCTTCTTGTGTACAAGGCTATTGTCCAAGTTTGGGCTGAAGCAAACTCATAGGGAAATTTTTTTTCAGTAATTATTTGTCATATTTGAAATTCTTTGAGCAATACAGGCCTGTTGTTTTTTGCGTAATTAAGCTTAAAGGTTATATTTGTTTCAAGTTGACTTTCAATGTTTTGAGCGTTCATATCTGTACTTACAGCAGGATGTCAAAAATGCTCATGAGCGAATTAGGCGGACACTATCTCCAACCAGCAGACAGAAAATTGAGGATGAAAAGTGGGTGTCTCATAACAGTTTTCGCAATAAAATATTTGTTGATCAATTTGTAATGTTATAAAGTTGTGAAAAATGAAATGAAAGCGACTGGTATTTGTTTAATATTTTTCTCAACTGTGAGAATTTTCAGTGTCTGTCCCATATGTAAACCTACCAAAGAAAACTTGGATGGTTTCATTAATATTTTTGTCTTTACTCATTTAGAGCGGCTCGTATTCGAGAATTGGAAAGACGAATCAAACAACACACTTCACAAATGCATGAACGGCGAAAGCAGCCAAAGGGTACACCCCAGGAAGAAATGGAGGCTGCTAAACGGGAACTTGATGTTGTATGTATAATGTTGTTATTGAGATTCATAATTAAGTGTATGTGGAATCATCAGGCTTTACATATAGATGTCAGCAGATTGTTCTATTTCAGCTTAAACATGATCTTGTTAAATTTCCTACAGATGAGGAGGTTAAACATTGAAATATATGCTAGCATTAGAGTCATTCTTTTATATCTATTCTATTATTATTCTATTTACATTTTTTTTTAAGAAAGTAGGATTTCATTAGGTTTATTTTCAGTACCATTTTTAAATGTCAACTACAGTGATTTACCAAGTACCAGTGTGTTTTTTATAACAGATACTGAAATGCTATATTAGCATCATTTATTGTAATCCAGATTGGTTTAGAAGACACATAATGGTCTCAGTGTCAGCTATTCCCATAGCTGTATCTGCCCTGAAGTAAAAAAAAAATCAGAAATTAAAAAAAAATAATGTGAAGATACGCATGAAAATGTCTAGATCTTTGAATATAATTAAACAGATTTGAGAAATGAAGAATTTTTGTTGTTAGAGTATATATGAAGAAAGATAGAATTAGAAGGTGTCTTTTCATGTGTGTACTTTCATCTACCTTTAAAGAGAAAAGCTTAGCCATTTTTGTCAGGTTTTTTTTTCTTGATTCAGATTTCTGTTGTCCCATTCATTTGCATACAAAAATATGTAATATCAATAAGTTTGATAATAAAACGTCATTGTATGTATGTTATTGATATCTTTGAACATAGCCTACATGTTCAAAAATAAACTACAACAGATATAGACATTCATATTTCTACATTTCCAATTACTGCTGGTGTACCAGTTTTGCTATATTTCACGAATGGTTTACACTTGAAGATAGTTTATTTTCAACTCATGTCATGTTCTATATTAAGTAATCTAATTTTGATTTACCATAAAGTGGGTTTTTTTTGAGTATGTACTATACAAAGTCTAATCTCTTCTATGAATTTTATAAAAAAGTTTTTTGCATTCAGTAAATAAAGGGGTTTTCCTCCTGAAGTCGAACAAATAAATGTAATGTTCAATAGCAGAATTAAGAAAATTATTTCAGCTTCAAAAATATCAAGCAATATTATAACCGGGTCTCTTGATAGGTGTATTTCACAGTTAGACCTCAAGCGATACATAAAAGATGACCACAGAGTCTGTGCATGACAACATTCCGATAATAGATATAATACTGTTTCTCTTCCCTTGCCACAGAAAGCTTCTCTCAATTTATATTGCATTAATTTGGTTTTGGCATAAAGTGTTCTATAATAGAGTTTGGATTGAAGTTGTGAAGCTTTGTGTCACCTATAAAATACCTTATGATTGATGTAAACTTACACCAGCATCTTGCATGTGACATTTTTTGTAAAAGTTAAAACTGAAAAATGATGGTTTTAAAGAAATCAGAATCAATCTGTCTTTATTTTTGCTTCACAGGAAGGAGCTAAACAGCTAAAATAACGTTATCAAAAATTCAGTTGTGAAAAAATACCAATCAGATTAGAAATTTCAAAAAGTGTTAGATGGTACCCTCTGTATCATAGATGATTTAGGTAAAGTGATTTTGTTTTTAAAGCAGTAAAAAAGTCAAAAAAAGGAAAAATCATGCTGAATGAATTTTCAAGACAATCACATGAATGAACTGTTTGGAAACTGATCCTGTGGAACTTTAAAATGGAAAATTAAAGTTATGTGCTTTTATTTCAGTATGAACATCTGCCTGAATAAAAATAAGAAGAGAAATTCCTTATAACTGATAAAGAACATTGTTGTGATCTGTTTGTCTCTGTCTAGGTAAAATCACTTCAGAAAGACTTGATGAAGCGATACCAAGAACTGAAGACCTGGACCACAGGTTTAAAGTCGTTCCTTGTTGTACTTAGATATCTCTGCTTGCTAGTTGTTGATCAATTGTCGTTAACCACAAAAAACTCTTTATTTTAACTGTTGTATTTCTTAGTAAATTTTGTCACAGTGGTGGATTCAAAGGGCAAATTTTGTTATAATTACAATGTGGAAATGGATATCTTTGATCATCAGTTTGTAATGCTTTTGGAATAAAAACAAAAAAAAAAGGAAAGAAAATTTCCCCCGCCCCCCGCCAAAATAAAAATCTATAACAAAAAAAAAAGCCTGGCAAATGCCTTACAAATCCCCATACTCTCTGTCAGAAATTTGATTGGATCCAGGTTCCACCACTGTGCCATTCTAATCAAAACAGGGACTTCTGTCAAAAAAAAAAAAAAAAAAAATTCTGAAATTGTAATTTAACAAAACTCAATCATCCACAAAATGTTTGCTTTATAGAAATAATCTGTATCAGACACACTGATTCTATTTGGCAAGAAAATACATAATTGTTTTAAAGTCTTCTGGAAAATCTTTGCAGAAATCTCTGGTTACTTAATATTTTTTCTTTTTAATTTCATGCACGTGGCAGCAAGATTTTTATCAATAGCATTATGAATATGAATTGATTTTGTAACAGAATGGTACATCGATTGAGATGAATTTTAACAATGTCATAAATAAGACTTCTTCTGGACCTTACTTTGATCTTTGCATGATTTATAGCAGAGAAGATTTCTGTTGTCTATCCTAGATCTAAGCATGATGATAGTAATTAATCTTCTTGTTCTGTCTGCAGTTCCTTCTAAATGCATGTGCAGTTGTTTCTGCAACAACTTCATTTCCATTTTCATTCATCTTTTTGTAAATTTTCATTTCATCATCATATCATGAATAAAAGAAGATTCATTTTTTTAAAATTCAGAATTACTATCTTACTGTTGCACGCTTTCCACAGAGAATTATATTATTTACCCAATATTCAATAACAGATATTGTATATATTTCTTAACCTGACAATGTTATATACGTAATGTGATCTAACGCTGATGATATATATTTTCATCAAAAGTTTGGGTATGTGTAAATACTGATTTTATCCATTGTATCATGGAAAAAGAATAGTAACAGGTAGTAGTTAATAACTTGTCTGGAACTGGAGCAGGAGTATTACTAATTTATATTTTAACAATAAGTTAACAGTATTAATCCAAAATATATGTGAAAAGGATTTATCATTCTACTGTTTCTTTATGTAAAAACTAGACTGCTTTTCATTCCCTTTTTGTGTTTCGGAATTTTCATCTTGCAAAAATGATATCTAATGAATGGAAAAAGTATTAAAATTAAAATTCCAAAGTGTGTAATTAAGAAGATTTACAAGTGATCAGTCTGATTTGATAGTTGTTTGTGGAGTGATTGATATTAGAAATGCCAAACAGTTTCATTATATGAACATTTTTAGTAAAAAGTCACTTTCCTGTAACTCTAATTGACTTGGTGGAAGTCTTTGTTCTTGGCTTTGGTTTGCTCTGGTGTACCTGTTGCTTACTGGTTCAGTAAAGTGTTGTGTATGCAAAGAGTTCATGATTGAGGTGAGATATATTCTTGTGTGCTCACAGAGAATGTACTGCTTACAAAATGGAAACATTTTTTCTACAGTATAGTTTAGCCTTGCTAAGGTTTGTTGGACAATGTTTTGAATTGTAGACAGCAGCAGAAAAAAGAAGCAAAGAAAATTTAAAGCAAATGATATTACTGATACATCTTAATATGTACAGTATACCATTATTGTGTGTTATAATTTAGAATAAAAAATGCTTACATGTTTAAATCTAAGAGATTCTCACAATCATTACTTTGTGCCAATTGAGAGTTTTTCATCTACTCAAGTTTTGATTGGCATGTTACTAAAACATTGTACAATGGTTATGTTTACATTACTACTGTAGTCTGAGATCGAATACTCTATCATTTTCAGGAAAGCGTAAGAAAGGGCTTCAATCACGTTAGTAGTCAGTCTAATTGACAATTTTTCTATAATCTTCTGACATTCATTGAAACATGAAAGCTTATTTGTCATTCTAATTCTCTGAGTCTACATGGGTAACAGTATATTGTGCCTTCTTATTCCTCAATCCTCGTATTCTCCAATTTCCCAAGTACTTGGTAATGGTAATAGTCGATCTGTCTGAATCTTGTCTTAACTGTGTTTACCTGTGGATGATTGATACTTCATAGAATGGTTTAAATGTTGTGTTCTATCTACATTTTGGTTTGTTTGTTGAGATGGTGTGAATGTCTGGGTTGTCACTTCAGAACTCTGATCATTCAGAAACTTTAAATTTATATACATCCCCAAAGCATGGGTACAAACAGTAAGGTATCACAGAGCAAATGCTGTTTGTGTGATCTTTCTGCCACCTGGTGTTGTCATGCATTTTTAAATATTACCAATTGTGAGTTGAACATGCAATAATTTTTGTGTTCACTTTGTATCTAGTCAAAGCGTCACCAGATGTTATTTACTGTAGTAATTAATATCTGTCCATTCATTATTAAAGTTCAGACACTACTGCCTGGTCAGAAATCAGTTTAGTCGATTTTAGGGGCTATTGCCAAATGGAATTTGAAAAAAGACTAAATTTTACTTTGAATGGAAAATTAGAATATCATTACATTCATTATTATCCCCCTCACAACAAATTTTGGGGAGGGATATACGGATATTCTTGTATGTGGTTACGTTTATCATAACATACATATGTAACACTTGTCGTTGTCAACACTCTAGCATATTTATTCCTTGGGGGATTTTGATCACACTTCATACACAGATAAAGGAGAATTATATCATTATATCTCAGACAGGTTCATAGTTTAGAGTTTTAGTGTCAAGGTCATCATTACTATTTCTAGAAATTTATTGTCAGCACTTCAGCAGTTGCATTTCTGGAGAGATTTTGACAAAACATTAACTCGAAGTTCAAAATATAATGTAAAGGTCAACGTACCTTCTTAAATTTGAAACAAAAGCTGAACAAAAGGTAATGAGTAATTAGAGAGACAACAAAATGAATGATTGGAACAAATATCATAACTTATTGACTTACTGACTCCTCAAATTGTACATGAACATACAGACTTTTTGTTAGGTCAGGACTGACATCAGAACTGTACTAGTCTAAAGTGAAATGAGGTCCACTGACATGTCATGATGCTCTTGTTCACTGTCAGATGGTTATACTATAAAGGGACTACGGTTAGTACAATTTCATCTAAAGTAACCTCTAACACAGGACAAAAGCAAAATGTTATGTTTATTTGATACAATGATTAACATGTAAAGTTCTTGAGACTCTCACCAAAATCTTCTATAACAAGAATACACCTGCTTGTAAACAGAATCTGGTTATGAACTCAATGGTGATGAAACAAGGGCAAAATGCCAACATTAAAAAATGCATATGGAGCCCTTAAAAAAGAACAAGAATAGAGCTAGGTGTTGGTAAATGTTAGTGCACTGGCCATGTAAATTTTTGTTAAATTCTCCACTTAAAAAAAAGGGTTTACAACATTACTTCTAGTTATTCTTATTTGAATTGAACACATCTACGTAATTTCATTTCCCTAAAGCAAACAAAATCTTTTCCAAAGAGATCATTTTGGTGACCATGAAACATACCAATAATTTTCATTTATCTGCATCTCTCAAAAGCTGGTGTTGTATCTGTCATCTCTCAACAGTTTTTGTGGCAGTCGTACATATCAAATCAGCTTAGACATGTAAACACCATTATTAGAAGAAGCAGGATTGTTACCAACTAGGAATGAAAATGAACAACAGGGAAATCAAAATCATCATACCCACCCATTATACAACGTGTTGAAAAGTTGTCCCTGTTGGTTTCATTGTCGGTTAAAGATTGAGGTAATGGCTAGTTGAAAGGAATTACATTTAAATTCTTTTGTTGAAAATACAGCCATACTGAAAGTAGATTGTGAAATGTCTTCTAAAATTTTAGTTACACTTAGTCTCGAGATTGGTTGAAAATTTCTTGTATTAAAATGATGAAAAAGAATAGGTAAAATTTAGCTTGATGAGAATTCTTTTTTTTTTTTTTAATTGAACAAAATATAGTTAGTCTGAACTTTTTGTGCACAAGTTGGTTAAGCACACACAATAATTACAATGCCTGCGTGAATGTGGTCATTTATTACTAACCCCCGGACTTCAGAAATACCTTGGCCTAACTGCACTGATTCCTGTGTTCCTGATAACTCAGCAGGATAAACAAGTAAGATTTCAAAATCAAATTCTGGGATTTATTTTTCATTGGTGGAGATCATAAGGAAAGTTTAAATCAATATTGCATATTATGTAATATTTTCTATATTTTTTATTTCTTTATAATTTTTTTATCATATAAGAAAGTTTTTAAAATCCTATTTTTCTGTTGTTTTTGTTATCATTCAAATTTTTATAGTAAATAAAGATGATAACTGTAAAGTATGTTTCCATACCCTGGAAGGATCTTAAATCTGAAGTAATCTGTTCGGGATTTTTCCAGGGGAAGGAATGAAAATGAAGTTGCCCAGCTTGAAGTCAAAAAAGAAAAAAGGAAAAAGACTCCAGCATTCTAAGAAGTTGGCTCATAAATTAGACATGGATAATGTGCAGGCCAAAACCACAGTGAAATCTATAAGAAACAAACATTCAAACCAATCAGATTTAAATCCATACCTGAAATTGCCTAAAGTACAATTTCACCAAGTTGGTTGACATTTTGTTCATCAGCATTGATAGGCAATTTCTAAGTTTGTTGATCCCTGCAAGTGTCATACTAGTATTAGTATATTAGAATATATTTTCCAAGTATCATACAGAAATTTCTTCAGTATAAAGTAGCAATATATACAGATAATATGGTACACAGAACATTATATAATGACACACTGAGACTTCTACAAGTATTGATACTATTGGATAGAGCTGTACTGTCTGTCAGTTTGTGTCAACAGGACATCTCATATCCTCCCTCACATACTATTGCCAGGATTTGTATGTGCTTATAAAAATTAGGTGTGACATCACCCTAGATATATGATGGGATAGGTCTCTGTTCACTGTGAATAACTTGTTCCCTGTGTATTTAACAATATTTCCACTAATTAGTAATTTTATATACCAGGTATGGTATGTGTGAAGAACATGAGTGATATATATCCCTGAAACTATCTGATAAGTTTTGGATAGGGTCAGTCTTGTTTACTGCCATGTATGTCACTGGCATCAGCCAAATTTTTGTTTACAAGTAAATAAAATACCTCTTGGAATGACAGAAATTCACATACATATATCTCTACCCATGTAGTCAAGTTTTCTCACTATTTGTCAATAGTTTTAATGTTTGGAAGTTAGTGGTCTATGGATTGGATGTAATTGCCTTTATTTTACCTAGATAAGTTTAAAGTTTAGTTGGTGAGGAGGAATACCTCTCAATTTTATGTGCAATACATGAATTTGTTAGGATGATTATTATTTATTTCTGCATAATAAACATACAGTAACTAGGCCCAGTTTTGTTGTGAATCATCACTGAAGGTTTAACATACCACTGGATGTTTCCAATACCAGTCATAGACAAATCAATGGCCCTTTAAGGTAATATCACATTAATTTTGTGGCCTTTGCTGAAGGTCAAGGTAGCCTCAAGATGTAGTCTCTTGAATAAAATCAATTTGATAGCTTTAAGAGAAGTTCATTCAATTTAATAGGATTATATTAGAAGTAACCTAGGGGGCAGGGATAAGGGGTGGGGGTGGGGGAGTTTGGGGGGTCTGTTGACATCTCATTACCAATTACCTAACATCAAGTCAGCATTGCAATGCTTGTGTTAAGCAGAAATCATCCTATTTCATCCCCTTGGAAAGAAGGATTCTATTGTTCAACTGGGTAAGAGATGCATAAAAAAATGCCCTCAAAAATTTAAAAAAAAAAAAAAAAAAAAATGACTAATTGGCTATCCAACATTTTTAAAATAATGGTCAGATTTAAAGGCTTTCAAATAAAAGTTTATCTTAAAACACTAAGAATACCCACTCATAGGAATACTTTAGATCCATCTTTGTATGTAGGAGTTTAAGTTAGGAAGCATTCATCAAATTACGAAGTAAAAGTGTACTAAGTCTCAATGACAGGCCTAGAATTCACTATGTATCAAAGTTCAAACAACACTGTTTTTCTTGTTATGTGAAATTTAAATCTCTCTAAAATGCTAACCTTGTCCAATTTTGACAATTGCCTGAAGATTCGGATGGTCAGCCACACTTACATGTAAGAGTGGTTTTACCAGAGGCATTTACAGATGTTGATCAACTTATTGGTGAGTTATATTAGCTTGGCTAGTCAAAAATGTTCAAGATACCTTAGAATTATTTGAAAAGTATTGCAGCAGTATGTAGCAAAGAAATAGTGGACAGGTATGAAATAAACACGAATGCAATAGACTTTGCCGTAAGTTTACAACCCCTAAAAATTGGTGGATGGCACATTACATTCTATCAACCTTTTTGTCCATCTGATTTCTTCCAAGAATTAAGTTCTAGTGCTTTCCATGTTTCTATATTGATATCATTCAGAAGGGCTACACCACTGTATCAGTTATAGGAAAGTTTAATTTGCTGCTTGGACAAACATTTTCAGGTTCATGAACACATGATTCAAATGGCTTTCAAATATTTCACCAGATCTGGCCTGTATTGTGTAGGTTGTCATGTTTCCAGGGTTTCATCGGATCAGGCCTGTATTGTGTATGTTGTCATGTTTCCAGGGTTTCATCGGATCAGGCCTGTGTTCTAGATGTTGTCATGTTTCCAGGGTTTCATTAGATCAGGCCTGTGTTGTAGATGGTTCCAATGTTTCACCAGATCAGGCCTGTGTTGTAGATGGTACCAATGTTTCACCAGATCAGGCCTGTGTTGTAGATGGTTCCAATGTTTCACCAGATCAGGCCTGTGTTGTAGATAGTTCCAATGTTTCACCAGATCAGGCCTGTGTTGTAGATGGTTCCAATGTTTCACTAGATCGGGCCTGTGTTGTAGATGGTTCCAATGTTTCACCAGATCAGGCCTGTGTTGTAGATAGTTCCAATGTTCCACCAGATCGGGCCTGTGTTGTAGATGGTTCCATTGTTTCACCAGATCAGGCCTGTGTTGTAGATAGTTCCAATGTTTCACAAGATCGGGCCTGTGTTGTGGATGGTTCCAATGTTTCACTAGATCGGGCCTGTGTTGTAGATGGTTCCAATGTTTCACCAGATCGGGCCTGTGTTGTAGATGGTTCCAATGTTTCACCAGATCAGGCCTGTGTTGTAGATGGTTCCAATGTTTCACCAGATCAAGCCCGTGTTGTAGATGGTTTCAATGTTTCACCAGATCAGGCCCATGTTGTAGATGGTTCCAATGTTTCACCAGATCAGGCCTGTGTTGTAGATGGTTCCAATGTTTCACCAGATCAGGCCTGTGTTGTAGATGGTTCCAATGTTTTGCCAGATCAGGCCTGTGTTCTACATGTTGTGATGATTTTGGGATTTTAGTAAGTCTTGCTTGTGTTCTTGTGTGGTAGTTCCATTGTTTCACTTCTGATAATCCTGTTATGTTCCGTTATACTGTCAGAAAGCTGCAGTGTTTATCACTGAAGACTAACTTTGATTCCATACATATGAAAAGTTGATCCAGCTTAACATAATCTACTTCAAATTAATTTTTTCACCTCTTTGTTCTTAATTAAATTTTGTGAATTTCCACTGTTTACATACAAGGCAAAGCTTATAACATTTCAGGCAGCTGATATGATATCTTTACTAACAACTATTTCATGGTATATCTATGATTTAATCAATTAGATCCATGATATAAGCATTAGTAAATATTGCAATACTATATTTGTGAAAAGTGTGGCTATGGTAGTTTCAGATAAATAATGATATATTCATGTTTGCTATTTCATAGTTGTGTTTGCTAAAATTTCAGATACATATTGTAGAATTATCATTGTCAATTCTGTTTTATACTGTAGACAGATTTAATACTGGAATATATTGAAATGAAAAAAATAATTTGATTTACAAAATTAAGTTTTAATTATTTGATATCAGTCAAAATTATACACTAAAGGATCCAGGTTTTTCCATATTGTAGACAGATTTAATACTGGAATATTTTGAAATGAAAAAAATAATTTGATTTACAAAATAAAGTTTTAATTATTTGATATCAGTCAAAACTATACACTGAAGGATCCAGGTTTTTCCATGTTAATGCTATAATTGTGATATTCATGCCATTGTTTGCCTGTAGATTGTTTGTATGATAATGCTAGCTGGTGTGTTAATCTGCAGATGATGCTCAGTCTGAGTCCATCCAACAGCATCAGGAACTTGTAATGTCTGACATGTGATCAGTCAGCTCCTGAGGTAGGCAGGTTTGTGCGGGTCATTTTTACCTCCCCTTAACTGTCTACTGACATCGCACTGGTTGTGGTTTTTTACCTCCGACTCAGGAGAGGATGATGTTGACACTTCACTTCAACAGCGCATCTTCCTAATATATGTATATCACAGAAATAAGTTGGTCAGGGTTAGAATTTATACTCACACTTTTACTACGGTAACTTTGCTGATCATCTATCCTGTTGATGTATTTCTAATTGGACACTATCAAATAACACTGATAGTTGCATTATTTTTCTGGGTTCATTTATCAGATTCTGAGGATACTACACTGGCCACAGTTATCAAACATATGTAGTTCTACAGGCTTAGTACAGGACTCCACCAATATACATATTCAGGACCACATCCAACTCCAAGTGCAAGTGTTATAAAATTGAATTATTATGCAAATTTTTCCAGAGTTTACTTCAATGTTAAATTATCACCCAAAGTTCAATCACCAGATAAAAAATTGGAGAAAAAACAGAAAATAAGAATAAAAAAGACTTGTGATCAGGAAATTTCTTCCCATAATGTAAATAAGATCTAAAGAGATGATATTTTACACTGCTTCATCACAGTTTACAGCTGGGGGATCTTTAGTATACAACCACTTAAGTGGCATGCACACACTTTATAAACTGCATTACATACTATGTAACTGAGTTTCCTGAAGGTACTGTGTTTTATTGGTTGTTCTTTATAAACACCAGACACTTACATGGCACTGATACTTACTTGGTTACTTTATTGGGTACTTACAATTTTAAATCCTATTTTGGTGGTTTTTTCCTCTGAAATATATATGTCATTCCTCTGCTTCATGTAATTATATGGACATGTACATATATATATATAAAACTAAGTTTATTACAGCATAATAAACAGCTTACAATTATATCTTATTTGCCTTGCCTTAAATCATATTTCAACCCACAACCAGTTGCTAAATTAAAATTTGACCACTGAATTGTACTTGTATGCATATTTATCCATTTTAAACCTAATGAAATTAAACTTTTATCACAAAATTTTTTTGTAATAAAATAGACTTTACTAATTTGAAGTAACAGATAAGCAATACTTATGATAATTAAAATGTTGATAACTGTTTATCTCAATTAAAAGATACCAGTTCAGAGTTAATGAATGTAGGTTGTATACTTACGGCTAATCAAGAGGTGTTAACACTGTATCTAACTCAATCTTTACAGCAATAAAACCACAGTATATACTGGTCACGGATTACTTACCATTGCACGATCATGTACAACACTCACCACTCACAACACTTTGGTTTTAATTAAGATTATGGGTTATATTCGATGAAAAATGGTAATTCACTTGCATGTAGTGATTTGATGTATCCAAAATGGATGGCGATGACAGAATCCATTTCTGCATTTAATTACATAGTTCTCATGTTTCCATTCTTTTATAAGGATTACATACTAGTATATTTTGTTATTTATTCAACATTTAACACAGCATTTCATTGGTAAATAAAATGATGAGTAGCAATAAAACTCTTATATGTATGATACACTTCTCATTTGCATATGAACCCTGAATAGTAATTGCTAATGATGTCACTAAATTGTCACAATAGTTGTGAAAGTGACATCAAAGTCTGTCAAATTTTGCTTTCCTGTGAATGTGACTGATATCATTATTCCAAAGATGAGCCATTCAGATTTCTAAAGAAAACAAGATGAAAACTGGAAATTGTTGTTTTTTTCCAATCATATGATATACTGTCACCTGTTTGCTATACTCTGAATGTACTGAGGTAGAAAAAGAGTGAAACATGAATACTTTGACTTTGTTGAATTTCCAGAAATTTTGAAAAGACTGAAACAGGGAATGCCTTAGATGATGTTTTATTGCTTTTTAGTTTATCTGGGGTGAAGTTCATGCGTAAATTGGAATAACTTATTTTGTAATTGTTGTAAAATGAATCAAGTTTAGTACTTGATGTATGCAAACTTGATGATTTGTACCTCTAAGCAGCAGCCATTTCTTGTCATCAGTCTTCCGTAAACAGCTGAATTTATTCTTCTTTCATGCTTGGAAGAGGAGAGAGCTATCAAATTTGTTTACCTATCACTCTCCTGTGGGTCAAATGCGTTAGTAGCTTGAAATGTCTTTGTTGTAAATAACTTTGACTTTAAAGGTCACTCAGATGTAATGTGCTGAAAACATAAATGATTTCTTCTGGAAAAGAACTAGGAATTCTGTGCTCCATTTCATACTAAGTTTCAAATGATTATTTAAAAACTCTGTTTTATTCAGAATCTTTGTTTCATTAAGTAAGGTAAAATATCATTACTATATATGGATTTCTGTACTTCATAGTTGTTTTTCCTTCTATTTATGCTTGTCAATTGGTGCTGTAAAATGGTAACTGTTTACTGGGCATCAGTAAACAGTATATCAACCTGGATTTTATATTTTCAGATTGTAGTGCCTGTTTTTCTGTGACAGATTTTTTATAAACATTGCATTTTTTGAAAATCATTTTTGTGCCATTTTCTAATGATTCTATTTCATTGTCAAATAATTCTGTCTGACATCCAATAATTCTGTAACAATTTTCATCATTCTGACTAAAATATTAACTCTCATTGAATGCAGAACAATTCTCGTGTTGACTACATTAATTCTGTTACTCTAGATGTGAGGACTTGATCTTATCAATCTTCTGGAAACTGATTTCAAAATATAGAGGAAAAAAAACCCAAAACCTTATTGTATTAACTACTTGTGTTTAGATGTCTTTACTATTGTTTAGCTGAGTAACAGAAAATCATTTCACCATTCTGTTTTACGTGCTGATTCTCTCGACAAATGCACTAACTTTATACTCACAGGAAGACTACAGGCCACTAATCCTCTATCTAAGAACATGCACCGCTAGTGCTAACCCCTGCCTCCCACTATTCCCAAGGGGGCGGGGTGTCACCGGCCGTAAGTACTGATTCACCCTATCTATCTCCGTACACTGCCAGACACCATCCAGTAGTTATAGTATTCCTTTCTTTATACCTGTCAACTAACTAGTCATCATGAACTATCGTTAACCTTTTTATTCTCTAAATATTACTGTATCCTGGCTCATCTGTAAAACAGCTAGTAATCTTTAGCCCCTAATTCTCCCTTTTTTTCTTACAAAAGCTACAATATTCCATAGCAGTTATTTTATTTTTTCCATCATGGACGATTGGCTAGATTCTGTATCTATTGGATTGGTATGTATTAGTGCTACAGTATGTATATATCCATGTATCTATTTTATCAAAATTGTTGTAATGATGACAAGAATGGATCTGGTCATATATTCACCATGGTCATTTAATTCAACATTTGAAAATCTTTTGTGAATGTCATAGTTGATAATACATTACTAATGCAGAGGTTTCTGCATGATAACATTGTATGTCCATTTTTCTTTACATGTAGTGTTTGCTTATGTTTTTTTTCCCCCTTTCATTGGCATGGTTGGTTGTCGTCATCATCAATTTCTGTGTGTCTCATATTAGGTGTGAAGTCTGAGGGTTAAAGGTCAGTCATTGTAAGTAAAAAAATGATTAAAAAAATGTATCGATGCAATACGTTCTCTTGGATAAATCAATTTATCAATTTCATACTGTGCTTTACAAGAGATTTTTAGAACCTTTATCTGGTATACAATGTGACCATCGATGCATTGTCGCCAACTCACCTGATTTCGTCAGGTCAGCTTGGTATTGGACATATCATGACCTGATAAAATCATCTCATATTTCTTTACTTTTGATCAGTACATAATTTGTGTAAACGTCACAAATTCTATAAGTCAAAAATATCTTCAAATATAACATAGAACATATCTAATACATTCATATGTGATAACTATTCAGCTAAGAATTGATAAGGTTTTTTTTCCTTTACGACACTTTAAAACACCTTGCCATCCTTGGTTTTGAAGGCTCTGATCAGTTAGTATTTGACAAGAGGTTGCCATGGAATATTCCTTAACTGCAGAAAGTGAATTGATTGCATCTTAAATTTTTTCCACAGTTTGCCTCACTGACATGTACTTTTGTCAAATTCTTGGAATGAATATCAGGAGTCAAATAGTGTCTCAATCAGCAGTTTGTTAAGTTGAATTATCTGGGTGTTACTTTCTTAATTGGAAGTAAACGATTAGGATATTGATTTGATTATATACATACGGTAATCACTTTTTCCTTGATTCTCGGGAAGGATTTCTTTATGGATTTTGATCACGCACCAAACATTTAAGTATCGGAATACCTACCCTAGTAACACAAGATTTTCTTTCAGTGTGTTTTAGTCAACGTAAGGTGACTGTTATTGTTGATAGAAATATTCATATCATGAAGTCAGCACTAACAGTTTCATTTTCTTTTAAATGAAAGATTATTTCTAAAACTCCAGATATCATGTTTGTCATTGTATTAGATGAACAAGAAGTTTATCATAGCTTTTAGTCTGATAGCTCATTTCATTCCTTTATGTCTAGTTGTTTTTCTTATCCACTCTTTTTAGTATCAGAATATTGTTTTTTTTTTAAATTTGGTCTCATAATTGCAAAGATTCATTTAATTTTTGGAAGATATTGTCCATATTTGAATCTACCTTATGAGACGTGACAATTATTATTGTCCTGTCTGTTTTTACATTTCTAGGGGTCACTTTATATCAGTGTATTCTGTGAGAGACTTTCATCAATTTTTGGCCATATATTGGAACAAGTTACATTAAATCCTCTGTTGATGGTCAAGAGTGGATGTACTACTGTAAAAATATGTAATCACTTTATCATTAGGTCATTTAGAAGGGTGTGTGGATGGGAGACATTTAGATCTATCATTAGAACATAACATCAGTAAGAAATTTTTGAATGAGTTAATATTAAAAATTTGTTAAGTCCTTACAACAATTCTAACAATGTATTTAACAATAAATGTGTAAAGAGATATTGGTAACAATGAATTATTTATAATAAGATATTGTGATTGAAACAGAGGTGACACAAATGTTGTTGTTGATGGTATTAATTTTACTAGATTTAGTGATTTTCAAAGTTACAAAAAACATGAGCTTTGGCGAGTGTTTTTTGTAACTTTTGAAAAGTAACAAACTTGAGTGGAAGAAGTACCATAATCAACAACCAATTCGTGTGACCGGGTTCTACCACAAGGAAAAAAAAGTTCTACATGTGGCAAATATTGATTTTGTTTATGAACTTTGGTTGCGCAATAATATGATCTGATATTAACAAATGTAGTATTTTCAAGTCTATTATATGATAGAAATAAGTCTATTATCATTGGACTGTTGGGACAGGTCACATGGCGTTATATCATCTTGAAGATTTTTTCAATTGCCTACCATCTTTAATTCATTCTGTGTTGTTTTGTATAACATCCTCAGTTAAGTTGTTGTCAGAACTTGGTGTACATGGTATTAAGACCTGAAATAATGTGACATTAAGAAAGTGTTTCATTACGAATACTAAACCTTCATTTCAGGAATTAATGCTTAAAGGGTATCATTATTGATGGTAGTATCTTTACATGTGCCTTTGTTACGTACATTATGTATAAAAAGTATACCCTTAAAAAATAAAAATATGCCATGCAGGAAAAAAATATGATTTGTTCTGCAAATAAAATACCTTGAAATAAGATGGTCGTGATAATAGATTGGTTTCGAAATAAGGCTTAAAATCCTTATCAAAGTGGCTTATTTTTAATATTTTAGGGTACATATCTTCAGGAGGTATCCTTTATTCAACACATATTTTCAAAATGGAATTCTGCATTATTTTTTCATCATCTCTTATAACCATAATTCTGATAGCAGTTTGTTTTTTATTCATTAGTGATTTGCATTTTGAAAAATGTTGTATTATTATAAGAAAATTGCATGGTATGAAGTTTGTGTGATGCATACCATTGTAGAGTTGTGTTATCTGTATTTAAAATTGCATGTCACTTGGGAATGCTACTGACAATGAGGCATGTTAATCTTTCTTTTTCTACAGCATAATTTGTATATAATTTTGCTAAAATTGGAACATACATTTACTTCTATAATTTAATTTTGTCTGCAAGTATGAGCAAATACTTGTCTGGTTTTTTTATGGAGTTATTGTAAATATCACTTCAATTTTTTCCCCCATGTTTATGATCACTGTAATAAACTTAATGTGAATTATCCTGATTTTTCACAGATATTTTTCAAACTTTGCAGCATGGAGAGCCACAGTATGTTGTTTACACTTTGCCTTGTACAACAAGATTTCTCACATAAAACTTATATATATATTTTCAGGCTGAAGATCTTCACAAAGAGCTGTCTTTATCCAGGAAAAAGTTGGAATACAGATTCCGAGCCTTCACTGGTGACCTTTCGACAGGTTACACTGCCAAGCGTCACACAGCTGTCCCTCAGCTACCTCACCAATGAGGTGGTAGGCTTCTGATAGTGTTGATGGGTAATGAAATCCATGATTATCATTGGTACACAACCATTGAACTTAGATACCAATCTGTTATTTCTAAACCAGGATTAGAAGCAGACTGATTCGAGATGAGTGATGAAGCATTCCTGTTAGAATTTGTGTTGTACCATTCTGTACTGTTAACCAGCTTTCTTAAAAGAAGTGAAAAAATGGCTTCAGAGTTTTTTACTTTGGCAATTTCTGTGTTATATGTATTCTGACTTGTTCATCTGTACTGTATAGACAGTAGTTTTGTTGCCATTGAAATACTTGGTATGTTTGTTCTGTTATATTATGGAATTAATATAATTTATCAAATAAAAAACAGATTTTAATGTTTGCTGTCTTTTGTAAATCTACTAGATGCCTGCTGTGATGTTTGGAAATTAATGTTTTAATAGATATGCTGGATATTTGCAGGAGTCTTTCAAATTGTTACATAGAGATAAATCATATTCTTTGTATCGGTTGAAATAATTCAGTCCTGCGAGAGAGACCCCTGACATAGGATCAAATGTATTGTTAATCTTGAACACCAAATTATCAGTGTTATAGACTCGTTATTGGCCAAAAACTTAAATTTTTAATCATTATTGTTGATGATTTTACATATTTAATATATTTTTAATTTCCTGGACTTTTAGATGTTGTGATAAATGTATGGATCAATATGTCAACAAAACTGAAGGAATTCTACTTAATTCTTTAGACATGGTAATTGTATGACATTCATTTAATTCATTTTACACTGTTTCAATGATTGGAAGTTATGTTTGATGTTAATAGAGGAACTTGAGGTGAAATGTAAATGATGTTTCTTGCCATCGTTATTGAGATCAGATGACCAAATCTTTACCATGTGTATATTAGTACAGTAGTACCAGGCCTAGGTATTAGTGACTTTTTTTTTCAGAATGTGTCAGTTTTTATTAAGAAATTATCACTGCCAATTACAGAGTTAATTATATTATTCACCAAATGCTTTAGCTGTAAAACAATCACTGGAGGATTCCACCATATTGTAGAACAATTTACCTATAGAATATATTTTGTACTTTTCATGTAAAATCACAAATACAACACCTACCATTATTTCCATTAATAAATGTTTGATATCTTAAACACTAATTAAGTGTTCCTGATATTACTTGTTTGACATGTTATCTATCAATTTTGCAGCTGATTTCTGAGCCTATTATATAAGTAAACATGCAGGTATATCATTTTTTTTCTGCTCTAAATGAGAATACATTCCATGTAATTAATTCAATAATTATATTGCAAGACAATTAAAAGCTTGATCAAAGATTTAGCATGTCATGTTCCTCCAAATCAAGAAGTTTGGAAACAAGTCACAATATATCAGCTACATGTCAATTTTTAATTACCAAAATTCTTAAAATGTTTCTTGTTACACTTTGTATCTATTGCCAAGAAATAACCATTAGGACAAGTTATATATACGCTCTGTGTGTAATTACAATAATACATGTGTGTTTTTTCTCTGTACCTAGTATGTTAACATAAATCAACTCATTTGAAAATGTATGAGAATTGATGAAAGTATTTATTTTGAGAAAGTGAAGAAGTGTGAATGTTTTAAACAATAAACTCTGTATCTTATTCTTAGAGTTAGAAAGCTTGAATTACTGTGTGGAGATAAAAATCTTCATTATTTCACAATAAATATCTGGTCCATTTCTGAAAGTCTTGTCAGAAATATCTGTATTTTAGTCACATCAATGTGATATCGATTAGACCTAATAACCATACTGGTGAAGAAAATTATCATTTTTCTGTTGTGTAGAGGATTTCAGTTGTTTTGTAAATTAGTTTCAGACTATCAACTATGATTCTTTGTGACATGTATTTTATTGTTTTTGATATGGATCGCTTGGTCATAAACTACAAATGTAATGGCATTGCTAGCAAAAGTTTACACTGGCTGTAATTCTTAATACATTCATTTGCTTGGTTTCATGAAGACAGGAAAGGCTAACAAAGGTAACTACAGCCTGTAGGTAGTGTATTATTAGGGCGACATTTGAAGATACAGTAGTTATAATGAATTGTGTTGATTTTACGAGGATCACTATAAAACCTATGTGACCTTTACAAAGAACAATTACAGTGAAATAAAATAGTTGCTACAAAGCAATTTTGTGATTTGTAATTATATTTTACTTAGCTCATCTGCCTGAGGGTAGAGAGATTTAAACTCTTGTTTTCCAAGTTCACAGGGGTCAAACATGTTCTCTGAATGACCATAGAGTTCATTGCTCATGCTGCTCAGATAAATTAGGACTATCTGATTACATAGCCAAGCTCTTCTTCATATTAAGCTGTTTGCATATATCTCGCATCAAAACCACCAGCAACAGGTAGAGCTTTCCACCAAGCTATATGATGAGTATGATTTTTCAATTTCTCTGTTCTGGAATTACCATTTCTAGAAGGTAAATTCTGCTTCCTCATTCCACATTTGAGCTGATATTCAAGAACATGTTCTTAACATAATTTGTGTGAGAGTTAATGACAGCTTACAGATAAACTTACAGGTGTAGGTTGATGAAAACTTTATAAAAGTTTTAACACCAATAAATTCCAACTACTTGGTGTTGTGACACTAAATCATGGATAGTCAAAATCCTTTGGACTATTTAATGGCTATGATGGGTAGTATTTTATCAAAGTTACAAAAGGAACGTTGAAACCCAACATTATGATTCGGTGGTACCATTTATAAGAAATATGCATGTTTCTTGAAACAAACAAAGTCTCCAGCCAAGTTATTTCTCTCCTTCGCTTTGTTAAGTTTCATTAAATTGACCCCAAAATATTCTTATAAAACACTGAACTGTGTGTGACACAATTTATTCATTTGTTTAAAATATTGGTACATAATTTGTTCATCAAAAGTGTTATGAAACATGATAAATATTTGACTAGTTTTATGACATGATAAAAGGTATACAACAGAGGGATCTATTAAGAAGGGAGATAACTCCAATAAAAACAATTGAAAAACAATGTGACTGAAGTATATGCTCTTTTCAACCTGATGAAAGTATCATGCCTCTGGACTCTTTTATCACATAACACTTTAATTAAAGGAGATCTATTATGATCAGGCAGACTTTTTACAAAACAATTCCTCCAAGATAATGCACAACATAAGAGTGCTCTATAGGTAGGCCATGAGAACTGGCTTACCTGTACCGGTGTTAATTGCTATTACATGTAAATGATTTGGACAAATATAAATACAATAACTTGTAAGAGGCTAACTAGCCTACTTCTTACACTCCTGTACCTGTATAAAGGTTAAGTATTATTACATTAAGGTATATTTATGATTATAAAAATTTGCACTGTATATATACAAAGTGTATATATATATTAAATGAAATAATGTCAGCAAGATCTTTCTCAACAATTTATTTCTCAGTCAATGAGTATTAAAATATGGTTCACATTGTATAACACACAATTACAGATTCAAACAAACCTTTCATAAAAAAACTATCAAAATACTACAAACAGATCCAACATAGAAATACATATATGTAAATCAAATAGCAATCAAGTGTATAAAACATTAGTTGTGACAGGTAATTTAAACAATGAAGAAGTTTCCTGCACTGGTTACAGTCAAACACACACATTACTAAATCATGTCCAGTGACAACATGACAAACCAGTGTTTAGTATGATCTCCCCATCAATCAGAGTTTAAAAGCTCTTACCGTACTGTCACTTTGATCTTCGTACAGTTTGCTTACACAGAAAAGTTTCCATATGAAATGTGTTCGGACATGAATCTTTGCTAGAAAAAACACAATGTGAATCTGGAATAGCAATAGTAATAAACAGCTGTAACAAGCATTTTGTAGCTGGTATATGGGGCAGATGTTGGTTAAGTAAGTGACCTTTTGATAATCTTTATTTAAGTAAACCTATCATCTTTCATCTTTCCCAGAAAGTAAGTGGGGTGCACTTTAATGTATGCAATTAAGCTGATTGGCTCTGCTTAATATGTGTATGGCAATATCCCAAAAACCATATACGACTCATCTGTTAATCATAAGCCACTAACTGTGTACAATAACCCACTTACTGTATACAATAACCCAGTAAATGTGTACAATAAGCCACTAACTGTGTACAATAACCCAGTAACTGTGTACAATAACCCAGTGTGTACAATAACCCAGTAACTGTGTACAATAACCCACTAACTGTGTACAATAACCCAGTAAATGTGTACAATAACCCAGTAAATGTGTACAATAAGCCACTAACTGTGTACAATAACCCACTAACTGTGTACAATAACCCAGTAAGTGTGTACAATAACCCTGTAACTGTGTACAATAATTACCCACTAACTGTGTACAATAACCCACTAACTGTGTACAATAACCCAGTAAATGTGTACAATAACCCACTAACTGTGTACAATAACCCAGTAACTGTGTACAATAACCCACTAACTGTGTACAATAACCCAGTAAATGTGTACAATAAGCCACTAACTGTGTACAATAACCCACTGTGTACAATAACCCACTAACTGTGTACAATAACCCAGTAAGTGTGTACAATAACCCTGTAACTGTGTACAATAATTACCCACTAACTGTGTACAATAAATGCACAGTAACCGTGTACAATAACCCAGTAACTATACAATAACCAAGTAACTGTGTACAATAACCCAGTAACTGTACAATAACCCAGTAACTAGGTACGATAACCCAGTGGCTGTGTAAAATAACCAAGTAACTGTATACCATAATTATCCAGTAACTGTGTACGATAATTATCCAGTGACTGTGCACAATAATTACTCAGTAACTGTGTACAATAACCCAGTAACCGTGTACAATAATCATCCAGTAACTGTGTACAATAACCCAGTAACCGTGTACAATAATTATCCAGTAACTGTATACAATAACCCAGTAACTGCACGATAATTATCCAGTAACTGTGTACAATAACCCAGTAACTGTACAATAACCCAGTAACTAGGTACAATAACCCAGTGGCTGTGTACAATAACCCAGTAACTGTGTACAATAACCCAGTAACCGTGTACAATAATCATCCAGTAACTGTGTACAATAACCCAGTAACTGTGTACGATAATTATCTAGTAACTGTGTACGATAATTATCCAGTAGCTGTGACCAATAACCCAGTAACTGTGTACAATAATCATCCAGTAACTGTGTACAATAACCCAGTAACTGTGTACAATAATCATTCAGTAACTGTATACAATAACCCAGTAACTGTGTACAATAATTCCTTAGTAATTGTGTACAATAATTACTCAGTAACTGTGTACAATAACCCAGTAACTGTGTACAATAATCATCCAGTAACTGTGTACAATAACCCAGTAACTGTGTACAATAATCATCCAGTAACTGTGTACAATAACCCAGTAACTGTGTACAATAATCATCCAGTAACTGTATACAATAACCCAGTTACTGTGTACAATAACCCAGTAATTGTGTACAATAATTACTCAGTAACTGTGTACAATAACCCAGTAACTGTGTACAATAATTATCCAGTAACTGTACAATAATTATCCAGTAACTGTACAATAACTCAGTAACTGTGTACAATAATTATCCAGTAACTGTACTGTAACTATCTGAGATTTTTTCCATACCTGATCTCTGGCATCATGAGATTCAAGATATGTTTTCCACAAACATTTTTATTCAGAATGTTAAGCACCACCATGGCAAAACTAAGAAGTCAGAAGATGCTTATCGTTACAAAATATAGAATTACTGAAGCATGAAACAAAATAAGCTTCAACTTTCAATTATCAATCTTAAACACTAAACGTAAAACATTCAATCATAATGACACATTTTTTCATGGCTATAGAGAATGCATAAAGTGTCTCCAATATTTCTACAAGTGGTGATTCATATGGAAGTTTCAGTCAATATTACAGACTCATCACATGCAGACTTGCACTTTGGCATTTGGCAAAACCAGAAATCCAAATGATTCAGCAGGCCAGGGAACTGGGGCACGGACAATGGAAGGTATCATCAGATCAGGCAAAGAGTCTCCATCCATACGCAATAACTTTCCATTCAGATAAACATCTCTGAAAGAAACATTCCCTTTGTCATTAGCTTAAAGTTTAAACCTTGAAAACTAGCCAGGTGAATGCACAGATGTATCTTGGTTGAGAAAGCTCAAAGGATTTTTTTCTCTTGTCTTACATAATGAAATATTTTGATCCATACATATTTGATCTGGTTCTACTTTTGAATTGTTTTTACTTGACTTGTCCATGCACAGGTAAATGTACTTTTACTATCATCATTATCTGAATAGCAATGCTGACACTAGTTGCTTCTTTGAGTTATCCTTACAGGAGAGATAAATGAACTGGAAGCACATGTAGTGCTTGATGGCCCATTCGAATTGAAAGTTGAGAAAACCTTTTAAAGAGGAAGAGACAGTCTTATACTACAGACTTTAAAACTAGTGTTGTAATCTATGAGGAAGAACATGGCAACAGGGAGGCAGGACACCATTTTGAAGTTGATAAAAAGTCTGTTAGACAATTGCACCAAAACTAACTATACGTGAATTTATTCTTACATATCTTACATTTGAAAAGACTTTGTGTAGCCTGCAGTTTTAATGGTTTTTGGAAAACAATTTGTCAGATACGCAGCTTCATCAGATAGCCTGATGAGAACATTTTTTAATGTTTAATGTAAGGGTAATACACAAGAACTTAATGTTGGTACGACAATGCACAACATTTATTTTCAATCTAATGAAATCCTATAAGACTTATTTGCTAATATGACATATCTAAACAGTCAACACTATGTGCAGACATACTTACTGAGATTGTAGATCCCCATTGGAGTGAAGATGAAAAAAATAAAGGTCCTCATTCTCAAAGAGATTGGACGTGACATTTACTGTTGTTGTCCAAAGATTTAACACATAAACAGTAATACTTCCAGCGGGAAATTTGTCTCTGAAAGAAAGGAAATCAACAAACAATAAACTATAATAAAATACTATGATTCAAGTAATCAAAACTAAAGACAAAAAAATAAATACCCGGTATTCAAAATGGCTAAACAGTGATACATATTTTATGAGTGTTCATGACGGAATAGCTGCTCTACTGCTGTCAAATATTTTGCATGAATATGATATTCATCTTAATCACTTGAGACCAAAGCTAATGTTTTTAGCTTCAAGTCAAGTCTGTGTTTTGATACTTTCCATTTAAAGCAGAGATACCTAGGATTGTCAACTAGGGGTTGACTAATACTACTCCCCCTTCACACTCCTTGTTTGCTGTTAGTTACCCCTATATGGAGTATGAGTTGGACAAACTACTGAAAATAAGAGAACAATACCCTGGCACATAGTAAACAAATAAATTTCAACAACATCTTATTTTGATGCTTTTTGCATTGAAAACATTGCACTAAAATATGATTTTGCTAATTGATGCTTCAGTGTAATATTTACATGTGTGTAGTAATTTGATTGTGCTACATTTGGTATGTTTACAGTAACTCTGGTAAAATGGACCAATGAACTTGAGGTAGGATTTTTTATATTCTCTATTGTAAATTTGAATACAAAATAGCTACCCCTTCTGTGTTGACTGGCCATTTCAGAACTGTAACACACATGTGACCTTTAAACCAAGAAGCTTTGGAGATATTTACAGAGTTCCTTTTATTGCAGCAATGCCTATAATTCCCTAATGTATATTAATTGACATACTATTAACAGATAATTAGCTATTTCAGAACTGTAATGCATCTGTGACCTTTGAACAGTGACCCTATGATCTTGGCAGCTTCAAACAATGTAGCTTGCATCAATACTTTTAATTTTCTAATGATAGTTATATCTTGTAAGGGAAACATGTTAATGAAAATTAAGATAAAAGATGTGGTTAAAGATTATCAAATTTTTGATTAACAGTTATGAAGTTAAATTATATCAATTTAATGTGATAATCACAGCAAATTTACTTCAAGACTAATCAGAATGTACATACATATCAAATATCAACAACTATTGATACCAGTATACATACGTGGAACAGTGAGCATAGGCCCGCAGGTGTCCAGTCTTATCAGAACTCTCTGTAAGCAACACTTTGGACCCCACAAGCTTCTTGTAGAGGACTGATAACCAGTAGTCCTGAAATAAAGAGATGAACATTCATTTAATTGTATACAAAACAAGCCTATCTTTCTCATCGTAAAAGAAAAAACATCAATCATTCTGATCTAACGAGATCCAAAATTACCACGAGAAGCAGCAGTACATAAAGATCTCTTAATCACATAACTGTTGTGTCATGTCATACGGCCATGCTAACACTATCTTATGACATGTGTAATAAAACTGTTGTGACATCATAAATAATTCATAACTTGATGATGTCACATGATTGTCTCGATAGTGAAAAACATACTGTCTGCATCAATATCAGTCAGTCCAATGGGGAAATTCACATGAAAATTTTTGCATATTTTTCAGAAATATTAGTTACAAGATAATTAGAATCTTCCATTCATACCGATGTATTATGAAATTTATTAAACAGATTAAATAAATTGATAAGTAACTCGCCTCGTGATACATCAAATATTATCATACTTCTTTAACAAACTCATTGGGTAAGATCCTCCATCACGTATTAGTTAAAAGCACAGGATGAAAAGAAATATAGTCAGTTCATATGCACAACAGCTATCAATAACAAAATCTGTTTCATAAATTGGAATATTCTACATAGCCAAGTCTGTTACAGAAAATGAGAAAACTTATTAGCTTGCAATGGTGTTTGTATTACCTCAGGTCAATCAATGAGGTGAAACTATACCACACTAATCATATAGCTACACATTGCCTTAGAATTAGGGAGTGGAGTTACTACAGGACAATAACACAGCTTCTGTTGGAAGTTATATAATTGAACAGCAATAGATATGTCTATTAAGGATGAAGTTAAGGGCTTACTGAAGACTGAAGAATGGCAGAGTGTCTTCGTGCTACTTTATCCATATGTTTAGACATCACCATATACTGCCAATTTCTTAATAATCTTTTTCTTTACATTGGCAAGAATATAATGCAACATATATGCGCTTATATTTCACTTTTAAATCGTGGCATTTTCTATAAGAAATGCCTGAACATATATGTACAACAAGAATGTTAAAGTGACACAAATTTAACATGCTACATGTACTTTGTTCCACAACACCACACACCTTGGATCTTTGCCCAAAGATGTGAAGTCCAACATTCTACCCACTAAAAAGTTACAGAAGCTTCCATTATTAATCATTATACCTTAGTGTAAAACTGGTAAGTTCTTCAACTATGAATCCATATTAGAAATGAGCACTGAAATTGTCACTTACAGGATTTGGCTCCAAGCTATGCCAGTCGATCAATCCATATTTAGCACCATAGAATGCCTGTCGTATAACCACATCAATTCCCTGACTGGCAGCCACACCCAGCTTATCTAACCACCTATAAACAATGTAACTTACTATCAAATCCACCAATATCTTTACACATTTGACAAAACAACTATGATTTATCATAGTTTTGGGTTTGTGTCATTAAGAGCACATCAATATCATGATATTGTTGGCTAGTTTTCTATTTTTACAATATCTACAATTACTCACTTTGAAGTGATTAAGTGTTGACAATATTATACCATATTGCTGGTAATTTTCACGGGTCATAATCTTCACAATTATTTTTATAAAACAGCCAAATTATATTGTAATGAATGAAAATTTTGGGATTTGGATATGAAAGAACATTTAATGCATCTCATTCCTTCATAGATTAAATTTTTGCAGTCATGTTACTGTACTACAAAATAGCAAAAAATATCATCCCCCACGAAAATAACTGTCTATACTAATAATAAAATGTAAGCTTATTCAGCCTGTCTCATACCGCAGGATCTAAATAACCCAATTTTAGTTTTCTCCTTCAATCATTAATTATTACTTACATGAATCCAGCAACATATCTGTCAGAGAGGCCTGTAGCTCCTCCTCCCCATGCTGAGCTTGTTTCTCCCAGCCACACCCTCTTCCCAGGGGCATACTGGGCTGCAATCTTGTTACCAGTGATAATCTCTGGAGCTAAGCCATCAAGAACATATGGACTGAGGAAATCCTTTATAGTGGCTACACGTCCATCAACATAGTAACTGGCATCAAACAAAAAAATAATCTAAAAGCCTTAAATAGAGATTTCACGAAATTATTTATGAATCATGATTGAAATTTGATAAAACTGAAAGATATGTAGTACTGGAACTGATATCAATCACAGGTAATTGGATATTTACAGCAATGCAGTTAATTTCTTGTCTGTTTACTTTTCTTATACAATTTGTGTCCCAAATACTTTGGATATTTTCACTCCGAATATTAATTATCTCAACAGCTATCTGAAATGTCCAGTTGATTTTCAATAATGTTTTTAAAAACATGATGTCTTTTTTTTTGGCTCATTTTTTCATCTCAAATGACGACAACTTTTCTTTGCTTACCACCTAACTGACATCAATTATCATGTTTATTTCAATTTATATGTAATTCGTCAGGTACCTTTTTTTGAATTCCCATTTATTGATATAGATATTGACTTATATACGAAATGTACTTATTTCAATATTGATCAGAAATTAAACAGAATTAGGGTATTTAAGAGTACAATAAAGGCCGTCTGGGCCTTTGTCCCTCACCATGATGTTAAAGTGCTAATGGCAAAATATTCTTTACAAAATCATAATATCACAATATAATAATGTCTTCAGTAGTCTATGTCTAAATTTCAAATGTACATTGAAACTTTAGAAATGTTAACACTACAACTGTATATACAATCAAATAATCAGGCATTGATCTTGATACTCTGATTTTCTAGAAAATGTTTCTTGAACTTTTACATCCTTTAAGCCTATAACCTTGAGATTTGGTCGAGGTCACTGATACCAATTTAAATTAAAATCTTTCTTCTGGGCATTAAAGGCTTTCAATATAATAGACCCCTGTGACCTTGTCATAAGGTCAAGATCATTTACATGAGGAAAGTTAAAAGTGTATTTCATATCAAGTACATACTGAGAAAATATCAGGAAAAAGTGTCTTCTGTAACTTGAAAAGAAGTTTCTTAACATGTTTTTCACATAACTGACCCCTAAACCTTGCAATATGTCAAGCTCATTTACATACTAGTATTGATAAAAAAATAATTGCAGTCCATTCTAGTTATCTACCAGCAAAAAATGAGGAACCTTATATCACTTCATCCCAGATAATGTATCTCATTTTTCTAGTAACATATTGGGAGCCTGGGTCTACTAGAACTTAGAGAAAGAAAAATATTCTTAATTCTATACACATATTTGACCCCTGTGAACTAGAAAGCAGTCAAGGTCATTTACATGTGGATTTTTTTTATAGCACATCATTCCAGGCATTTTAAAGCTAAATGTCAGTGCTTAGCTGCTTAAATTTTTCTAAAAAAGATTGTTTGAATTATAAAGCTGATGGATGGATGATTGAACCATACCATAATCTCTGTGAGGAGAAAATGATAATTTCAAAAGAAAACATGAAGGCTCACACTCATTTTTAAAAAGTGATAATTTTTGTGTCATGTTTTCATATATTTAATGTCATATACAAAATGTACATAATTATATCATGCTTAAAGATATACAAGTGGTTTGTCATTAAATCAAATGTGATTTACTCACTGATGGAATGTTGGAGCTGTTACAATTTCACCTGCACCATTCTGAAGAAAGCTAAAACAAATATGAAAAGATGATGTAATTTCTGACTGTTAGAGCTGATACCAGTAACATAAACATGTAAGACATCAGTTCTGTAATATTGTTCTAAAATAAACCCTCCAGGACCAATACGCAAATTCTGACTAAAATAGGGAGGCTTATTACATGACAATGAACAGCTTTTATGGAGTTTTCTACTAAAACTGTAACAGCTGTGGATTGTCTTACTGCCAAGTATGGACACAATGCCAGATAATCACATTACGTGTATCGTCTTTGAAATGCTGACTTTAGCCACCTGCTATTGCACATCTATGGTTTAATTAACAAGTCTTCAAACATGCTTTTTGTAAATCAAAAACTTTTTCCTATGCGGTTGTAAAGGATAGGGATATCACACTGTAGGGGTCACAAAATGGGGTAAAACCTGAGGCTTTTTAAAGGTTTTTACTAAACTTTGGGACCCTCAAAAAGGCTTGAGCCAGAAGGTTTTATGATATATTCTATGTGAATTCATCTATGGATTATTCCAATTTTCTTCATGAACAGGCCATGTATGAAAAAGTATTTTTCTGGCACATTATATTTAATCATAAGATTTTCATCTTGCAGTCATCTTTTATTTTCCAACCAGCTTTGACAATGGGTCAAGTTGTTCCATTTTTGTGTCACAGATATCAATATTTTCTACTGTAGTAAACTTGTGAGCCAATATTACACCAATGGGGAAAACATGTATAACACGATATAGAAATGGATGATACACACACAACAGGTGTGAGAGAATATACCCCCAGCATATGTGTATATAATATTTCTTTTGTATATATGTATAAATTATGTATAAAATTATAGGTATTCAATAATATGTTACAGATGTATATCACAAATATTGTAAATTCCTTTAAACCTTTTTTCTTGTATGCACCAATCTGATACTCAGTATTCAAAAGAATCATGAAAAAAATTGCCATGAAAAGCATAAATATCATTATGGCCATGTTCAACAAGTCATCGGTAAAATCTTTGTTACTTACTCTGAGAAATATATCTGTGATCGTACATGTAGCAGCTGAGTTACACTTGGTCCCATGATCTGAAATTGCTCATAATCAGGCAGCAACTTCAGTAAATTTTTCATTGTGGAATAATCCTTGGCAAGTTGGGCGGCTGAAATGTCGAATCCATACCCATGAAAATCATCTGGTTCTGAAACAAAGAAATCTTTTATTGATATCATGCAGTACTTTTTTAATCAATTTAAAGTAATCATCCTAACACATTTTATTGAATTAACTACAATATGTTCTTAAAAGCACTAACTCTACCACCATCACTAGACACAAGCATTCAATTTATCACGTTATCCAGATGATGCTTTGTGTCTTTTTGAAATTTACATAATGATGACAATCCGTACCATATCTGAATAAGTGTGTGAACTTGGGAAAGAAGATGCTAGAGCGCTGACAAATTGGGGTCTTATGAAGGGCACCATTCTATTTATCATCCACTCGAATCGGCTTCATCAGGTAAAAGTTTATTATTCAAACTTGCTGTTAAATTTCCAGATTAACCAAATACTGATGTTGGCAAGTCCAAATCCATGAACAGTAATAATATTATAGTTCCTTGTGTCATTGTAAATAACAACAGTACGAAATAGTAGTCACAAATTTAACTTGATTATTGATATAAAAGTGTAAACAATCACAATTTTTTTAATATCTACTTTGTTTTACAATATATTTTTTCCATTCATTTGAAATAAAATTGTACATTAAATTTTATCAAAAAGTGATGCAGACCTCATGAGATTTCACACAATTATGTGTCTAGTGTTTCTTTGGGAATTATTTACATTTTCATGTCATGGAGTGGATGGACACAACTTTTCAGAAAAGAAATAACCAATAATAATTATGAATAGAAGTATAACCAGTCAGTAAGTGACAACATTTTGTTTATAACAGATTCTGGCAATTAGTAATAAAAACTTTCAAACCAGATCATTGCCAGATCAACAAGGACCCTTCTGTGCATTTGGCCATACTTTGAATTACCTCTCATTTTATGCTTGATCATGTTAAATTTACCTATCACAATGTCAGAGAGAATATTCTCATATTCTACCATTGGTAACACCAACATTTAATGACCACAGGTCTTTCTGAGATACAGCACTAACAAACCAGAGATCAAGAAGTTTAAGATGGCTATCTGTTCAGCAATACATTTTTTTTTAGTAAAATCGAGTAAAATTTGAGATATCCAGTGGTGTAGTGGTTAGTGCTAACCTTTTACTTTGGCATCTGGGGTTCAATTCCCAACACAAATGTGAAAAGGTATGGAGTCACCTGCCCAACCATGTGGGTTTTCCCCGAGGTACCCCGGTCTACTCCCATCATTAAAACCACCCACTCTTCAATGGGGCCAAGAACAATGATGTAAGTTGAAATATTCAATAACTAGTTTCACAATTGTTGTAAAATAAATAAAGTTGAATTTAGTGAAGAAAAATTTGAAAAAGATTCAAACTATACAAAAAGTGCAAAGAATGATTCAGCTTACCATTACCAAGCTCCCATCCTGCAAGACGATATCCCTTTGATGCAGTGTATTTCAGGAGTAACTTAGCATTATCTGAATCCCATTTGCCATCGCTACGAAGGAAAACATTGAGATCAAACAAGAAGTCCCATCCCACCTTTGTCATAAAATGGTTGATATCATCCCACATACTAGCTGCAAAAAACAATATTGCATATTTAAAACACAGTAAACAAAATAACAATAAATACACTTCCACTCCTTATCAATGACCAAACTTTACTAAAATGAATTTCCATGTATGTATGTGTATCACTTCCTTGATAATTCTAAAACCCCCTTTAATTATTGCTAAATTTAGTATACCATGTATATATAATTTACATGTAACTTGCAGTAGATATATTTGAGAATATCATGTAAATAATTTTTTGTGTATCTGGGTTTATGTATATTGTATATATCATGTTAATACATTTTGGTGTAGCTGGGGATAGGTATATAGAATATATCACCATGTATACAATGTAGGGTACCTGGAGTAATTAAAATTAGTACCTAGTATATCACATATAAAATGTAGGGTATCTCGAGTAGGTAAAATGAGTACCTAGTATATCACATATAAAATGTAGGGTATCTCGAGTAGGTAAGTGAGTACCTAGTATTTCACATGTAAAATGTAGCGTACCTGGAGTAAGTTGAAGGAGTACCTAGTATATCACATGTAAAATGTAGGGTACCTGGAGTAAGTTAAATGAGTACCTAGTATATCACATGTAAAATGTAGGGTACCTGGAGTAAGTTAAATGAGTACCTAGTATATCACATGTAAAATGTAGGGTACCTGGAGTAAGTTAAATGAGTACCTAGTATATCACATGTAAAATGTAGGGTACCTTGGTGTATGTATAGTGAGTATGTATCATCTAAGTGATTGTATTATTTTACATCAAATTGTGGTTTCTATATCTTATTTTAATTATATCAATATGTGGATCATACATTTTGAGGAAAATAAATAATGTGTATTACAGACATATAAGATATTAATTTCTGAATTTACAAAATGAAACAAAAGTTTAATTAAATCCAGTAAGACATGTCATAAAATCTATATAGTGCTAAATTATAACTAAAGTGAATGATTAAATCAAAAGACAATAAACCTATCTACATACAGATCATATGTATGTATATATGAATATATATTCAAGGTGTCATCAATATGTATAGCAATACATACAGCAGTCTCAATGTGCACATTACTCAGTACAACCTTAAATAGATGTTATACACAAAACAAAACTATAAAACCCAAGGCCTTAATTAATAAAACAATTAATAAATATGTTTAAACTACATACATAACAAAATAACATTACAGTACAACACATCACCTTATGATATAAAATAATACTCCAGTATCATTGAACAAACCTGTCATTGTAAAATTTGTAAAATTCCTTTTTTTCCCAAATTCAAAATTGTTCCATAACGGCACAGATTGGAGAGATCCATCTTGATGTGGAAGATCTTGGTCGTTAAAGTGCTTGGCTTTATAAGAAGTTGCTTCTGGACTAAAGGACTCTGTTTTGTTTATAGAAAATATCAAGAAATCTGCCTTATTTCCACCCATCCTCAAGTAGCAAGGTGACAGTGCTCTAGCCATGTTTTGTAGTTTTTTGGATCTGAAATATGAAAACACACAAATGGCATATTAATGATCAGCCTGCATCAAACATTGGCACACACATATTTCACTAAAATTTGTATGAGTTACTTTTCGACAAGGAATAGACTAGCTTCTTCACTGTGTATAACTGACGTGTATTTTTCCTACTTCTTCATGTTGAGTTACCAAAAAAAACTTCAAAGCATTGGCAGTTTGGAAGGCAGAGACCCAGAAGACCTACAGTGGCCTTTAGAGTAATCTGTATCAAACAAATATCTGTCTATAATGGACATTAATGGTCACTAGCTTGGGGGTCACAATATAATAAAATTCACAATATTTGAACCAAACAGCCTACTAAAATTTCTGCTCTCTTGGGTGATGTTTATAGATAGGCTTGACTGTATATGTATACAAATGAAGCAATTTCCTAGGCATATATCTCAACCATCAACCAAAATTGTGACAACAGCTAAGCATCAACAGAATCGAGCTTTAGACAAATAGCATGTTACTTTGTATTCTATCAATTTTTTTCAATCTTTTGTTGAAAACTATTATAAAGAAAACTCAAGAAAATTTCTTTTGAAAATAGAGACCACCTCAGACTTGTTTTGTATCATTTCATGAATATCAAAAAAGAAAAGGTAGGTGAGGAAGGGATTATAATAGTAAGCAAGATTGCAAATTAGAAATTCATCTTCACATGATGCTGGAACACAACGAAGTTAAGATAATTGGTTACAGATGTGACAGGAAAGAGAAAACTATGTAATGTGACCGAATTGTTTTACAAGTTTGGATAAAAACACTGTTTATCATCTAGCTAAATCTCACAAATATTTCAATGTTTCATATAGGATATATTTAGCCTTTTTCTCATAAAATTAGACTAAGATTTCCAAAGTAATACTAAAGCTAACTAATATATCGATCTATACATTACCATTGCGAGTCCTGTACTTACAGAATATTGATGGGATTCATAGAAAAGGAAAAAACTACTTATATTTTACTTTGTGGGACCCATAGTTTGTAACAATGAAGTTGAAAAGGATTCATGAAAATGAATTATAGATTAATCACTGATTTTAGAATGTATATTCATGACTTTTCCCTTGTTACCTATAACAAAAAGGTGTTTTTTCATTAACAAATTTTCAAGTTAAATAAGAGAGTAACTTTCAGGTGCTGCAGGTGTATTAGGAAGAAGTTAATGAAAAAAAGTGACCCTTCAGTCTCTAGTCAAACATTCTACCACTTCGCAGAAGGGAGATTTCCATTCGTCATGGTTAGTTATAAAACCTGCACTTTCAGCTACTACTTTACTCCGTTAATTCCTTCACACATTTTTCACCCTCGATTACACCAACAAACCAGGTTCTTTGGCTCAAAGGGAAGCATCTCTATCTCCTATAACTTTTACCCTTGCAGTTTTTTTTTATAATTTATTTTTGAAAGATTTTTCACATATACATAATAATGCACAAGTACACTAACATTCACTCTCTCACATCATCATCATCAGTGTACATCAATCATCATCATCAGACATCATTAGATCAAACATCATAATCATTTTCATCATCATCTTGAGCACATACAAATATATATATATATCTTCAAACAGTATAGTGCATCCACACATAACCTCACACCCACAGAGAGACAGGGTGAGAGAGAGGGGGAGAGCAAGTGAGGGAAAGAGAGAAAGAAGGAGAAAGAGAGTAAATGGGGCTCTAAGGGTAGACTTTTTTAAGGTGATGAATTTGATATTTTATGTTATGTTGCATAGTTACAAAATGTATTCATTTGATAGAAACATTGTATATGCTCCCCCCTCCCCCCGCTCAGACAAGGACTTTAAAAAAAAGAACTTAAGTAGTAAAAAATAGTACTTTATTGTAGGAAATGAAATTTATCATAAATGACTATAATTTTTGTTTTTTCTTTGTCCTATTTACCATTTACAATATATTTCTGGATTAAATAATTATCTTTGTGTTTATAAGAGCATTTATTTATAGAGAGAGTTGTGAAAGCATCTCATCCTGTAAATAAACTGTTTTATAGTTATGACACTTTTATTTTCAACATGATTACTGGAAAGGAAGTTCTGATATAGAAAGCTTCTACACTTGCAGTGGTCAACGTCACCAATTTTTTAATAAAAGTAGTAATGAATGATACCCTGTTCCAGCTGGGGTTCAAACTAGAGACCATTCAGGCACTAGCAGAACTTCTAAACAGGTGTAGCCATGGTAAATATTAGCCGTTATATTCCGTATAGGTAGAGAGAACTTCACAGGATGTCACTGGTTCAAATCCTAGCCAAAGCATTGAAATAAATAATGACATTGACAGCATATATAGAGACACTGGAATAATACTTTGCATTGTACCACAGATATCGCTGCAACTCCTAGAAATTTGAGGACAAGTTCTTCCCATGCAGGGGAGTATGTAACCGTGGTAAAATGTTGCTGCAATATAACTTGGCTCGAGAGAACTTCTCTTCCAACTCAATCAGTTGAGTGTTAAGACTCATTTGCCAGAGGTACTGGGTTGGAGGTATATATTGAAATACATAATGACCTCTGGCATCCATGCAGAGCTCTCAAATTGCAAGAATTAGTTGCTTAAGAGGAGACAGACATACCTTCCTATCAAAATTAAATGTGAAATATCTGATTTCAAGCCGTACTAAAGACAAAAAGAAATAATGCTAGAATTTACCGAACACAATACTACCAAGGAATTGCACATTCTGCACTTATTAGAGTCTTTTTCAAATTAAGCCTTTTCTCGATATTTTAGTAAATTGCTAATTAAAGTTTCGTTTGCAATGATCAATATGCAACCTGGTGATATTTGATTTGGTTTCAGTTTTTAGCACCTAGTTTAAATTTGCAACCGAGTCTGATTACGTTACATTAAAATACAAAGTATGAGAATCTTACTGAAAATCAAGGTTTCCCCAATTTGCTTGTGAAACATTGGAATCTATTGTCATGCTGACGAAATGTGAATTAGTTGTTTTCAGAACTGTGTCTGTATGAATGCGGATTTCTACATTATCACTACACAACACTGCTTTGCCACAACAAATGACAAAAAGTAGATATGCAGAAATCTGTTGCGGCCGCATCCTGCTCTCCTGTCATGAGACTAGCGGAAGTAAACAATGATCGGTACGTGCGACGATTTACCCAACGCCAACGTAGCTATCCATCACTTCACCCTACGCCACCCACCGCCAGCTGTTAAGCTGGTTATATATTAAAAAAAGGCCGAATAGATGAAATTTGTGACATTTATCGAAATCTTATTTGCCAATAATTAGTATGAGTTACGTGTAAAAAGAGGTGTCACGCAGGCATTGGGTAAATCGTCGCGCCCCGGTACTGTACATGCTTGTAAAATGAAACAAGAATATAACTGATAATAACAGAGCTATCTTTCATTCATACAAATGTGCAATAAAATACATCAAATAGCGAAATGATTATTCGAAATGAAGAATCAGAATTATTCAAGAAAACACTCTCCAACAACAAAACTGAAAGAAACAAAAAAATCCTAACCCCAGCGTATGAAAAATATGTTTTATCGTAATGATATAGATAAAAAAAGGGGGCTTCCGGAAAGCCCCGGGTTCCTTTTAAATATCTTTAATATATTAAATATTTTCCATAGTTATTATTTATTTTATTGCCCTAAGCAGTTAACCCATTTGAATTCATTTTACTTATATATTATGTTAACTTTACATTTCGATAACAAAGATTGAATATAAATTTGTAGTGTATTCCACATTTGCTTTATGCAATTATTTATTTGGTCATTGAATGAAATAATGGATATGTCATTAACTTTTGTCTTATGTTGTATTAAAATCTTTTTAACACATAGCATTGGATAGGCGTGGCATTAGGTAAATCATCGCACCCAACTTACTATGGTTGCTTTTGAGTAAGCGGTTGAAACAATTTGACATGTTTACTATGGGGGAAAACCCAACATTAACAGGCGCAGATCGGAACTGAGGCTTGACTGCAAAATGTTTGACATGTGCAATTTGAGGGGGAAACCGCACCTATTCGGAACTTAGTTTTAAACCATTAATTAAAAAAATCTGCACAAATCAGGGTCAGTGCACTCACATATATCTGAAAGCATTGCTACTAAGTATGAGTAGAATGAATATTATCTTATATAAGTTAATTCTATTATGTTTGAGAGGAAATTATGTGATTTTTACAAGTTCGTTTAGGACAGGTACGACTGAACCTCTCGGTCCCGATCTGCACCTGGCGTTTTCTTCGCAGGCTAACCCGGTCCAATCGTTTCAACTGCCTACGCGAAATCGTCCCAGGTAACAACGCATTTGATTGGCTTAGACGGGGTTAATAAAGTGGCAAATACATATATGGAACAGACGATAAGATATGGAAAACCTTCGTACAGCTCCGTGATACACTAAGATGTTTACCTGAATTTAAAGTGTTCCTTAACATCATGTGTGCTGTTAAGCATACTCTGTGACAGAGCAACGCTCAAAAAATTTGTGTTGACAGCGTAAATAACACTTGAATATATTCGGATATCATATGAAGCTCGAGGATTTCCATTCATATTCGAATTAACATTACTTTTAACTGGAATCAAACATCCACAAATCACGACAACTATCCAACAGCCAAACTCAGATTTCATCTTCCTGTCTCGTCGGTTCAAGAATTCGCAATTTCGAACAACAACAAAAACACAACCGCTTAAGATGATAAAAAAGAATGTATTAAAATAGCTAAAGAAGTTTCTATCAAATCAACATTTAAAAAATGAATGAGATTATTTGCTGGTTAATAATAATTATTAATTGTACATAAAAGGAAATTCGTGGTGTATTTGAACAAATTAGTAATAGTTATTTTTAATGTGGTAAGTGATATGTAATAAAATTGGCAGGATATTTGAAAAATGGATAACTGAAGTGAAACTTTATTTAACTGGCCACTGTGCATGTCACACTGTTGATAAGGTATCTTTGGACAAAATGTGTCATTGCCTTCCTTCTTTGCATGAGAAATACAATTGTGTATCAGCTTATAAACATATATCGAAAATGAGGTATGAAGAAATTTACCTGGGTCGGACGATGAGACCTTGTTCTTTGGAATTATTCATAAAAATATAAGTATGAATACATCACAATTAAATAACCAATGATCACTTGCGATGTATATTACCTGATATCTAATACATTATCATACAAGAAAATTTGTTGAAATGAAATTGATACGTGGATACAGCATCATTCAATAAAGAGTTTGTATGTACTATCTTACAATATATGCCGAAAAAAAAAAAAAAAAAAATGAACACTCGCACACATCATAAAACCTTTTCACCCTCCTGGACATGACACTGATACTATTTTTCATTTTAGCAATATCTTGCAATAGTAGTTAATGTCATTTGAAATTATTTACTGCAAAGTAATGTTAATGTACTACTATATATATCTTAGCCTGTGCAATTATAGAATACATGGTAGACCAAAACCTGCATGTATGTATGTGGATCGATCAGTAAAAATATAAATATTAATAACAGTTTCATATATGTAAATATTGAATTTAAATTGAATGATCGTTTTAGACAGGTTATGATTTTTACAGAAAGTGAGACAAATGATTAACTTTTTGTGTAGATATGCACAGTGTACAATATGGCATTGATCGGGCCACTTCAAAAATATGACATCCTTTTTTGTTGCAAATTTTAAAAGACCTTTGTGTTTCCATTTTAATTGATATTGCATTTGAATAACTTACATTTCACTACTTAAAGAAGAAACTATCTCATAAATGCAGGTCTATAACCCATATGCGAGGAAATTTTCATTCTAACCACAGGGGTACATGTATGATCTATGTAAACTTTAACATCACAGGAATTAATGAAAAAACTATATTATGACATTAATGCACCTGTAAATAAAGTTTTCATAATGGCAGACAAATATTAAAAGATTCAATGAGTCCTGAATAGAATATTTAATGTGCACTAATTAATTCATGATCCTGCCAGAAAAGTTACTAAATCTAGGATTTTTGAAAATTATATTTATGCATATAAATGCCTCTACATTTATGTATATCTATCAACCGTTTCCTGTCCTTTCAAAATCTTGTTTTTTTCCAATGGATGTTTAAAATATCTTTTATAATATAATGTTTTGGACATACTGACATCACAAGTATCCCTACTCACTAGTGCTATTGCCTCTGGAAAAAAAATTATCAAAGTTTTTTCATTGAATGGGTGTATATATATCTGATAAAAGAAGTCAGTCAACTCTAAGACTAAGTTGTTATTTAAAACTTTACTTCAGTTTTTGAAACACTCCTTGTGACTTGTATTTTGATATAAGTCATTCTTATGGGAAGAAGAGGTGACAGATTATTAGCTCCCACTTTAGTTCCAGCTATCTCTACATTTCCATTTAAAATTTGTGAAAAAATATACAAACTTGTTACAAACATTTTGTACAAATAGATAAATTGTTTTTTGGCTCATCTAAGGGGATTTTTTTGTTACTTTCCATAGTGAATTTAAGTTTGGACAACAAGACAGTTTGTAAAACTCTTTTAGTCTAATTTCTTCAGGTGTTGTGTAATTCTCTGTGATCTGAGTTGCATATGTTAGAAGATATAAAAGTGTTCTGAAGACTCAAATTTTTCAAATTAACAAGAAAAGAAATAATCAACATTCTTTTCTGTCACATTATTTGTTTGCCTTGTGCTAATAAAGGGAAGCAGAATTGTTTTGTCATTCTTCACATTGTATGCTTGTCATCATATTTAATCATATCTGCATGTGGTTTGTTTCTGTTTACTTCACATGATTTATTGCAGACTTTTAGCTTTGGAGTTTATATGATTATGGACATATATCGTACAAATTATTTGTCTTATTTCCAGAGAGACATAATTGCCTAGAAATGGATATGGAGAAAAAGTATTCCAAAACACAGTATGAATGAGAATGAAGCTGAAAGCAGTGGCCCATGTAGGAAAGTTGGAAGATCCGGTAGAAGAAATCTCACTCCCTACTATCCTTATGATCATTTGACAGACCATGGCCAAGAAAGCAGGAAATCAAACTCAAAAAATTTAAGTCATCAGAAAGAGATTGCTCTTTTGTCAGAAAAGCAAATTGACACACGTCAGACTGGAGCAATATCTGCTAGGAATGTTAAGACTGCTTGCAGAATTGATAAAAGTTACACATCAAATTATAAAGATAATACTTGGTTTTCAAATTCTTTTGTTAGCAGAAGCAGTTGTAGTGTTGGAAAGAAAAACATTGGTCATGCTGAAAGCAGTTGTCAGAGGACTAGTTCTATACCAAAGAGGTTAAGATTAGATGTTGATTTTAGTCAAAAGTCCCAATCAGATCCTAATTTTGATGCAGAAATTGTTGAAGATTTGGTAAAAAATAGGAAACACTTTTCTGATACTGATCATAATGATACAGAGGATAGAAGTGGAAATTTACATGTAGGCCAAGAAGAACCACCAGTAAAACCACAAACAGGAATGGCTAGTACCCTATTAAGGAGTGAAAGGAATTCTCATCTCTTACATTCCACTCCAATAAAAAATCATAAAATGGTAAGGTATTGATTTTAAAATTTACCTGTAGTTATATTCTAAATTAAGACAACAATTTTTTGATAATCTAATAAGGCAATGCTGCATAACAGTTTCTGATTTACTGAAAGTTATTTTTTATTGGTGCATGTTGATATGAATATTGAATTAAAATTTTGTATTATGAGTGTGTACTATGATACTACCATATTTTTGGAATAGTCTGTGCACAGAAATCTGTGAAGGCAACCAAGCCAAACAAGTTTGATATTTGCTATTTTATGTTTTTTTACCTACATCAATAAATAAAGGATTTTCTGTGGATAATTCATTTGCAAACTTTATTAGATGTGGTACTGGCACTCTTGATAAATTGCCCTCAGTTGTCTACTATGTCAACAAACTTTGGTCAACATAATAGTTACCACTTTGTAAGAAAGGGTGTAACTTAAATTTAGGTGCGGCGTACATGTGGATCAAATTGGAAAAAATTGGTAAAAATCAGCTCTGTGGCTTTTAACCCTTAACCTGGGAAGATATTACTAATATTCAATATATTTTTTCATACTTGTGGTGTGGTAAAATTTAGCATCAGTTGTTTTTGGGATTCACTCCACCCATAAGTTAACCGAATCAAGTAATTTTATATATAGGTACATTTTAAAGTTTTTCAGATTGTTTTTTAACCAATAGTTAATTTGTTTTTAAAAATGAACATTCTTTTTAAAATATTACTGGTGGTATTGGATGTACATGTTTTAGTGATAACATGTTTCATAGTTATCCACCACACAGAAAGTTTGTCTGTTAACACAGGTTCTGATGGGTCATGTAATTCATCCTACGTGTTTACATCATCCCATGCAGTCACAAGTGCAAAGATTGCCATGGGGCTCACAGAAACAGACACACTGTATTTGTATTCCTAAGTTCTAAACAACAATAAACATTGAATTGATATTCTTATATTTGTAATTATATCACAGCTATTAAGAGAATTTATATGTGATGGTTTGATGACTACATTGTCACCTTCTATCAGACAAATGACAAATAATTACTTTTGTGAATGAAAATCCCTGTCAGGTGGATGCCATCTTAATTGAATTTGTTGATGTCATATTTTAAAAAATTTATATTATATTATAATGTCAGTGACATGACATTATATACAGGAAATCTCATATGAAACAATCTGACTTTGAAATCATCCCTTTGAAAAGCGAGAGTAGTGACATCATTGGGTAGTGATGGAAAACAAGTGACAGAAACTGGTGTGAAATGATAATGGTCAACATTGACATGACTCTTAAATATAGTTGGGTTTTTTCATGTAAATTTTCCAAGCTTTAGAATAAGTACATGTAATAAATTGCTATAATCATTTCTTTTTTCTTTTTAGAAGACAAGATTAGAGAAATCTGAGGTAATTTCAACAGAAGCTGAATACACCCTCAACAACAGCGACCATATTTTAGCTGGATTAGATATGTCTTACAATGTAAATGAGGGGAAAACAGATTCTAGAATTGAAACAAACTTAAACAATTCACACATCTCTGATCCTAATCAGGATCAATCACATATTTGCAAAAGCAATCAACATAATGGGAGTTCAGATGTGATTAGTGATAATTCAACCATTGAACGAAAGAAATGTGATGGCTTGCATATGTCGTCATGGATGCATAAAAATGAATTGACTAACAGGAAAACAAATGTTATGTATAAGAAATCACCAAAATCTTTTGATAGAAGTAGAGGTCACTCTATAAAAAGTGGTATGTCTAAAGCACAGCCTCAGGAATCTGTGCAACAAACAAAATGTATAAAACATATGGATATTTCTGATGATGACATCTTTGCACCTGATAGTGATTTTCTAAGTCAGATAGAAAGCTTGGAAAAGCAAGCAGACATTGCAACAGATAAACAAGTAATGACAGAAAAGGCTATCTCGCATAATACAACTAGTCAGCTTGTATTGCAGGAAACTAGAAAAAATAAAGTATTTCTGAAAAGTTGTGATAAATCGGATAACAGTGATGAAAGTAAACATTTTCGAGAAAAAACTGCAGGATCAGGTACAAAATCAGTTGATCAAGATCAATTAGGCGTACATATTAGTACTGTGTTGGAAACAAAGCATTTTACAGGTCCAAACCAAACTGACAAGACTTCACCTATGGAAACAAAAGGTCAAAGTCCAGTGGCTATATCTGCACCTGAAGTTTCCACGACAATGAAAACTCCAAATTGTTCTGGTTTAGGAAGCTCACTAAAGGACAGGATAAAACGTAGGCTTCAGGAGAATGCCTTAACTAAACTGGTACACAGTCCTGGAGCAGTAATGGAGCAAAGACGTGAGGCTGAAGTCTCTGTCGCCACAGAAGAGCAGATTCAGAGGGATGGCACTGACCTTGACATTGGCCCTTTTTATGGCCTATCTTCTAAGGTCAAAACCTTACTGCAACAGCACAGAGGCATCAACTCACTCTATGGTAATTTAAGGAATTTGCAATGGAATATATATAACCCAAGAGCTTCAGCATTGCCATACATACATTAGTGCATTAATACTCACTGATAATACAAGACTTATGTAAGACAGGGGCCTGGGCTATGAATCTTTCAAACCTTTTGAAGATAGGTGGGATCTCAACATGAGGTGGAAGATTCTAACTTAGGTAATTGGAAAACAGGATTTCCACTGAAGGGGTGAAATGTTCTATGTGACATTATTGAAAACATGATCACAAACATGATACCAACAGGGTAAAGGAAAAAATATTTCTCATTTTCCTCTTTAATGAGATTGAGATAGTGGGGATGTTGACCCTTTCAGAGAAAGATGGACACTTTATTGGCCTTATGTCTGCCAAATTAATAATCTTTCCCCATGAGTTGAGATCCTGTATGCCTATCTCATCCAAAAGAGGGTGGAAGATTCTGCTACTCTGACGTTGGGAAAATGTGGATACACCTTTTAATGTTAAAAGAAAACTCTCGTACTCGTGGGCATCAAAGCTGACTAATTGAGATGATTAGAAATGTAACATATGATGAACCAGACTAGATACTAAGTATCCACCATTGCAGACATGACAGCAATGGCTCAATACCCTCTTACTGAATTTTGAATTTTAAATGTTGATGTTTATCTTCTTTGTATGTGATGTAAAACTCATAGAATATTAACATGTTTGCAATACTTAAAAGTTTAAGGTATATTAGGATATGCATCAAACCTCTGTTTTACTTGTATATTTAGTATTCTGAATTTGTCATTTCACTTAAGCAACATTGGATTGATATTACAGCATGGCAGGATGAATGTCTGAATCTATCTGCTGTACTGGAGGGAAAGAACCTCATCTACTCCCTTCCGACAAGTGGCGGCAAGACCCTGGTGGCTGAAATTCTCATAATGAGGGAACTTTTGTGTAAGAAAAAGGATGCCATCCTTATTCTGCCATTTGTTTCTATTGTACAGGAAAAGGTGAGTTTTTTGTGTTGATGAATATGCAATTAAAGATGAAATGATACTAAACAAAAGACATTATATCTACTTTTATTAAACCAGTTGTCTACTATTTGGTAGGAGGATAGTTCTGCATAGTGTGTTTTATTCAACGGAGTCAAATGGGGATTTTTGTTGATTGAAATATATTTGATTATATATATCGACATGTTTGTGGACTGAAATGTTTGCTTGGTTAAAGTTTTTAAGTATGGTTTGATTAAAAGTATGTATTTGGAGGATGATAAGTCAGTATTTGATATGAGAGAATTTTTGGTTAGTATGATTTATCTAGTATAATGAAACTGAGATATTTATGCCCCCTACAATATTGTGTCCGTTAATGCAAATCATCTCATGAACACAAGGACATCCCCAGGTTATTTTCTTTTCATTTTGACTTGTTTGATGCAGCATTCACCTGGTTAAAGTTTTTTGCCTGTTTTTCAGGAATTGTGCATAACTGTGTTTGATACTTTACAGTTGCATTTATCTTAACCAGTACAAAGCTGCTGTGTTATTTATAGGTCACAGTGACCTTTATTTTCTACTTACTTTAACTTATTTTTCACTTTCGACAGACTTAGCTTTATAGTTCGACTTTGCTTTTTGTGTGTTTTTGCTGGAACTGCACTACCCAGTCTTGACACTAAACACTTATATTACCCTGTTGTGTTAGATGTTGGTTAGTGTGACCAATGATTGGTCTTTTCATTCACTTTGGCTATACCTAGCATCTGTTGCAAGTACTGAAATGCTTTAGTATATAATCAAATAAATGTATTGGATGTGATGCCTCATGTTTAAGTTAATAACTGTAATGGCTCAGTAGAAAAAGTTATACTTGATTTTTGAAGTTGCTTTACAGAGTGGTGTCACCAGATTCCAAGATACATTTACATCAGAATATAACATTGCAATGGTATTTGTAAATACAGAATTAATTATAATGACATTTTCATTAATTTTGATGAATGACTTGTCAGATGTGACAGTATTTTTTTAGATTTGGTGACAAAAGCTTTCTACTTATCAAAAGTATCAGTAATTACAATTTCTGGATCAACAGCTCCAAAATTAAGACTGTTCACCTAGCATTGGTGTGGTTATTTTCAGTTAAGTAATTTTGAAGATGTAAGTAATACTGTCATATATATGTACAGCCTAAGCAGATGTTAAAGTTTGAGAAGTCACACATTGATATGTTTTTATAATTTTTGTTTCTGTAACTTAAAATATGAACTTTCTCTTGATTTTTTTCCCACTCAGGTCAGGGGATTGTCTCCCTTTGGTATTGACCTGGATTTTCTTGTGGAGGAGTATGCAGGTAGTAAGGGAAAGTTTCCGCCAATCAAACGCCGCAAGAGACCATCATTGTACATTGCCACCATTGAAAAAGCTCATTCACTGGTCAACAGTCTTATTGAGAACAACAGGATGGACTCTCTTGGACTAGTAGTTGTGGATGAGGTAGATCAAATGTCAATTTTATTAGTAAACAAGGCATCAGAAACAATACCAATTCCCTCAGTTTCACTTTGATCTAAGGGCAATAAGGGAAATGTTCAAATGTAACAAAGATTTTCTTAAATTATTAACAGTTATCTTAATCCAACAACATTAAAAATCAAACTTATCCTTGACATTAATGGCCATAATATGAACTTGAAGTTAGATCTAAATAGCTTTAGGAGTTACAGTAAGTTAGAGTGCTAATAAGGATTTATAAACATAGTAACAGTGACTTTGACTTTGACCTTACAACCATTCAACTCCAGCTTCTTTGAGTTAAATTGGTCCTTTATGTGTGATGATTAACTGAAATCCTAGAAAATATGATGCCACTGGAGAACTGACAAGAATTTTCTAAAAATAGCAACAGTGACCTTGACTTAGACCCTATGAATTTGAAATTTAAATCTGAAATTTGATTTGTCTGAGATACAATGGTTTTTGATAATTATGTGAAGTTTGATCATTTGACCAGAATGCAAACATAAATGAGTGTTACATTTTTATGGGAATATTCCAATATCACCTGCCTTACATTGTTGCTAGAAGGATGTCAGGAAAACAGGTGGAAACTGGATATATTTTCAATCTTGAGCAAAAACTAAATGTGTATTGCTTATCAAAGAAAAAATTACTTCAGATGTTGTGGGTAAAAAAAAGAATTGTTTCCGTGTTAACTTCCTCACCCTCAGATATCAAATAAATGATAAAATTGCATCTTTCTGGTTTTTGAGGACTATTAAGTTAAGAAATATTGTAGCTGGTATTGCAAAGTATCTATAATTACAAAATTATACTCGTGTCTGTAGCAGATTTAGGTTTCCTTGAGATTTTCTGAGACAAAATAAAATAATTAGGTTGCTCCTGATAGCTTTTCACTTCTTAATCACATAAAAGTACTTTCAACAAATTTGAGTCAAGATAACCTAGTATTAAAAACTGTTCTATTCTGTGACAGTTACATATGATTGGTGAAGGAGGAAGTCGTGGGGCAACATTAGAGTCAACACTTCTGAAGGTCATTTATACTCATAGTAAGTATGTACATGTCAGGAATTAGGTGATACCTGCTATGAAATGATGCCATCCTTTCTTTTTTTATCATTTTTTTGTTTGCGCCGTTGGCATATTTGTGTATATTTCTTGCTGAATAGCACTCACTGGATTTAGTATCTTCGAGAAGAAGTATTTCTAATTAAATAATTTAGAACAGAAAATGCTTGTTTACTTATATAAATAATTGGACAATCCAGAACAATTTACCATGAGATGTAACAGTAGTTGATGTGTTGATGCTGTTTTGCAAGAACTCTTCCACCATCAGTTATTGAGGTGAAAATATCCAATTATAAAGTACAATGTATTACTTTGTATATGAACTGATGTTGTGTTGATCCAAAGCAGATTTAGATTACATTTTATGAATGTACTGTGTTTGATATAGCAGCTGTATTATTAGATTTATCAGGACTTGGTTAGAAGTTTTAAAATGACAATTTACTTGATATTAGATGTTAGATTTTGTGAAGCATTTATGTTCCAGATACAAAACAAATGCCATTAAAAGTACAGTGATATCTAGTTGTTTAGATCCTTATAACAGTGCAATTATTATGATTTCTATTATATATTCACAATCCACAATTCTACATGAAAATCACCTAAGGTTTTCTTAATATAAATTGTACAATTAAATTAGGAATGAATGATTATTCTCAGTGGTGACTTGTTCAGAATTAAGGCAGTCCTCTAAATGAAGTGTTCCAAGATATTGTGATGTCAGTGTTACAATTATTTTTTAGTGTTATCATTTACATGCAATATTTCATTAATTATAAAATACTATAAAATTCTACTCCTTATATTTATACACCATTGTAGAACATGATTAAAAGTGAAAATTTTATACTTGAAAAACATTTTCAAATTATAATATACTTGTATATAATGTTGCTTTTAGAGAAGACACAAATAGTTGGGATGAGTGCCACCCTCAGTAATATATCTGATTTACAGACATTTCTTGGAGCTGAGGTCTACTCTAACAACTTCCGTCCAGTGAGTATTAATCCATTACATTGCTCAACTTTTCTTATTCTACAATGATAGTCTGGTATACCTGCTGTCCTGATGCCTATGTTTTAGAAATATTTAATTGAACTCATTCAGAAAATCAATTCTTCCTACATTTTGTTTTTGCTTTTTTTTCATTATTCATGTTATTGTTCATTTGTCTGTTACTAGTTATGTTGGTCATTGAGGAAATGTTGGATGAAATCTGTTTTTTTTCCCTTGCAGGTGGAACTCACGGAATATGCTAAACTGCAGGACAATATTTACCAAGTGAACCCAAAAGCCAAGTGTCCAGAAGATCAACTTGTACATGACAGGGTTGTAATGTTTAAGGTAAAAACAAGGAAACATTGACAACATTGTAAATCAGTTATTTCTCAAACAGCTTTTATAAAATCTGTGTTTATAGTGTTTCCTTTGTTAGTAATGTTAATTTTGATTCTACTGTTAACAGAACTTTTCTTCTTTACTATTTCATATGTCATCATCAAACTTGGTATAACTATATCATGGAAACAGCAGTCTTCAAAACATAACATTGAAGTCAAATAAAATTATTTGTTCATCTTCACCAACTTCAAAATATGACATTGGTAAATTTAAAGTGGTAAAGGTCACATTTGACTAACACAATTTCTTGTCCTCTTAAGTGAACATGATTTGAAAAGTGTCACAAAATGCTGATTGGGAAAGCTTTGATTAAATTGTGGGAAAATAGAGTTAATGTTCATTTCAGAATGGTTTTTCTGAGCTCTGTAAATAATCCTCTCAGTATTTAGACCTCTGTACTTCATCTCAGTAAAACGGATATTTTTGTTTTCTTGAATACTTAGTAAATGCAGCTTTTACTTTAAAAAATGAACTGTGACTCCAGCTTTATGATTTAGAAATAGACAATGTAAAAATATTTATTTGGAAGACAGAAAGGAAAGATGTGCAGATTTATGGTGTTATATTTATTTAGTTTTGTAATGATGTGTCCAGTACACCCCAGATATGACCCGAGTAGACGGAGACCACCTGCTAGGACTTGTGCTCGAAGTGATTCCACAGAAGTCCTGTCTCCTGTTCTGTCCTACCAAGAAGAACTGTGAGAATGTGGCCATGATGTTGTGTAAACTTCTTGTCAAACATCATCAGTAAGTTTGGTTATCAGAAACATCATAACATCATTGCAAGTCTCACACCTACATCAATCACTCACTTTCATTGTAATTTTTGTAAAGTTTTCAGAAAGATTTTTAAAACTCTGTTATCTGTTATAATTATTAAGTTTAATGTGGGTGAGAGATTGATGTAGGCATGAGATTGATGTAGGTGAGATATTGATGTAGGCATGAGATTGATGTAGGTGTGAGGTTGATGTAGGTGTGAGATTGATGTAGTTGTGAGATTGATGTAGGTGTGAGATTGATGTAGATGTGAGGTTGATGTAGGTGTGAGGTTGATGTAGGTGTGAGATTGATGTAGATGTGAGGTTGATGTAGGTGTGAGGTTGATGTAGATGTGAGATTGATGTAGGTGTGAGATTGATGTAGGTGTGAGATTGATGTAGGTGTGAGGTTGATGTAGGTGTGAGGTTGATGTAGTTGTGAGATTGGTGTAGGTGTGAGATTGATGTAGGTGTGAGATTGATGTAGGTATGAGGTTGATGTAGTTGTGAGATGGATGTAGGTGTGAGGTTGATGTAGATGTGAGATTGATATAGGTGTGAGGTTGATGTAGTTGTGAGGTTGATGTAGGTGTGAGGTTAATGTAGTTGTGAGATTGATGTAGGTGTGAGATGGATGTAGGTGTGAGGTTGATGTAGATGTGAGATGGATGGAGGTGTGAGATGGATGTATTTACTGCGTGTTACAGTGATCTGTCAGTACTCCCTGTGTTGTGTTACAGTAGATGTCTGTATTTACTGTGTGTTACAGTAAATGTCTATATTTACTGTGTGTTACAGTGACCTGTCAGTACTCACTGTGTTGTGTTACAGTAGATGTCTATTTACTGTGTGTTACAGTGGTCTGTCAGCACTCACTGTGTTGTGTTACAGTAGGTGTGAGATTGATGTAGATGTGAGATTGATGTAGGTGTGAGGTTGATGTAGGTGTGATGTTGATGTAGTTGTGAGATTGATGTAGGTGTGAGGTTGATGTAGGTGTGAGGTTGATGTAGGTGTGAGGTTGATGTAGTTGTGAGACTGATGTAGGTGTGAGACTGATGTAGGTGTGAGATGGATGTAGATGTGAGATGGATGTAGGTGTGAGGTTGATGTAGTTGTGAGATTGATGTAGGTGTGAGATGGATGTAGGTGTGAGATGGATGTAGGTGTGAGGTTGATGTAGTTGTGAGATGGATGTAGGTGTGAGGTTGATGTAGATGTGAGATTGATATAGATGTGAGGTTGATGTAGTTGTGAGGTTGATGTAGGTGTGAGGTTAATGTAGTTGTGAGATTGATGTGAGATTGTATGTGAGGTGTGTAGATGTGAGATGGATGTAGGTGTGAGATGGATGTAGATGTGAGATGTGAGTTGTGAGATGGATGTAGGTGTGAGATGTGTGATGTGAGATGGATGTATGTAGATTGATGTATTTACTGCGTGTTACAGTGATCTGTCAGTACTCCCTGTGGTGTGTTACAGTAGATGTCTGTATTTACTGTGTGTTACAGTGGTCTGTCAGTACTCCCTGTGTTGTGTTACAGTAAATGTCTATATTTACTGTGTGTTACAGTGACCTGTCAGTACTCACTGTGTTGTGTTACAGTAGATGTCTATTTACTGTGTGTTACAGTGATCTGTCAGCACTCACTGTGTTGTGTTACAGTAGGTGTGAGATTGATGTAGATGTGAGATTGATGTAGGTGTGAGGTTGATGTAGGTGTGAGGTTGATGTAGTTGTGAGATTGATGTAGGTGTGAGATGGATGTAGATGTGAGATGGATGTAGTTGTGAGATGGATGTAGGTGTGAGATGGATGTAGATGTGAGATGGATGTATTTGTGAGATGTCTGTATTTACTGTGTGTTACAGTGATCTGTCAGTACTCCCTGTGTTGTGTTACAGTAGATGTCTGTATTTACTGTGTGTTACAGTAGATGTCTGTATTTACTGTGTGTTACAGTGATCTGTCAGTACTCCCTGTGTTGTGTTGCAGTAGATGTCTGTGTTTACTATGTGTTACAGTAAATGTCTGTATTTACTGTATGTTACAGGGATCTGTCAGCACTCACTGTGTTGTGTTACAGTAGATGTCTATTTACTGTGTGTTACAGTGATCTGTCAGCACTCACTGTGTTGTGTTACAGTAGATGTCTATTTACTGTGTGTTACAGTGATCTGTCAGCACTCACTGTGTTGTGTTACAGTAGGTGTGAGATTGATGTAGATGTGAGATTGATGTAGGTGTGAGGTTGATGTAGGTGTGAGGTTGATGTAGTTGTGAGACTGATGTAGGTGTGAGACTGATGTAGGTGTGAGATGGATGTAGATGTGAGATGGATGTAGGTGTGAGGTTGATGTAGTTGTGAGATTGATGTAGGTGTGAGATGGATGTAGGTGTGAGATGGATGTAGGTGTGAGGTTGATGTAGTTGTGAGATGGATGTAGGTGTGAGGTTGATGTAGATGTGAGATTGATATAGATGTGAGGTTGATGTAGTTGTGAGGTTGATGTAGGTGTGAGGTTAATGTAGTTGTGAGATTGATGTAGGTGTGAGATGGATGTAGGTGTGAGGTTGATGTAGATGTGAGATGGATGGAGGTGTGAGATTGATGTATTTACTGCGTGTTACAGTGATCTGTCAGTACTCCCTGTGGTGTGTTACAGTAGATGTCTGTATTTACTGTGTGTTACAGTGGTCTGTCAGTACTCCCTGTGTTGTGTTACAGTAAATGTCTATATTTACTGTGTGTTACAGTGACCTGTCAGTACTCACTGTGTTGTGTTACAGTAGATGTCTATTTACTGTGTGTTACAGTGATCTGTCAGCACTGACTGTGTTGTGTTACAGTAGGTGTGAGATTGATGTAGATGTGAGATTGATGTAGATGTGAGGTTGATGTAGGTGTGAGGTTGATGTAGTTGTGAGATTGATGTAGTTGTGAGATGGATGTAGGTGTGAGATGGATGTAGATGTGAGATGGATGTATTTGTGAGATGTCTGTATTTACTGTGTGTTACAGTGATCTGTCAGTACTCCCTGTGTTGTGTTACAGTAGATGTCTGTATTTACTGTGTGTTACAGTAGATGTCTGTATTTACTGTGTGTTACAGTAAATGTCTGTATTTACTGTGTGTTACATTGATCTGTCAGTACTCCCTGTGTTGTGTTGCAGTAGATGTCTGTGTTTACTATGTGTTACAGTAAATGTCTGTATTTACTGTGTGTTATGTTACAGTAGGATCTGTGTGTTACAGCACTCACTGTGTTGTGTTACAGTAGATGTCTATTTACTGTGTGTTACAGTGATCTGTCAGCACTCACTGTGTTGTGTTACAGTAGATGTCTATTTACTGTGTGTTACAGTGATCTGTCAGCACTCACTGTGTTGTGTTACAGTAGGTGTGAGATTGATGTAGTGTGAGATTGATGTAGGTGTGAGGTTGATGTAGGTGTGAGGTTGATGTAGTTGTGATGATTGATGTGTAGGTGTGAGATGGATGTAGTTGTGAGATGGATGTAGGTGTGAGATGGATGTAGTGTGAGATGGATGTAGATGTGAGATGGATGTAGTGTGTGTTAGATGGATTTATGTTGTTTTGTGAGATGTCTGTATTTACTGTGTGTTACAGTGATCTGTCAGTACTCCCTGTGTTGTGTTACAGTAGATGTCTGTATTTACTGTGTGTTACAGTAGATGTCTGTATTTACTGTGTGTTATAGTAAATGTCTATATTTACTGTGTGTTACAGTGATCTGTCAGTACTCCCTGTGTTGTGTTACAGTAGATGTCTGTATTTACTGTGTGTTACAGTAAATGTCTGTATTTACTGTGTGTTACATTGATCTGTCAGTACTCCCTGTGTTGTGTTGCAGTAGATGTCTGTGTTTACTATGTGTTACAGTAAATGTCTGTATTTACTGTATGTTACAGGGATCTGTCAGCACTCACTGTGTTGTGTTACAGTAGATGTCTATTTACTGTGTGTTACAGTGATCTGTCAGCACTCACTGTGTTGTGTTACAGTAGGTGTGAGATTGATGTAGATGTGAGATTGATGTAGGTGTGAGGTTGATGTAGTTGTGAGAGTGATATAGATGTGAGGTTGATGTAGTTGTGAGACTGTGTGTTACAGTGATAGGTGTGAGACTGATGTAGGTGTGAGATTGATGTAGATGTGAGATGGATGTAGGTGTGAGGTTGATGTAGGTGTGAGATTGATGTAGGTGTGTGGTTGATGTTGTAGGTGTGAGGTTGATGTAGTTGTGAGATGGATGTAGGTGTGAGGTTGATGTAGATGTGAGATTGATATAGATGTGAGGTTGATGTAGTTGTGAGATTGATGTAGGTGTGAGATGGATGTAGGTGTGAGGTTGATGTATTTACTGCGTGTTACAGTGATCTGTCAGTACTCCCTGTGGTGTGTTACAGTAAATGTCTATATTTACTGTGTGTTACAGTGACCTGTCAGCACTCCCTGTGTTGTGTTACAGTAAATGTCTATATTTACTGTGTGTTACAGTGACCTGTCAGTACTCACTGTGTTGTGTTACAGTAGATGTCTATTTACTGTGTGTTACAGTGATCTGTCAGCACTGACTGTGTTGTGTTACAGTAGGTGTGAGATTGATGTAGATGTGAGATTGATGTAGATGTGAGGTTGATGTAGGTGTGAGGTTGATGTAGTTGTGATGTGAGATGGATGGATGTAGGTGTGAGATGGATGTAGATGTGAGATGGATGTATTTGTGAGATGTCTGTATTTACTGTGTGTTACAGTGATCTGTCAGTACTCCCTGTGTTGTGTTACAGTAGATGTCTGTATTTACTGTGTGTTACAGTAGATGTCTGTATTTACTGTGTGTTACAGTATATGTCTGTATTTACTGTGTGTTACATTGATCTGTCAGTACTCCCTGTGTTGTGTTGCAGTAGATGTCTGTGTTTACTATGTGTTACAGTAAATGTCTGTATTTACTGTGTGTTACAGTGATCTGTCAGTACTCCCTGTGTTGTGTTACAGTAGATGTCTGTATTTACTGTGTGTTACAGTGATCTGTCAGTACTCACTGTGTGTTACATGTGTTTACAGTAAATGTCTATATTTACTGTGTGTTACAGTGATCTGTCAGCACTCACTGTGTTGTGTTACAGTAGATGTCTATATTTACTGTGTGTTACAGTGATCTGTGTCACTGTGTTGTGTTACAGTAGATGTCTGTATTTACTGTGTGTTACAGTAAATGTCTGTGTTGTGTTATTGTCTGTATTTACTGTGTGTTACAGTGGTCTGTCAGTACTCCCTGTGTTGTGTTTCAGTAGATGTTTGTATTTACTGTGTGTTACAGTAGATGTCTGTATTTACTGTGTGTTACAGTGATCTGTCAGCACTCACTGTGTTGTGTTACAGTAGATGTCTGTATTTACTGTGTGTTACAGTAGATGTCTATTTACTGTGTGTTACAGTGATCTGTCAGCACTCACTGTGTTGTGTTACAGTAGGTGTGAGATTGATGTAGATGTGAGATTGATGTAGGTGTGAGGTTGATGTAGGTGTGAGGTTGATGTAGGTGTGAGATTGATGTAGGTGTGAGGTTGATGTAGGTGTGAGGTTGATGTAGGTGTGAGATGGATGTAGATGTGAGATGGATGTAGTTGTGAGATGGATGTAGGTGTGAGATGGATGTAGATGTGAGATGGATGTAGTTGTGAGGTTGATGTAGATGTGAGATGGATGGAGGTGTGAGATGTCTGTATTTACTGTGTGTTACAGTGATCTGTCAGTACTCCCTGTGTTGTGTTACAGTAGATGTCTGTATTTATTGTGTGTTACAGTAGATGTCTGTATTTACTGTGTGTTACAGTAAATGTCTATATTTACTGTGTGTTACAGTGATCTGTCAGTACTCCCTGTGTTGTGTTACAGTAGATGTCTGTATTTACTGTGTGTTACAGTAAATGTCTGTATTTACTGTGTGTTACAGTGATCTGTCAGCACTCACTGTGTTGTGTTACAGTAGATGTCTGTGTTTACTATGTGTTACAGTAAATGTCTGTATTTACTGTATGTTACAGGGATCTGTCAGCACTCACTGTGTTGTGTTACAGTAGATGTCTATTTACTGTGTGTTACAGTGATCTGTCAGCACTCACTGTGTTGTGTTACAGTAGATGTCTGTATTTACTGTGTGTTACAGTGATCTGTCAGCACTCACTGTGTTGTGTTACAGTAGGTATGAGATTGATGTAGATGTGAGATTGATGTAGGTGTGAGGTTGATGTAGGTGTGAGGTTGATGTAGGTGTGAGGTTGATGTAGGTGTGAGATGGATGTAGATGTGAGATGGATGTAGTTGTGAGGTTGATGTAGGTGTGAGACTGATGTAGGTGTGAGATGGATGTAGTTGTGAGGTTGATGTAGATGTGAGATGGATGGAGGTGTGAGATGTCTGTATTTACTGTGTGTTACAGTGATCTGTCAGTACTCCCTGTGTTGTGTTACAGTAGATGTCTGTATTTACTGTGTGTTACAGTAGATGTCTGTATTTACTGTGTGTTACAGTAAATGTCTATATTTACTGTGTGTTACAGTGATCTGTCAGTACTCCCTGTGTTGTGTTACAGTAGATGTCTGTATTTACTATGTGTTACAGTAAATGTCTGTATTTACTGTGTGTTACAGTGATCTGTCAGCACTCACTGTGTTGTGTTGCAGTAGATGTCTGTGTTTACTATGTGTTACAGTAAATGTCTGTATTTACTGTATGTTACAGGGATCTGTCAGCACTCACTGTGTTGTGTTACAGTAGATGTCTATTTACTGTGTGTTACAGTGATCTGTCAGCACTCACTGTGTTGTGTTACAGTAGATGTCTGTATTTACTGTGTGTTACAGTGGTCTGTCAGTACTCCCTGTGTTGTGTTACAGTAGATGTCTGTATTTACTGTGTGTTACAGTGATCTGTCAGTACTCACTGTGTTGTGTTACAGTAGATGTCTGTATTTACTGTGTGTTACAGTGACCTTTCAGTACTCCCTGTGTTGTGTTACAGTAAATGTCTATATTTACTGTGTGTTACAGTGATCTGTCAGTACTCCCTGTGTTGTGTTAAAAGTAGATGTCTGTATTTACTGTGTGCTACAGTGATCTGCCAGTACTCCCTGTGTTGTGTTGCAGTAAATGTCTATATTTACTGTGTGTTACAGTGACCTGTCAGTACTCCCTGTGTTGTGTTACAGTAGATGTCTATATTTACTGTGTGTTACAGTGATCTGTCAGCACTCACTGTGTTGTGTTACAGTAAATGTCTATATTTACTGTGTGTTACAGTGATCTGTCAGCACTCACTGTGTTGTGTTACAGTAGATGTCTGTATTTACTGTGTGTTACAGTAGATGTCTGTATTTACTGTGTGTTACAGTAGATGTCTATATTTATTGTGTGTTACAGTGATCTGTCAGCACTCACTGTGTTGTGTTTCAGTAGATGTTTGTATTTACTGTGTGTTACAGTAGATGTCTGTATTTCCGTTGTGTTACAGTGATCTGTCAGGACTCACTGTGTTGTGTTACAGTAGATGTCTGTATTTACTGTGTGTTACAGTGATCTGTCTATATTAAGTGTGTGTTACAGTGATCTGTCAGCACTCACTGTGTTGGGTATTATAATGACCTGAATATTCACAGTGTGTTATATGTTTAATACAGTGAGCTCTCCCTAGTGAAGAAGACGGAGAGGAAAGCGTTACTTAAGGAATTGTATAATGATGGTGCAGGAAAAATCTGTCCGGTTCTCCAGTACACATTACACTTTGGTGTGGCATACCATCACAGTGGCTTGACCTCTGATGAGCGTCGACTGATAGAGGATGCTTATGTTGATGGAACACTCTGTCTTCTCACCTGTACTTCAACACTGGCAGCAGGAGTCAACCTCCCTGCAAAAAGGTAACTGTAAAAAATGTGTGGCAAAACCCACAACTGAACATGACAGATCTCCTTTCTCCTTTACTTACAATGTCTTTAGCTCATTCCAGGTGGTGAGAATCCTTTAGAAATAGAAGAAGAATGTTAGACTTGATAAAACAAGACCACAAACTTTTTGAACTGGCGTCTGTGTATGGTATGATTTTATGCTGTTGTCTGCTACATATCACTTACAAAACTGACATCAAATACAAATTTTAAATAATCCAAAGTGTACACAGCCAAGCTTTGGTGGAAATCAACATATTCAACCTTGGCTTCATTTGCCTCCAAACAGAAAATAAGCATACATCAATGCTGTGAATAGAAAGCATCATTCTGATTGGTCAAAACTACAAGTGTTACATCGTCAATTATAAAAAATTTCATATCAGCACTAATGTGATAACACCAGTTTTTGTCAGATTGATAATTTCCTATATTTCATCAGCAAAAATGTAGAAAATATCTGTATTCTGTATTTCAATTCATTAAGGGTGATATTGCGATCTCCATATGTTGGAAGTCAGTTCATCAGTCGTAATCAGTACAAGCAGATGGTTGGTCGGGCAGGTCGTGCAGGAATTGACTCATCTGGAGAGAGCATTCTGATCACCAAATCCTCTGACACCGAAAAGGTACAAATATAGATACAGGGTCGCAAGGTCATTTGTTGATATGGGTTTGCAGAGGTCAGTTGGATTTTAATTTACAACTGCTGGTTAATATATTTTTATGTTCATTCAGTCCCAGTGAAAGCTATGATAAAGACATTTTAGGGAGAGTTTTTATCTTATTTACAACGAAAAGTTGTGAAAGTAAGACTCTTATTTGGTGAAATCTTCAACATTTCACTTTTAAAGCTTAGCAATAAGATACATTGCTTAAAAAGTCCAACTTGAACCAAACTTAATATACAAAACATTTATCATTTACAAGATATCATCCAGATTTTATGGTCCAGTAACTTTGTAACTTATGAATGCTGAGTAGCTGGATTTTCAAGTTTTGCATTTAGCTGAATTTCTTATAAAATATAAGTTAAAAAGGCTATCATTATTTTTTGTAGGTTTTTTCCTTGTGAGTCCATAGCAAAATTTTCATAATTTTTTTGATTTCAGTTACAGAGATATAATGAGTCCTCAAAATTTGAGTGAGTCACTGGAAAAACATGAGTTGGGAACTTAGATACACTGTTCTTGAGCCCTAAAAATCAATGGCTTTTTCAATAAAACCCGTAAGAAAATCTTATACCCACAAATAGATTTGGTACACGAATTTGAATTTTTTGCTGAATGAGGTGAATTTTAGAGTAAAAACCTCTTATTTTGAAAAATTCCTTCAAGACCTTTATATTAATGTCATCATTCAATTTACTTGGGATAAACCTGTTAGTTTAAAGTCATGTTGAAACCTGTGCTGATCCCCCCAAAAAATTCTTAAAGATCTCTCTTCCCTTTGATAATTCTCAGAAAAACAGATACCTTTTTTGTAAAGTGAATTTTTGTAATTAATGTCTTTGAAAATAAGCGGTTTATGTTTTACTATATATCAACTTTGAAAACTGACAAAAACCTGTCTATTGTGCTTACTTGCAGGTGATTGAAAATTAACCTGTAGGTTTTATGTTTTTCAAATGTGCATTTTGAAAAGTGCTTTCAAATTACCATACAGAACAAAACAGGACTAGACACTACATATAATTAATTGTTTTTGAAAAAAGACTTTCAAACCATTAGAGGGTAGAAAATGGATTCTGTGTCACACTAATACTTACACAATGTAAAAGGAATGCCTACTTGATCTGAAAAAATAAACATTTAACATTTCAGTGTGCATCAATTATGTAATTATTGACGATCATATTCTACAGGTGGGACAGCTACTGACTGCTCCACTGGAAGTATGCCGTAGCAGTTTGATGTATGATGATGGCAAAGGCATCCGTGGGTTAATTCTGTCAGTTGTCGGTTTACAGGTAGGATGTTCTAGTATTTACAGGTACAACATACTACTACAGTGTTTACAGGTACAACATATAATACTACCATATACAGGTACAACATACTACTTCAGTGTTTACAGGTACAACATATAAAGGTACAACATATAATACTACCATATACAGGTACAACATATAATACTACCATATACAGGTACAACATATAATACTACCATATACAGGTACAACATATAATACTACCATATACAGGTACAACATATAATACTACCATATACAGGTACAACATATAATACTACCATATACAGGTACAACATATAATACTACCATATACAGGTACAACATATAATACTACCATATACAGGTACAACATATAATACTACCATATACAGGTACAACATATAATACTACCATATACAGGTACAACATATAATACTACCATATACAGGTACAACATATAATACTACCATATACAGGTACAACATATAATACTACCATATACAGGTACAACATACTACTTCAGTGTTTACAGGTACAACATATAAAGGTACAACATATAATACTACCATATACAGGTACAACATATAATACTACCATATACAGGTACAACATATAATACTACCATATACAGGTACAACATACTACTTCAGTGTTTACAGGTACAACATATAAAGGTACAACATATAATACTACCATATACAGGTACAACATATAATACTACCATATACAGGTACAACATATAATACTACCATATACAGGTACAACATATAATACTACCATATACAGGTACAACATATAATACTACCATATACAGGTACAACATATAATACTACCATATACAGGTACAACATATACTTCATACTACCATATACAGGTACAACATATAATACTACCATATACAGGTACAACATATAATACTACCATATACAGGTACAACATATAATACTACCATATACAGGTACAACATATAATACTACCATATACAGGTACAACATATAATACTACCATATACAGGTACAACATATAATACTACCATATACAGGTACAACATATAATACTACCATATACAGGTACAACATATAATACTACAACATATACAGGTACAACATATAATACTACCATATACAGGTACAACATATAATACTACCATATACAGGTACAACATATAATACTACCATATACAGGTACAACATATAATACTACCATATACAGGTACAACATATAATACTACCATATACAGGTACAACATATAATACTACCATATACAGGTACAACATATAATACTACCATATACAGGTACAACATATAATACTACCATATACAGGTACAACATATAATACTACCATATACAGGTACAACATATAATACTACCATATACAGGTACAACATATAATACTACCATATACAGGTACAACATATAATACTACCATATACAGGTACAACATATAATACTACCATATACAGGTACAACATATAATACTACCATATACAGGTACAACATATAATACTACCATATACAGGTACAACATGTAATACTACCATATACAGGTACAACATATAAAGGTACAACATATAATACTACCATATACAGGTACAACATATAATACTACCATATACAGGTACAACATATAATACTACCATATACAGGTACAACATATAATACTACCATATACAGGTACAACATATAATACTACCATATACAGGTACAACATATAATACTACCATATACAGGTACAACATATAATACTACCATATACAGGTACAACATATAATACTACCATATACAGGTACAACATATAATACTACCATATACAGGTACAACATATAATACTACCATATACAGGTACAACATATAATACTACCATATACAGGTACAACATATAATACTACCATATACAGGTACAACATATAATACTACCATATACAGGTACAACATATAATACTACCATGTACAGGTACAACATATAATACTACCATATACACGTACAACATATAATACTACCATATACAGGTACAACATATAATACTACCATATACAGGTACAACATAAGTATGTTACAGGTACAACATATGTATATTACAACATACTACTACTGACAGTATTTCTTGATTTCATCAAACTACATGTATTTATCTTTGTGTTAAAACAATTTACTAAACCAATAGTTTCATACTCACAGATGACCAAGACTACAAGAGAAGTTTTTGCCTGTATGGAAAAAACATTACTGTCGGTGCAAGCTAGTTGTGGTGTACCTTGTGATATTGTGGAAGTGACACGCCAGTCACTGCAGCAACTCATTGACTTGGGTCTTATTATACAGAAACTGGTGTCATCACAGGAAACAGACCAGGACCTTCATCATCTGGAGGTCACCAATCTTGGTCGTGCAACATTTAAGGGTAGGATTACCATAGATATTGGGATGTAAATTGTGTCTCTGTATTTAAGCCTAAATCTTCACTGCTAGCATGAAGGAGTGCTGTTTCAAACATTAGTCTTTGCTGTGAAACATTCCATCTAATGGAAACTTTTCAAATGATTAATTTATTGATAGACAATATGTAAAAATGTATTTATATATAAAGTGTACCCTGGATTGATATTACATACAATATAAATGTTGTCAGTGATTTCATATCCTTTATTTCATATAAATATATCTGGCTACTGTGGCTAGCCAGATTTAACTTTGTGGTTAGCCAGATATAACTTCAACTATGGTTAGCCAGATATAGCTGAAACTGTAGTTAGCCTGATATAACTTAAACTGTGGTTAGCGAGATATGACTTTAACTATGGTTAGCCAGATATTGCCTAAACTAGCCTGATATGAGTTTTTTTTAGCTTGCCTCTTCAAAGAAGAAGGAAAGGTATTGGTGTAAGTGTCAAAAATGTTAGTACATATATATGTAAAGTTTATTTATTTTACAACAATTAAGAAACAATCAGGGTCCTCACTATGTCACTTTATAATTGTACTAGTGTACTGCTATTTAGTATCAGGGTCCTCACTATGTCACTTTATAATTGTACTACTATTCAGCTATTTAGTATCAGGGTCCTCACTATGTCACTTTATAATTGTACTAGTGTACTGATATTTAGTATCAGGGTCCTCACTATGTCACTTTATAATTGTACTACTATTCAGCTATTTAGTATCAGGGTCCTCACTATGTCACTTTATAATTGTACTAGTGTACTACTATTCAGCTATTTAGTATCAGGGTCCTCACTATGTCACTTTATAATTGTACTACTATTCAGCTATTTAGTATCAGGGTCCTCACTATGTCACTTTATAATTGTACTACTATTCAGCTATTTAGTATCAGGGTCCTCACTATGTCACTTTATAATTGTACCAGTGTACTGCTATTTAGTATCAGGGTCCTCACTATGTCACTTTATAATTGTACCAGTGTACTGCTATTTAGTATCAGGGTCCTCACTATGTCACTTTATAATTGTACTACTATTCAGCTATTTAGTATCAGGGTCCTCACTATGTCACTTTATAATTGTACTACTATTCAGCTATTTAGTATCAGGGTCCTCACTATGTCACTTTATAATTGTACCAGTGTACTGCTATTTAGTATCAGGGTCCTCACTATGTCACTTTATAATTGTACCAGTGTACTGCTATTTAGTATCAGGGTCCTCACTATGTCACTTTATAATTGTACTACTATTCAGCTATTTAGTATCAGGGTCCTCACTATGTCACTTTATAATTGTACCAGTGTACTGCTATTTAGTATCAGGGTCCTCACTATGTCACTTTATAATTGTACTACTATTCAGCTATTTAGTATCAGGGTCCTCACTATGTCACTTTATAATTGTACTACTATTCAGCTATTTAGTATCAGGGTCCTCACTATGTCACTTTATAATTGTACTACTATTCAGCTATTTAGTATCAGGGTCCTCACTATGTCACTTTATAATTGTACTACTATTCAGCTATTTAGTATCAGGGTCCTCACTATGTCACTTTATAATTGTACCAGTGTACTGCTATTTAGTATCAGGGTCCTCACTATGTCACTTTATAATTGTACTACTATTCAGCTATTTAGTATCAGGGTCCTCACTATGTCACTTTATAATTGTACTAGTGTACTGCTATTTAGTATCAGGGTCCTCACTATGTCACTTTATAATTGTACTACTATTCAGCTATTTAGTATCAGGGTCCTCACTATGTCACTTTATAATTGTACTAGTGTACTGATATTTAGTATCAGGGTCCTCACTATGTCACTTTATAATTGTACTAGTGTACTGCTATTTAGTATCAGGGTCCTCACTATGTCACTTTATAATTGTACTAGTGTACTGATATTTAGTATCAGGGTCCTCACTATGTCACTTTATAATTGTACTAGTGTACTGCTATTTAGTATCAGGGTCCTCACTATGTCACTTTATAATTGTACTAGTGTACTGATATTTAGTATCAGGGTCCTCACTATGTCACTTTATAATTGTACTGGAAAACACCAGCTTTTTTACTTCAATTTGTGTTGGTATCTAATAAAATATTAAGATTGAGATGCAATTGTTAAACGATATGTTAGTACAACACTTTATACAATTTAACTAGGATACTGATGTTTGGTATTGTGGTCCTTGTGGGGTTAACTTTCCAAGATTTAGACAAAGGAATAGATTTGGGAAAAACCCTACTTTTTCACATGTTTTTGACACCTACTTTTTTTGTCTAATAACATGTTAAGATTTTGGTGAAAGAGTTGAAAGACATATAGTGCATCATTTGATAATTATACAAAGGTACTGATATTTGGAATCAGAATTCCTTTGAGGTATAAATGTCCCTTCCCAGAGTCTGATGGCAAGCCAGATATCTTGTGAAGTGTTACATACCCAGTAACTAACTAGTAAAATTATGGGAAGTCAGATATCTTGTGAAAAGTTCCGGTATACTTATAGGATCTGTGAACTTGGAATGGTCAGGTCGTCTGTATAGTGACCTACAGCAGGCGGAGGAGTCACTTGTCTTGTCCAGTCATCTCCATCTTCTCTACCTGGTCACTCCTTATGACAAGGTCACCAGTGTCAAACCCTCCTGGATTGTCTTCTTTCAAGAGGTATGTGTATTTGGATACCTGTTTAAGTGTTATTTTTAAGATTTTTGTTGTTGCCAGCTTTTTGTCCAAACATTGTTTGGTTTCAGTTTCCTTGTCTGAATTTTTCAGATGAGCAATCTAAACCCTGTGGAATTAAAGATGGCTGCATTGATTGGTGTTCCAGAGGGACATATTGCCAGGAAAGCATCCGGCCAGAATTCCAGACAGGTACAATTACCACCTATAATGGTTGACAAGTTCCCACAGATTTTGATGGTGCATTTTTTTTCTCAGTATTGTAACCCTGGTAAAATATTAGCCACAATATACCACTCGGCTAGAGAGAACTTCCCTGTAGCTCGATTGGTTGTGTCAGACTTGTAAGCCAGGGGTTCCGAGTTCGATTCCTGCTAGTGGAGCATGGCTAAGTACTATTCCCGGGTCCCTACATGGGCGCCAATGTAACAGAGGTCATTTTTCATCTCAGTGCCTCTGTCTCTACAGTGCACAGTGTAGTGGGGGTTTTAATTGGAAAATAACATAATAGAAATTGGCCATGTTTTTATGTTCCCCCCACCCCCTCCCCCCACTTAGATTTTGTTAAGGAAGGGAAATAAAATGTTACCTACTCATGTCCTTCCAATTCAGAATCAAAGTCATATATTGAAAACAGATTTTGTCTTTAAACCGTTCCTTCATAATTTTAAGATAACTTTTACAAAATGAGATAATGCCTTACTTTAGAAGTAGCATCATGTGGGTAGTGGTATTGTCTGTTTTAGAAAGTAGATGAGTTTGTTGTGGGTCGATTCTACCTTACACTGATGCTGTATGGATTGTGGAAACAGAGATCTGTGTGGGAGGTGTCAGAGAAATTTCAGCAATCCCGTGGATTTGTTCAGAACCTGCTGTCCAGTGCAGCTAGCTTTGCTTCTTGTGTCTACCACTTCTGTCAGGTAAAGGTTGATGAGGTCTATCACCTTTGTTAAAGAACACAATATTAAAATATGCATCTTTCATGTATGGTGGTATGTAGTAAATGATATGTAAATACATGTTATATGTAAGTCTGGTTAATGTTTAAAAAGGGAGTCACTTCATGTTACCTGTACATTTATGACAAGTCTACATTTTGTAAACTACAAAGATGAGCACCAGTTCGGTGCTGTATGTTATAAATGAAGATTTTTTATAAGAAATATTGAGGTAGCAGAATTTCATTTGTAAAGCTGTAAAGCTATTGAATGGTTAAGTTATAAGGCTGTGAATTGAGAATTATTAGTTCTTACTTGGGCCTACAGTTGTATGTTATATTACACGATTTAAGTCTGTAGACCTGCAGATGTATGCTATATTACATGATTTAGGTCTGTAGGCCTACAGATGTTTGTCATATTACATGATTTAGGTCTGTTGACCTATAGCTGTATGTTATATTACATGATTTAGGTCTGTTGGCCTACAGATATTTGTTATATAACATGATTTAGGTCTGTTGGCCTATAGCTGTATGTTATATCACATGATTTAGGTCTGTAGACCTACAGCTGTATGTTATATAACATGATCTAGGTCTGTTGGCCTATAGCTGTATGTTATATTACATGATTTAGGTCTGTTGGCCTACAGATATTTGTTATATAACATGATTTAGGTCTGTAGACCTACAGATGTTTGTCATATTACATGATTTAGGTCTATAGACCTACAGCTGTATGTTATATAACATGATCTAGGTCTGTTGGCCTATAGCTGTATGTTATATTACATGATTTAGGTCTGTTGGCCTATAGCTGTATGTTATATTACATGATTTAGGTCTGTGGGCCTACAGCTATGTGTTATATTACATGATTTAGGTCTGTGGGCCTAAAGCTATGTGTTATATTACATGATTTAGGTCTGTCATTCATTGTTTGTAGGAACTAGATGAACTCTGGCCATATCAGGATCTATTTGGGAACTTTGTACAGCGCCTGGCTTATTGTGTGTCCTCAGAACTGATTCCATTGATGGAAATACCTGGGGTGAAACTGGTACATATTTCACCACAAAAAAAAAAAAATGACACATTTCAAACTGGAAGCTATTACATACAGTAAAATCCTTATCAGATGCTCCTTAATTACATGTTATCTAACCTACTGGCAATATTTATTGTATTCTACTCTATGTTGGACTTTCCAGTTTAATAGGATAAGGTGATCAATTTCTTTTTTGCCCTTAGTCAGGCATCTAACTGTTTTTCCTCTTATCAGTGAGCTGTTCTGCCTGAGAAGTTTTAACTGCTAATTCCTCAATAATTACTTAATCAATCCTCATGAAATAAAACATGGTATGCTTGCTTCTTTTTATGACAGATTTGAAAAATAAGATAAAAAATACCATTAGGCAGCCATATTGGACTTAAAATTTAAAGGTGATGTGTTTACTTCCTTGTTATCTCTGCTTTAAATTTAGACAAATCACAAAAAGCAAAATGACAATTAGGCAGTCTCAGAAAAGAACAGGAAGGAACAAAAGTTGCATTCTGCTGGATGGAACCTTTTCCTTCAGTTTTCAGTCAATTTTTTTTTTGAGTATTCATGTTTTCATTTAGGGGCGAGCAAAACAGATGTTCAATGTTGGATATAGGACCTTGTCACAGGTGGCTAATGCTGAACCAGATAACCTTGTTAAGAAAATCAAGCCAATTCCCCGCAAAACGGCCCAACAGATTGTCACAGCGGCGAAGGTGTGTGCTTATGGTTTTTAAATTGACCAGGTTATTTAATGCATGTTAGCCTCTGTTTGCTCTTGTATAGTTTTTTTTTCAAATCAATGTCCTCTCTTATTGGTTAAATCACATTGGACCTAACTAATGAGCATAACAAGAATGTTTCAATCAGTAACTACATGCACCTGGACTTTACCAGTTCACTCGCATTAATTATAGAATATGTTTGCATTTGTAGATGCTTTTGAATGAGAAGGCAGAAGCTCTCTGGCAGGAAGTGGAGGACCTTGTGATGGTGCCCGAGACTGTGTCAACTCAGCCTTCCCCAGAGTTATCCTCTCAAGGGTCTGTTGCATCATCAGACATACTCAGCAGCCTCACAGACTGGGCAGACTAGACGATCAGTTATCCTCTAGGGGTGTGTTGTGTCATCAGACATACTCACCAGCCTAAAAGACAATCAGTTATCCTCTAGGGGTCTGTTGTGTCATCAGACATGTTCACCAGCCTAACAGTCTAGACGATCAGTTATCCTCTAGGGGTCTGCTGTGTCATCAGACATGTTCACCAGCCTCACAGACTAGACGATCAGTTATCCTCTAGGGGTCTGCTGTGTCATTAGACATACTCACCAGCCTCACAGACTAGACGATCACTTCTATCCTCTCAGGGGAATTTTGTGTCATTAAACATACTCACCAGCCTCACAGACTAGACCATCACATTTATCCGCTCAGGAGAATGTTGTGTCATTAAACATACTGACCAGCCTCACAGACCAGTCAACCTTGTCCTTTGGCCAGTGTCTCCTCTTCCCTCACCAGAGTTATTCTTTCAGGGGTCTGTCTGTACTCATCAGACATACTTGCAGGCAGACAATCTTTTCCTTAGGACCCCATGTTATTTTTTACTTAAGTTGTCCATATGTGCCTATCGGCCCTCAGTTTTCAGCTGCCTTACTTACAAGGTCAGGCTAGTACCAGGCTATTGTTATCAGATATTGTTATATTCTATCATGTATTTATGTTAGACATATTTTTAAATACAATATTTTATCATTGTTCTTATGTTTAAAATAAAAACAGCTTGATGAAAAGGCATTTCTATTTTAGTTCATTTCCATTCAAAAAAGATCTGTGGTTGAATATTCACAAAGACCTCGTACAACAATTCTTTTTTTTTTCTAGGTCACCAGAGACAAACTGTCTGAGGAGTGGGCCAAAAGTGGTCTAAATGACTTAAAATTTCAAACATCTTCTCAACACTTAGATATGGTAGAAATTAAATGCCCTTCATGGATTGTGAATTTTATGGCCCCAGGGTCTCACAATTTCCTTTTTGAGGAGGGGTTCAAGTTTATGATTGTCTTTATAGGGAAATTGCATTTTTTAGCATAAAGTGAAGTTAATTTCCATCGGAAAAAACTTGGTAAGAATGATTAATATAGGAGAACAGTCTTGATGGTATGCATATATTGACACTGGCTCATGATCAGGCCCCCAAGAGCTTATAACACTCTTACTATCATCAATGTTACAATTTCTTTTTCATAACACTTGAAAGCTTCTTATCTTTTAACCTATACATTCAATATTGCTTACCTTAGGTGATTGTTAAGGCTGCTAAACCTCTTGTTTCATAATATGATAAATATTATTCTCCATCATGATGACAACCACATCATCAAGAAAAGATTTTGTTTGAATTCATCTGTTTCACAGACACTTTGGTGTCATTGAGCTTCTGATATGTTGTATCTTGCTCCAGTCAGTCATTAACTTTGCTCGTAACAACTTCTTCTTAAGAACCTTATGACGTGTATTTGTCTAGTAGATACCAGTACCTTAGATTAGAAGTTGTAGAATTTCTGCAAATAAATTTCCTTAAGAGACCACAAACAAAGGGCTAATTTAGCCAGCTTTAATCATATATTGGTTAAGTAAAGATAATTATGCTGAGTCTCATGGGACTACTCTTGAACTTAAGTTTATAATATAATAAGTAATGCTGAACAGGACCTTTATATTATGAATTTTGCTGTCATGCTCAAATGAAACAATATTTACATAATCATATTAGTCCAATATGCAAAAACCTTTGAGCAACTTTCTATTATAATAGTTTATATGAAAATCATTTATATGCAAATTTGGATCATAATTCTAAATTTTGCCCTATAAAGAGAATAGAAGCTTAAGTAAATCTCTACAAATTCAGGAAGTGTCTATACTCTTTATCCAGATCGAGTCTTACATCATGGTTTATTTCAATATACAAACTTGAAGATAATCTCATCTGTAAACATAGGATATAGAAGATATACAAAGTGATATGTGTACGTTATTTATAAGTACAAAATGGGACTTGTAACTTCAGTTTACAAGCAGCAGATGTATATATCAACAATATGTAAACTGATCAAGTGTAAAACTTTATGCTATGAAACTATGGAGTAAATATGAACCAAACCTGTTGAGAATATTAAGTTATGACTAGAAGCAAGACATAGCAGATGTGCATAACACTATATGCCCCCCACCCCACCCATCCACCTCCAACATAATGGCTAGTGTATGAAAATTGAAAATCTGTTAACATTTATATTATAGCAAAAGAGAGAAACACGTATGAAAATTAAATAACAATTTAACATGCAACTTAATTATTTTCACTTTCTTTATTAAACAATATTAGTACAATGTAGTATATAAGGATTAAGTTTCTGCTTTTACACAAGGGAAATATACATAGCGACACTATATATTCACACATAACATATTTATTTCCATGAGGCAATACTTTGCTCTACATTAACTGACATTCCTGCTATTTCAATGACAAAGTGTTTGTATTGTAAGGTACATAAATTATGTTTACGTGTAAATAATAAATATTGGACAGTGACATGTAAATAAAGTTGTCACATAGAAAGTGTCATATAAAAACAAATAAAAGAAAATATCTTTTTTTTTTTACACTGCGGCAGTAATTTGAAATATTTTTAAACAGAAGATATTATACAAGTACAGTAGTAAAGCACATGTTATTGGTCAAATGTCTTGACTGTAGGTTTCTCTTTCTTTTGTATTTAAAAGTTATTTGAGAGAAATTTTGTCAAACATGCAGTCAGACTGATAACAGTATTAGTGTTGTTCATCTACATAATGGTGAGAGATCCTTAATTCTTCCCCTGTTCAACCTGCATGCCAATTAAGTTATGAATGATATCACAAGTTTGGTTCACCCACAAATGTAAAAAGCTTCCAGTAGAATGCAAGCAAAATAAGTTGTGTACACTATACAATATATTATATACATGTATAGTTACTTAGACAACAGTCACAATTTTAATGTAAAAAGTAACTCCTTTAAAATAAAAGTGGAATGTTTAAGTTTTAGTGCAAATATTCCATCAAGATATGTATGAGTGTACATCTTATTTATAATTTTTTTCTGTAAACGAGCATTCCAACAAAAATGTAAAACTATATCCATACAACCACTACCTATCTTTTGGAATGTATTTGTCCTTAACTATGGAATAAAACAAATATATTTCCAAAAATACTCCACAAAAAACATACATAAATCAACACTTATCGGTAAGTAAAAAGTACGACAATATTATGCTTTATACAGATAAAAGCGAGACAACCTGTAAGTTTTGTAAAATATGGGAAGTACTGTAATCTGTAAATGATACTTTGTTGGTCACTGATTTTAAACTCTAATCCAGCTTTCCTGTTGATTATATTCTGAAATCTTGCCATTTGCAACTTCTTTGCCCTGGTTCGACATTATTTGAGAGCATCTTCAAAGATATGAATTTGTGAAATAGAATAGACTATTGAATAAATGGATAAGAGCAAGTTACATCATCTACTCAGATGTATGGGATACTCTTGGAAACAAGTTTCACTGTGACATCACTAATCTATCCTTAAGTGACCAGTAACAATCAATTGTTCAGTACTGAACATGCGTTGATGGTTAAAAGGAAGTACATGGAATTCATTGTAAAAAAACTCTTTTTCATGTCACCTTGAAAATTTAGCACCACAGCATAATATTGTCAAATGCCTATGACCTTTGACTTTTAGCACTATCAGCAATTTGCTTGGCTTTCTGAATAGCTGCCATGCATTTCTCTCGTCTCAACATTTTGTTCCCGTCAAAGTAACCTTCATTTCTTGGGAGACCATGTGTTCCATCCGGAAAAGTCACAATGCCTGTGAAATAGATTTTCAAAATAATATTTTATGTAGTTGCAATGTTATCCAGAGAATACACATACATTTAGATTGATGGTATATAACTTATGTAATATGGCCTATTGTGATAACTTGTTATGATATGTAAAATTTAACAGAGACAAAACATGCTGTTACCAAGAGGGTCCAGATCTAAATTGGGTAACAGATCTGAGATAAGTTTCCAGAGGGATTTGCGTACCCACTTCAGAAAGGCAAGTGTGAATATTGAGTGAGGATCTTTAGTGTTGTACATGACACCCGACATCCTGGTTGTAAAATGTGTATGATCACTGTGACCTTATTATATTCCAAGACATTCCTCTCGCTAAAGATGTCTTTTTTTGTCAAATTTCATAGTCCTAAAGACTTTTTTTAATCAGGGTAAAAAATCATATTACATGTCATAGTGACTTTGGTATGTCACACAGCACTCCATCTGCATAAGATGTTTCTGTGGAGGAAGTCTGATAGTAGGAGATATACACAAAACATGTTTTTTTCTTTGAACAGGGTTATACATTATAATATAGTTCACAGTGACTTTGTTATCACAATATTTCTAAATATCACGTTTGACATAAAACAGGGTTAGATATATGCACAGAACATTTGTGTTTAAACTGGATCAGAGATGAAAATATAGGTCACAGGGATCTTCTTGTCTAAATCATATTCTGTCCAAGATGTATCATATAGCAGGTTGGTAGCTATAAATAGAACTTGACTTTTCTATGAACAGGGTCAAAGTTCAAAATGTAGGTAGAATGACCTACATGTACTTTTTAATGGATAATGATCCTACAAGTATACAAGATATGACTGCAAGAAAATATACACTAGTAATACACATCAAAAACAAGATGGATGCCATCACACTCATCCTGAAAAACCAGAATGCTGAATACCAAGTAAGACCAACTAGAGACCCCAACTAGAGACCAAGGGTACACACCACTAAAATTAGAACTGATCACCACCTCAGATAGATATGGAGAAATGATAACTTTTCCACCAAAACCAAATGTGACTAGCTGTCAGTTGTCATGTAAATCAAATCAGACTTAAAATCCATTAGGACCTACAAGGGACCAAGGGACATACGTACTGTTTAGAGAAGATATCATGCACTACTTCAGAGGAATAGGGATACCAAGAATTGTTTGTGGATGATGGACAAAAAGGGATTTGATCTGTGTGACAAGATGGGTAAAACAATGTGTTTTTTTTTTAAGTGGAAATGCAACTCTAAATGAAAATCAACTCTTTTCAATACAGTGTCTTCTCAATTCTAACAACTGTTTATATGACCATCTATATATGATACAGACCTGAAGACAACAATGCAGTATGCATGTTAGTCTTGTGCCTGTCTTTTGTAGTCGTGAATGAATAATGGACTTGCTCCATCAATCCATCCATATATAACCAGTTTATTCCCCAGCAGTGCGCCAAACAATAGTTTCCAATTTTTGGGTTTTTTTTTCATTACAGTTTTTATTTTTAGTTCTTTTGTTAGTTATGTGCATTGACTACCCTATTTAAAAGTTATTTTGTTCTTCCAACTTCATTACTTTATATTTTTGTGTCAATGACAGCAGTACAATCTGTTTCACTTTGAATGTCAAATTTCCTCTTTATTTACATTTTCATTTGAATATCTATAATTTAACTTTAAATATTTTGCTCTGATACCTATAATTTTGTTCCCACCACCATTTCTATACTGTTGTTTGTCCACTATACATCACTTCAAGAGAAGTAGGTCAAAATGACCGGTTATTTTGTGACTCACCTTGGCCACGGATCTTGCCCTCCTGAAATTCACCTTCAAATTTCATCCCATCACACCTAAGAAAGGCTCCCATGCCACTGAACTTTCCTTGCTGAAACTCTCCTTCATACCTGCAATTAAAATTTCAACCATTCACAAGCAAAAGCTAAGAAGCAGTCATTTTTGTTGAACTGTTATGGAATATTTAAAAACAGTTATTAACAGGTAGGAAGACTAAAGAACAGCTAAAGAAGTGCTCCTGACTGTCAGTGTAAACAGTTTACTTTGCTTTATGTATACACAATGATATCAATTGGTCATTATGATATCTATATCATGCATCATATTAATAACAAACAGCAGACTCTAACATTCAAGTTATTTTATAAATAATTTCAACTAATATGTTTATTTTTGGACTGTAGTGCTACCACAGTATATAACAAGGTAGTTCTCAATCTCGCCTATTCCTTCCATAATGGCTACTACCAGTCGTTAAACTTGTGACGTTACAGTCAATAGGGTCCCTGTGAGCTTAAGTCATAAATAGGCTGATTAGTAGTAGAAGAACAGATGTTAATCGCACACTTTACACGTCAATATCTCGATATTGGACCAGCCCATTTTTTATGCAGTTTTCAGCCCTTATGATTTTTGATCATATACAATAATACTATTTTTATTTCACAATAAGGGTCAACTGTAAGGCATTTATGGAACAATATGTCCCAGTCCATGTCATGTGGTGCCCATCTAAAATTTGCTTTAACAATAACAGATTCAAATACCTTTTCTTCTTTCTAAAAAGTGTATAAGACGTTGAAATGTAAGGAGAAAGAGTATTGAATGATATGTACAGAAGAAATGTATTAAAAAGCCATGAGGGGTTATCAAAAAACAAAATCAACCACTGTCTTGAACAAGCACTTTCACCTTTTATATTTTTATAACTTTGCTTGGAAAAGTTAATTTCTTAAATGTATTGACAAGTATATTATTTAGGATTTTGCAACCTTTGTTCATATTCTAAATCATAGTAAAAAGAAAAACAAAGCTGATCTTGAAGTATTGATTTCAAATATGGAGTACAGCACCTTGTCTTTGTAAGATACTCCAGCACAGTAAGATAAGGAAGAGATAATGATACATTCTCCAAGTAATCTTTAACACTTATGATACAACTGATTTTGTACCCAAGTCCATGGAAAATCAAGATGTTATCTATCAATATATATTGAAAGAGTTAAAAAAAGACAGGTTCTGTCTTCATATTTGCACATATAAGTACAATGTATCAAGGAACAGAGATTTCCTGCTCACCCCCCCCCCCCCCCAATAATACTTCATTATACAGAATAGCTATCAAACACATAAAAGTTCCTTCAAAAACTCAAAGTGTTACCTTGAATTATCTGAAAACACCATGACACCAAGCCCCTCACATAGTCCATTAACAAACATTCCATAATACTGTGCACCATCTGGAAATTTCATGTGACCGTAACCTTGACGCTGACCATCCTCCGACCATTCTCCATTGTACTCGCTCCCATCTGGATATTTGTAAGCAGTTTTCATGGTAAAAGTTTTATCTTGGAAAAACTGCACACTAAAAATAAATAATGAATATTAAGGCTAAAACCAGAAGCTTCCAAAACTGTCCTGATTTATTAGGATATAAATGGTACCAGTTTACTTATGGTACAAAGTCGTACATGCATAAAAGAAATAACAAGCGTTGGTCATTTCCTGACCAGTTGATAACAGTACTTCCTGTCCTGTCATCATCTTCAACAATGTGGGGGTTCAAAGTCATCAGTATTTTGACATATTCAGTAAATGAACGGAAATTGATGATTTCCTGCTCGGAAACTTTTAGAATTTAAAGATATGTGGATAAGATTGACCTGGCAAATGCCTGAAAAGGAAATCACACCACTAAAAAAGAAGAGAAAAGAAACAGAACTAAAAGTTATCTATGTAGCAGGTGAATACTGTGTACATTATTAAGCATATTATGGTGTGTACAATGAGATTCACTTGGAATGAATTGGTTATATATTTCATATTTTGTTAATTTTAATGACTAATAAATATTTTATTATGAATACGAATGAACTTGTTAAAACATTTTCTACATACTTTTTATCTAACTTCAGGCAGTTGAATAAATTCTTATTGATACTTCAACTATATATAACCATTTATTGAAAAGAACTAACTGCATGTCTACCTAGATACTGACCAGGTAACTCTTGTTACTGGGTATGTAACACTAGTAACTGACCAGCTAGGTCACACTTGACACATTCATGATACCCCAGCAGTTACGATCACTTTCGCTCTCTGCACCTCTGGAACATGTCATGACAAAATTGAAGGTTCCATGTGCGGCACCTTTGGACAAGATGAAAAGATTTATTTGATTCTTTGATTCACATCAAACAAATCTCAGGTCACATAATAGTATATTGTAATGCTTTGAAAGTGGGTGTCACTCTTCTGTAATCTTCAAGAGGAGTATATCAACCTGTGATTGGTTTTTACTCCTGGAACCTATCGATTTACTTCGCCTTTGCCTTCAATTTTGCTGTAACATGTTCCAGGAGTGCAGAAAGTAAAAGTGATTCTAACGCCTGGAGTATTGAGGATGACTTGACACTGACTAAGTAACATTGGAAACTGATAAGGTAACACTAGATATTGACCGAGTAACACTAGATACTGATCAAGTAACACTAGATATTGACCGGGTAACACTAGAAATTGATCAAGTAACAGTAGATATTGACAAGGTAACACTAGATACTGATCAGGAAACACAAGATACTGATCAAGTAACACTAGATATTGACAAGGTAACACTAGATAATGACCGGGTAACACTAAATACTGATCAAGTAACACTAGATATTGACAAGGTAACACTAGATACTGATCAGGTAACACTAGATATTGACCAGGTAACACTAGATATTGACCGGGTAACACTAGATACTGATCAAGTAACACTAGATATTGACAAGGTAACACTAGATATTGACCGGGTAACACTAGATACTGATCAAGTAACACTAGATATTGACAAGGTAACACTAGATACTGATCAGGTAACACTAGATAATGACCGGGTAACACTAGATATTGATCAGGTAACACTAGATATTGACCAGGTAACACTAGATATTGACAAGGTAACACTAGATACTGATCAGGTAACACTAGATATTGACCAGGTAACACTAGATATTGACAAGGTAACACTAGATACTGATCAGGTAACACTAGATATTGACCAGGTAACACTAGATATTGACAAGGTTACACTAGATACTGATCAGGTAACACTGGATACTGATCAGGTAACATTGCATACTGATCAGGTAACACTAGATATTGACCAGGTAACACTAGATATTGACCAGGTAACACTAGATATTGACCAGGTAACACTAGATATTGACAAGGTAACACTAGATATTGACAAGGTAACACTAGATATTGACCAGGTAACACTGGATACTGATCAGGTAACACTGGATACTGATCAGGTAACATTGCATACTGATCAGGTAACACTAGATATTGACCAGGTAACACTAGATATTGACCAGGTAACACTGGATACTGATCAAGTAACACTAGATATTGACCAGGTAACACTAGATATTGACAAGGTAACACTGGATACTGATTAGGTAACATTGTATACTGATCAGGTAACACTAGATATTGACCAGGTAACACTAGATATTGACCAGGTAACACTAGATATTGACAAGGTTACACTAGATATTGACCAGGTAACACTAGATATTGACCAGGTAACACTGGATACTGATCAGGTAACACTAGATATTGACCAGGTAACACTAGATATTGACAAGGTTACACTAGATACTGATCAGGTTTTACAGAATACTGATCAGGTAATACTAGATACTGACAAGGTTACACTACATTCTGCTGGATACTGATCAGGTAACACTAGATACTGACAAGGTTACACTACATACTGATCAGGTAACACTAGATACTGGCCAGATAACACTAGATACTGATCAGGTAACACTGGATACTGATCAGGTAACACTGGATACTGATCAGGTAACACTGAATACTGACATAGTAACACTAGATACTGACACAGTAACACTAGAGACTGACATGGTATCACTAGACACTGACAAGGTAACACTGACTTAGTAACAGTGGATACTGACCACGTAGCGCTTGATACTGACCATGTAATGCTTCACACTGACCATTCAACAGTGGATATTGACCGGGTAATACAAGATATTGACCGGGTAATACAAGATACTGACCAGGCAACAACAGAGATACTCATCAGGTAGCCTAATTGTGATTTGTTTTAACTTGGTAACAAGAAACTTATTTTCGATCATGTGATAATACCAGGGACGTATAATACAGAGTCCCTGATAATACATATCAATCTGCACAGAATATTGACCAGCTGAAAATAATCAGGTAATAAAAGAGGTGTTCTCACGTACATTTTCTTACCTGAGAATATTTAGGAGGTTCAGTAGTATTTATTCTCCTCCTCACTTAAATGGTATGTGTCACCTGAAGACGTCGGCTAAATGAATTAACAGTCGTGACGGGTGTGGTGTTGATTGCAGGTGTTTATTTTCTTCCGTGCTGTGTACTACGTCACAAGAACATGTGTTTCCTGAGGTCATGACGTAGCATTGTATACATGCAACATGGTCGATTGTGGGAACGTACGATGTGTTCAAGAGAGAAAGTCTTTCAAGAAAGAATTGTTGTCTTGGAGTAAAAAAGTTCCGATCGCCGTTGGTAAGTACATATCAGAGCTTTCAAACCGTTTAAAATTACCAGACGAACACATTAATCTGTTTAAATCCAGTGACACGGTGTCGGATCCATTGTCAAAATTTGTGTTCCTTTTAGCTATTCTGTCAATTATCCACTCCCCCCCTACATCGAATGCGACAATCAATTTTAATTTATTTTACATTTGTTTCATGTTTGTTCAAAACTCAAACGTCCAATTTTGCTTTCATTTGTATGATTAGGTAGATATTTCAATATAAAGGTGAGCCATGTAATAAGCTTTCGGCCAGGTAAAAATCGTGGTAATTGATTCAGCATCCCAAATAATACGGTACACCCGCTGAGGAGCCTGATTTTGTGATCGATGACGTCGCTGTATATTACCATAAAAAATAATTAAAATATTGATTCTGGTTTGTTACGAGTAACCTGTTAAATGTTTTAAAATGTATGCTTTAAAATCTGATGGGTAGATAAAGGTGAATGTGAAGAGTATAAAAAACATATGGTTCACGTTTACGAAGATTCAGAAAGCCAAAAATGGACGCTGTTGAAAATTATTGATCGAATGACAAACTCATTGTCGCACGCCGGTTGTTGAGCAGTTTGGCTGTCGTGACCTTCTGTGGAACCGAAGCAATATGCTAATGAGTGTCAATCTCCGTAAATATATTGATTGCCATGCTATATGGACAAGATAGGTAATCTGTTTTCATGTTTCCATGCCAAATTATGCAAAAATTTTGTTGCTGATGCAAATGTTGCAGTTACGCATATAATATGTACAGTGCAAAAACCTGATGATATCATCTATAAGCTTAGATATATTTATATACACATGTTGTGTATAAATGCTACATATTAAGTAACATTTTATCTTATTATACCAAGAAATATCTTGAAATTTTATGGAATGTTTTACTCTTTTGAAATGAAATTTTGTTTTAAAATGTAATCTTTTTATGAGATATTTTCATTTTTTAAATACATGTGTATGCTCAAACATGAATTTCTCAGAATTTGACAGAATGAAAAATAGTAGTAGTAGTAATAATAATTAAAAAAATTGCTAAGCACATTTTAAAGTGTGTAGTGATTTTAGTTTAAAAGTAATTCTAATTGTGATGATTATCTGATTGTCAGGTGTTATCTGTTAGAATTTTCAGTAATTTTTAAATGAATTGAAAATCTTTTTATTTCCTGAACTGAAAATTGTATTGAGATAGGACTGCATCAATTCAAAATGGTTGTCTTGGCCTCCATCTTGAAATATAGTTATCTTGATTTACTTTTACTAGAACCTAAAATCTGTCTGAGAGGGCAAGGTCTTTTGCATTTACAATCATCAGTTAAAAAAGAAATCTTCGTCATATATCATAACACAGAAAGTCTTACACCTGTGGAGCTCCTAATCTATCCGAAACTCTGCCATTGTGATCATTTGTTATATCAAATCACAATGCCTGCCTTTTCATTAAATTCTTGTTATCACTTTACTGTTTCAAAACAAAATGTTACACTATTTAGCATAGTTACTCTAAGTAGATGCAAAGCAATCTGATTGTCATGTTGTCTGACATAAAAAGAGAGACTTAATTTGTGAAATTATACCGTTGTTAGTAAATATTTTAAAGAATCCATGTATTTTTTACATTTTCTTCACTTCCTTTGATATTAGCATCTTGTCCTGATTCCATATTACTGTATTGTAGTTGACAGGTATGGTCTTTTAAAAAAGTCAAATCATTTAGGGCAATTTCAGTAAAACTAATGATTTGGGACTCCAATATTTGAGTCTGGACTAGGCGCTCAAATTTTGAGAGCCTTCTATATTTCTTTATAACTCAACTTATCATGATTTTGGTAATGATGTGCTAATCCCATCTAAGAAAAATGAACAAACATTACTAAAAACCATAGTTTTAATCAATATATTTTTTACACGCCTAACTATGCCTTCTGTACAATTTCAGTGCTTGTTTTCCATTCTGAATGCCCAGATTTGATATGCAAATTGTTGGGCACATGACATGATTTAAACTTAGGAGGTTCAGTTTGGTGATAGAATTTTGTGGTACAGACAGTAGGGATAAAGCACATGTTTTTGTGAAATATAATGTGTTAAGAATGAGTCGCATGCTTTGTTATAGGAGGGACGTAAATGGGATAAGAAACTGTCATTTTTCTGTAAAAGCATAGAACAATTATTTTCAAAATAAACATGCAGTAGAAAGATTTGAAATGTTCAAATTGAATGTGATAACTTTTTTAACAAATGATTTTATTGACGTTTGATATGTGTAAAGCAAAATGCCTATTAAAGCTATTTGCAACTGAAAAACCACCCTATACCATATACCACTTTCAGTAAAAATATAAGGAAAATTGTCTTTAAATTTAGATAGCATTTAAAAGTTGCATAATTTTCCAAATGACATGTCAGTTTTGTGATAAGTCACTTACATTTATTAGTGTTATGTTTGTTATTAAAATGAGATTTTCTTCTCACTGGCCAAAAAATGACTGGTCTGGCTGATCAGTGTGTAGCATTCAATTAAATTGGTTTTATGTCTTTTTACATAAAACATTTATATTTAGGTCATATTTAAAATATGTTTTGTACAATCTTCAGGGGTAGGAATAAGAAAATTACTATAGGTGGCCCTTCGGGCCATCTCTTCAGAAGATTTACTGGCCCTTCTGTCATTGCATTGGCCCTGGGTTTTCTGCGAAATAGGGGGTCTGGGGCTGTTTCTCCTCTTGAAACCTAGAAGCTCTCTGGTGCATTCTAGACAATTTTCAGCTTGAAAAACAGGCTTTTGAAATTGATAATTTTGATGTATATATATTTATATAATGAAAGTACCGCAGCTCTCATATCTGCTACACGTGGAACAGGTCATCCCCTTGTTTTCTTCGTAATTTAGCCACTGAAATTTGTTTCCCCATTTCGGAAGATAAGTCAGAGTACGATTTTCTCTTTCGTATTTTCGTTGTGTTAACTTTTCCTCTGAGGTTTTAGGCTTTTTAGCGGGCGTGGGCTTGAACCCACTGAGGAAACGTTCCATCATGCTATCAGTAGATCGCCATTGTTGTGCTCCATGTCTTTATAGCGCTTGTAAGTTCTGACATACTCTATACACAGAACAAAGCGTAGCAGTGATTAAGACTGTCTGTACCAGCTAAGCCATTAGAAACGAGAGTCGGCAATATGCCTTCAGAGAACACAGCGTCGGTGTCGTTCAGATTTATTGATTTGACTCATTTGGGTATTACTAGCAGAATAGAGGACAAATTTTGAGCTTCAAAAAGTACCACAAGCCCGACGGACCGGGGCTTTGCATAACCTGTTAGCCCTTCATTACAATAGATGGCGCCGGGCAAACAGGCTTGTGGTTATTTCGACCCCTGATTTTCAACCTTAGAAATGTATGAGAACACATTCAGTTTCCTGCCCGATTGGTTCACTATTTGAATTCTTTCCATCTCCCATAACAACTTCCTATGAAGAAACCCTTTACTTTGCAGCTAATAATACAGTAAATGGTTTGATGTGATGTTGATTGCCCAAGTTCAATTTCCTACACTTCTTATAACTACAACTTCTTACTGGGTATGACTTTGCTTTGGCTAGACTGGTGTGTACCCTATCAAAAGTGGGTCACTTTGGCTAGACTGGTGTGTACCCTATCAAAAGTGGGTCACTTTGGCTAGACTGGTGTGTACCCTATCAAAAGTGGGTCATTCTGACCTTCATTTTGATTTTAGCCATTCTGAAAGGAAGAGTTTGTGGAAGTGTTATTAACTTCATACTTGTGGTATGGATTCACCTTGATGTGATGTGTATCATAGTAGGTCAGTTTTTGTATGTTTTTACCTACATCAAAGGAAAAACTTCACTCTTAAGACATCGGTTGACCTTAAAGTGCACCCTAAACGTTTTGCTATATTCACCAATGAAATACTTCACATTATACAATAAAATGGTAAGAAAGTGTGAAGGTCATAGTTATAACTTTGTTTCAGAGATATTATGATTTTCTGAAATGCACACATTTGGCTCAGCAGCAATTGCATAGGTAGCCAACATTTGTGACATTACAAGTTCAATGCTGTCTAAACATCCCTATTGAAATGTATCGGGGAGCTTCTTTTGTGATGTCTGTACGTAAGCTAATCTTAACTGCTTTTGCAATATATTTTGTTGACACTTCGCAGGTGCTACATGCATATAAAAATGACTTTTTATAGTTTAAATGATGAAAGGGGTTGCTATTGAGTAGACAAAAGGATGTACTGTATTTTGGTGTCCAAACATCCCTGCGGATGCTTTATTTATCTTAATAAATCTGTTAATCTAGTAAGTGTAAATATACTTTTGTGGTGTCTAGAAAATATGACGAACCCTAAGTTTATATAGCACTCACAATCAATTAGAAATTCAGTCAAGTCAACAAGTACGGTAGAAAATAAGTGTCCAAAGTTCGGTGTGTGCACATCACGTAGCTATAGGATTTTCATCAAAGATTCTATGGGGTCGCCATCATTGTTTGTCAGGATTATCTGGTGCTCAAAACTGACACAAAAAGGATTTGACGATTTATTCATGAACAAAAATAATAAATAAGATAATTACTGTATATATCAATGCAAACTATCCATGTGAGTATCATGCAAAACCTGGACAAATTGTTTGAAAACGTGATAGAAACTAGACAGACAGAAAACTAATGATTTGCTCAGTGGCCTGTTTGGGACGTTGAGAAATATGTGGATTATAATTTGGTTAACTTTTGGACAAGTTTCATTTTATTTTCCCTCATGTCGGGTATCGTGAAGAAGCAGAAACCATGAGCACATGTCTGTTTTTATGTGTATTAGCGGAAGTTAGCATTGACATATTAGTTTGCAGATTGTGGATTGACACTTATCATCGGACTATGGATTTAATTCAATATTAATTAATATTTGTCTTATTAATGCTTACGAAGAATATATCGTCAAATGAATAAGAGGGAATTGCCTTGCATGATTATATTACCAAAATGTGCAGTGAAACACCATTCTTCTTTAGATAATACACATTACATGTGATTCCATTCCATGCTCTTTACTGATTGCTTACATATACAGAGTTGGGGCCTCAATTTATGTCAGCTGACGCATGCTCGATGTGAAAGAAAAGTTGACTTGCGTAGATCGTATTTACCTGGTTTGGTCATGAATAGGGAGATAATGACTTGTACCTGTTCAACAATGAACACTGTTGATTAGGGCTAGTGTGAAGACAAGTGCTTGAGTACGGAAGATAAATGGGATGATTTGAAAGGAAAGTGAATGGCAGCGTGAGGTGTCTGATGTCAAAAAAAACAAATGAAAAGATGTACAAACATTAGGCTGTAATTAAACAGAAGGTTATTAAAAGTCAGTAAATGAGATGAAAACAAATTATGAGGAGAATACTTTCTAGTTTTGTACTTTATATGTTGGTCTGGCATGTTAGCTGAACATTCTGAGATGGATTTGTTGACTCCTACAGATCGATTTTGACAGAAGTTTGAGGTGTGTACATTATGCAAGTAGAAGCTTTCTTAACCATTTTCAGCCCTAAAAAGTACCTGCTCACATCACATAGGCGCCCACATTATGCAGGTTTGGTATTATAAAAGGGTGAAACAACAAGTGTGTATAGTATTTCTGACATAGCTCATTTTGAATAGTTGCATTGATAAAAGGTATTGAGAAAGGTAATTTTGTTGTATTTATGTTTTATGCAATCCAGATATTTTATCTCATAAATGTATAAAACAATTTTAGAATGTTGTAGAAGGAGAAATGTCTGTTTTCAAATCTCACAAATAAGTAATTCAGCAGTGGACTACATGAGCAGGTTTGCACATTATATTCAGTAAGCTGTGTTTCTGGAGGACACTTGGCATCTTTTAGCAATCACCCAGATCAGCTGATAGCTAGCTATGCTATTTATACCCAGGGCCAAATTGCACACCAAAAAAAGACTCAACAATACATATATACCTCCATGGGAAGGATATAAACTGTGTTTTCAAACTCGTTCATGAAGTAGTTGAGGCTGTTATTTTATAAATACATGTATATAAGATAAAAAGAAAATGCAAAAATGTGGTATGTTGTGTTTTAATGGACAATTTGGAACCATTCAGATATTAATATGCTTCTTATCTGTTTGGAAGAAAAAATATATGATCTGTACTGTTCAATTTATCTGCCTTTGACCATGTACTTTAAAGAAAAACAGTTATTTGGATAAACAAACAAGTAATTGATTGGTTATCTGTAGCCAGTTGTAATGTTGAAATTTCATCTTGTCTCCATGCACTATACGGTAAAAGGTTTCAAAGTCATACTTAACTGGGCATGATCAGTTAGATGTATCATCTCTCAAATCACATTCATTCTTCAAAATGATCATATGAAGATCTTTGCCTATATGTCTTAAACTTTTAAACATGACCACTCAATAAAAGAACATATACCATTCTGTGCTGATATACCAGTTCCTTTATTTCAATGCACATCATACACAGCATTTATAAATGTCCTCCACACTAATTAATTCTTCAAATTGGTTCTTATACATTTCTTCATTATCATTCTTGGGGACATTGCCATATATTGGAAATCGGAAGAAACATAATCTACACCAATTCACAAGTTCTGTTTATTCCACCTGCTTATATCCCTTTGATGTCATACCTTGACACAGGTATACAGGTGTATATTGGGCCACTATAGTTAAAATATATATCAAATGTTCCATACAAATGGTTAATCATATGTATGTACGGTGTGTATGAATAGTTCAGTATGATAGTTGTATGGTGAATATGAAACATTTACTGGAACAATTAATTTGCTATATATAAATATTAAATAACTTATTTATATATCAATACAGAGGTATGTTGTATTTGTTAAACCACAAAGGGTAATTCACCAGACCCTAAGCATCTGGCAATTACAGAAGACACAAGAAATCTGAGGGTAGACATGTTCCTTCAAAATTAAAAGTAAGATTTCAATTTTTGGGGTCAAAATTATGTTCTCAGGAGTCAAGCGAAATGTTCTGTGTATTGTATGTATATTCTACGGGTTTACATATATTCATTTATCCTACTAAGGACAAGACAAGTCAGTTTAATTTGTATCAATTAAAGGTCAGGAATTAGAGAGTACTGTAATTAGGTAATATCAACTTATCACTTAAAGTTTGTGTTCACAGGTCTAGAAAGAATTGCAGAAGAATTGGCTGGTCAGACTCACATCAAGGAGTTATTGTTGCCATTTAATGGTAAGTTCATTTGAAAGTAAAGAAAGGAAATGTAATGTATTCTTAGAATAAATAAAAAGAATATTCAGATTCACGAGTTATATGGGCAAGCTTTCAGGTCTCTACTCATGATTATGGTCAAGGGTCTAAATTACATACATACAATTAGTTATGTTTATATTAGGGATGTCAACCAGTTTATGACTATTTCACTCTGTACAGCATTATTGGAATAGAAAAGTAATACTTGAAAAATCATCTTTGCAGTTATTAGTTATCAGCATTTGGTTGATGGCTAAAATTCATCAATTCTTCGTCAGCAAAATCATTAGGCTAAATGTAATTCAGGTATGGTTTTAACCTATAGTTTTACATTGTGACCAGAATTTTGTCAGTTAAAATGTGGAGATATAGTTTAGGTTATTTTGATTGCTATGTTAGTGATGGTGTACTTGAGATATAGTTTAGGTTACTTTGATTGCTATGTTAGTGATGGTGTACTTGAGATATAGTTTAGGTTATTTTGATTGCTATGTTAGTGATGGTGTACTTGAGATATAGTTTAGGTTATTTTGATTGCTATGTTAGTGATGGTGTACTTGAGATATAGTTAAGGTTATTTTGATTGCTATGTTAGTGATGGTGTACTTGAGATATAGTTTAGGTTATTTTGATTGCTATGTTAGTGATGGTGTACTTGAGATATAGTTTAGGTTATTTTGATTGCTATGTTAGTGATGGTGTACTTTGTAAAAATTCATTATCCTGTTGATATATTTATGAGAGAAATTTTTGTTGATTTCAATATTTGAATATTAATTTTTGTTCTTATATAATGCAATGTCAGGTAATCGGTTATTTTAACCTAAATAGATCAAGACACCATTGTACCATATGTGGATTCAATGTTTATGATATAAGTCCCCTACCAGGAATCATATGGGACTATAGTTTAGCCTTGTGTCTGTCCTTCAGCTACCTTATCCGTGCCCTACCTTCATTCTTAGAATATGGGTTCACCTTGGTGAGACTGTGTGTATGTGTTGAAAAGTAGGTCACTCTGACCTACATTTTGTCCTTCAACTTACATAAAAGAAAATGTTTGTCTGGACCCAATCTTCTACACTACTATTCACAGGAACTTAATACTTCGAATATAGTGTCAGCTTGGAAAAACAGAGTGGTGTTATGAAAAAAAGTCACTCTGACCTACATTTGACATTTTTTGACATTCAGAGAAAAAGATGTGTCCAGGCTCTATATTCAACATTACAAATTACAGGAACTTTATAAATTGAAGATGGGTTCACCTTGGTGAGATGATGTGTTGTGAAGGCCTTTATGACTTACATGTTGACCTTTGACCTATATCAAAGAAAAAATGCATTCTCACTATCAAGAGCCCTTTTTGTTACAGGCGCCTCATACTTGGGGTATGGGTTCATATTAGTGAGACCTCAAAATTAGGTCAATTTGACCTACATAAAACAAAGTGTTTTGGGCAATATCTCCTGTTACTGGTCACTATAACCTTACACTTGGTGAGGCAGTGTGACAGTAGGGGACTATAATTTGTTTTCTTGACTATGCTAATAGTGTTCTGAAGGATTAGGACAATTGTTCTAATGTAAATGGTTTTTTTATGTTTTTATAACAGAGCTCTGAGTTTTGAAATATGAGACTTTATTTGTGTCTTCACTTGTTACTATTTCCCATGTTATATTTTCACGCTACTTTCGCATTCTTTTAAATAGGTCTTAAGCAAGACAATGAGGCCTAGAAATTAATACTGATTGCTTTTGAGAGTTTTGTATCATATTGAATTGCCATGAAAACGAAGATTCAAATAGTGAATCATACCAATATTTTAAAAGTAATTTCTTTTGAAATGACATCCTAAGTATATATGTATGAGACCTATTTTACAGCGAAAAAAAGACAACTAATACTGATTTCATTGTTAGGAACTAGGATAATTTTTCTCTTTCTAGCAGTTTATCACCCTGCGCTGATCATGACATGTATTTTGTTATCAAGCTCACAATTTTAAGGACCCACTATATCTCTGAGTATTAAGACTCATCAAAATTTTAGAAATTCCGTGCTGATTCTGCTTGAAAAATAGCCAATGAAAATAACTGCTCAGTCATTCACAAAATGCATTATCATAAAATAGTTGGTGTTGTTCTGGTATAAATGGATTTTTGCTTTCAATTCTTACTACTGTATTATTTATGAGATGCTTCTTAAATGCACAACATATAGATTCATATTTCATAATTCAACATATTTGCAGACCTGGAAACTGATGAAGTAGAGGATTGGGACCCTGATAGAAAATGTTCATTCTGTGAAAACAGGGTACAACTTGTTTTTGTAAGTACTTTTATCACCTTAGTAACAACTTTATGTTGTAACAATTATTGTATTTGTTGGGAATATTAGAGATAGTCAAACTCTTCCAAACTTTGATAGTTAGATTCGTGCTAATTCATTATTTACTTTTTCACATCGGTTTAATTTTAAAATGTATGTGTTTGATACCAGTTTAACTGTAAACAAATACTGATAATACTAAAGTCAAAATTTCATTACAGGAAGCTGTAGAACAACTTATTGATGAGGCAAAAAATGGAAAAGCAGTTCCGGACAATGCAAGTAAGTAAGGGGTGCCAACTTGTTAATAGAAACTTGAATTGAACATAATCTACCACAAGAAGTTTTTGAGACTGTTGCATAACTCTGCTGATATGTTTTAAATGTGTTACACACTTTGAAAATTAGATGATTCATTGCTCAAGTATAATACATGTCTATATAAATGTGACTTTCTGCTACCCAGGTATGCGTTATCTGCAGGAGATTTTACCATACTGTCCCCAGTTTTACACACAAAACATGGGACGAGAACTACTCGCAGAACTCAAATCTTCAGCACAGAATGTAGAAAATACAGAACCAGACCCCAACGTTACACAACAACCTCCATTGGTAGAGCTTAAGATTCCACATGTAGTGACTCAGGCAAGGTTAGTGTGTCAATGTACAATTATCAATAATTCTTAATATTTGTTACAAATTGTTACTTTTTCCAAAGCATTACTGACTTGTGCTAGTTTTTTTTTTATCATGTAACTTCCTGATATCAAAGTACTCCTATCTTAGAATAAAAAAAGTCTTTGTTAGTAAATGAAAAATAATGACATGGTGTTTATAAAACTCTGAAAGAAAAGACCCCTCTGACATCCTGTAAAAAGTGATGATGGACATTTACTGAATATCAGTCCATGAAGTTTCAGTTTCTGGACTTTCTGATCCAACTTTCCAGAAATGTATAACAATAAGAGGTTTTGGAATGAGAAAAAAAGAATGAACAACAGGTATATATGAATATGTGAAGGAATGAAGGAAGGAGAAGGGAGGAACATTGTTGATTTTAAGTTTAGTGATTATATGAGTGTTTTGATTGTAACAAATAAACAATAGAAACATGAAATACATAACAGTGTTATATAGAAAACATTATGTACTATTTATATACAGTATTATATAGAAAACATTATGTACTATTTATATACAGTATTATATAGAAAACATTATGTACTATTTATATACAGTATTATATAGAAAACATTATAATTATATATAGTGTAAATATACAGTATTATATAGAAAACAATAATTATGCAATATAATATAAGTATATACAATATCTTCCAGAAAACATAACATATATAATTACATACAGCGCGGGACAGAAACAAATTATACATGATAATTACATATAATATAGGACAGAAAACATAATACGTAATAACTATATAGATTACAATCAGATAATCTTCAAGATTTAAAATTTTTGATATAAACATTTTTTGGTCTACTTATAACTATATGACGTAAATGAAACTGACAAGCAAATTTAGAGAAACATTTTTGTTGTGATTCAGAAATAGTTAATGATAACAAGGAGCATATATATCTTCCCTGTCTATTGGTTTCTAATGGATTAATGCTCAGTACTGAAGATTTTTGATGGTTACTAGTATGTTGGACTGAACTTAATGCACTATGCACACTTTGTCCCCAGTTAAGCAGTTCTTGTCCAACAAAGCTTTCATTCATATCATGTTTCATTTTACACAACATCATTTTCTTCATTCTTTAAGCCGCGTGGCCCAATGTATTTTGTGTATGGATAAAGAATGGTTATTTTCTACGATTTTACAGTAAACACAAGAAGGAGAACATTCCCAACTGTAAAAAGAACTACACAGATGATGAACTCACAGAGGCTGTGTCTGAGATACAAAATGGCAAATTAGGAACTAGGCGAGCCTCTGCTCTCTACGGAATCCCTCGCTCAACTCTTCGTAATAAGATATTCAAAATGGATGCAGACAAAATGACATTGTTGCATGACGATGCTTTGGATGATGAAGATAGCCAAGAGTCTGGTATTAAATGGTCAGAGCTCATCCAGGCCAATGTATTGCCCCTGGCTTTACCCCAACTTCCTCCCCCCGCCACATGTGACTTGAACGAGGTCAAGAAAAGTGAGACAGATGACAATACTGAAAGGAAATTAGACAACATCCGTAAAAAACACAATCTTTCGGGGAAAGAGGAACTTTATTATGAGATGTATGAACACAAATTAAAAATGCCAATTTTGAAAGATATTATACGAAAACTTGCTGAAGAGAGATTAGAAATGGAGAGAAATGCATCTAGAGTAAGAGATTTGAAGCATGATGAGATAAAACTTGAAGGATTAGGTAGTCTCAAGCGGCCTTCAGTTGGGAGGACTGATGAAGGATCAGAACCTCCCACACCATCTTACCAAGATATCATCATTCCGTCCTACAAGTCCACTAGGAGTCCGATCAAGCAGGAACATGCCTTCACTAGTTCACTTGACAAGTTGGAGAACACTTCTATTGGTGATACATTAAAAGAAATTATCATGAAAACAATTAGTGAAAAAGTAAAATGTAAGACCCACCAAGTGGGTGACTTAGGCCGTGGTCATAGTGACCTAGTTTTACGTAAGAGCCATCATCAAACATCATTCCAGCCAAATGGTGCCTCTCCTGCCAAGCAAATAAAGAAAGAAGACAATGACAAAAGGAAGGGACTGGTAGATTCTACAGGAACTCCTGCCAAAAAGACGCGCCCCAAAAGAGGTCAGTACCGTAAGTATAACAGTCAGCTGCTAATGGAAGCAGTTAAGGCTGTGCAGCGTGGAGAAATGAGTGTACATCGTGCAGGAAGTTATTATGGTGTACCACACTCCACATTGGAATACAAAGTGAAAGAGCGACACTTGTTGCGACAGAAGAAGATTAAGGAACAACAGCAGCAGAAGGAAGCAGCAGCTAACACTACTAAGAAGAGTTCTGTTTCTGTGGATGCTGGAATCACCAGTAGCTCCAATAGTAGAAGTGGACAGGGCATTAAAGGCACACACAGTAACAGTAAGGGAGAAGTGTCAAAAAAACTAGAAACTCCAGAAAAATCAGAAGGAAGCTGTCCAGCTTGGTACACATCATACCTAGTGGGTGCCTCTCACTTGGATGCCTCCCCAGGGATGGGATTCCCTTCAGGATTTGCCTTAAATACGCCTGCCTCAGAGTTGCTGCGTAAACTTCAACACAAGGTTCAGAGTAAGTCAGATTCTTATGGTGAAGATAGTAACTACAGTAAAAGAGGGGTTGGAGCTCTCGGGGATGGCTTCTTCTTCATCAATTAAGTAGTTGTCTGTCCAGTTTGGTTATTCCTCTCCCTAAATCTGTCTTACCAGTTGTCATAAGAACCAATTGTACCTGGCAGGTGCTGGAGTTTTGTTGTCAGTTTTTATGGTCAATAATGATAGCAGTGACCTTGAGCTATATCTAGAATTACTGTATGATGTCATTTATTGGTGTGGTCATGGATTGAAAAATGAGTTGAGCTGATACTTAGGATTTTCTTAAAAAGTTTATTCAAGTATTTTTCATCTTTTAAAGAATTGTTTTCAAAAGTCTTTATTTCCAAAAATACAATAACAATTGAACCAATAGATTTTTCACACCAATGAATGTAAAATAAAGAAAATGTCTTGCAGGAATATTATTTCATATAATTTCATAAGTGTTTATTGTAAATTCCCAGATCATGTATGCAAAGTTCCTCTGAAATTAAGGTAGAGGTCTGATTGTGACCATAGTTTGGCAAGTTGATGATAAAGTTGATTGCCGCTGATTCTATAACTTGCTCCCTATTGCTACTTAGACATACTGGTAAAGACAGGTTTGTTTACAGGAACAACATCTTTAGCTATGTACCTTGCCTATCAATGCTCAAAGATATAACTTATTAATATTTATAGAATTTGAGATATTATAGAATCTCTAAAAAAATGCCAGGCATTTAAACTGTTGAAAATTTTACATTTAAGCAGCAGAATTTTGTTCTTAATAAGAACTCTATTATTTTCTGTAATATTCAGTTTTTGGACTGTGTTATATAAAATTGTAGCATGACACTAAATCTCAGTAATAAGAGACAAAAAATAATAAAAAGAACATGTATTATATCAAGCTGTATTGTAATGATATACAGTTACACAATATGATTTGTGCATATGTTAAATGAGTTTCAAAGCTGTAATTTACATGATTGTACAATAAAGTTTTATGTAATACATGTATAACAACGTTCCATTATATAGCATATATGATAATGTCCGGTGTATTACATCAATGTCAAATTTCTTCTCTGTAGTACATGTGCAACAAAATATATATCATACAACAATGTTCTACATAATAAATTGGTAATGCTGTATGTAATAAATAACTAATGAAATTTTGTGCTACGTAATACATCAGGTAAAAGGTTTAGTTTTGTAATTGGTTGCACTGTAATAGAGGTCTGCTTTGTGTACCAAAGTGGCTCTGATTACAATGCTGAAATCCCAATATTTAGAATATGATATGAACTTCCTGTTTGAAGTTAGGCTTCATTAATGTTTTTTTATCATGATTTTTGAATGATGAGACTGGGGAGATTTAACAGATCAACTAGTCCATATTTAACTTAAATAATCAATTGCAACTTATCATAAGTGATCATTAGTACAGTGATATTTCCCTACATGTGTCAATAGAATAAATTTCATCAACATTTTTCTGTACTAAGGATATCATTTCCCAACTTACTTCAATCATAGGGAAATTGTGGGTATGTTAGAAAATTTTGGACATTGTTACCTTAAATTGTATGTGGTATATAATTGTAACAAAGAATGTAATAATCTAGATGATTTCTACACAAAGATGATTTAATTATTGTATCAATTACTATAAAGATGATCTTATTCAAAAGGATACTTGTGACCAACGTCCCAGCACAAGTGATATTGTATATTTCAAGACAACCAGAAGAAACTACATGTGCTAGGTATTTATAAGATTTTTTGAGGAATTGGTGGAAGAGGAGTACGTTTTACGGTGACATGTAGGAAGATAATGCTTTCCACTAAAGAATAAGATTATTAATAAGTTTTTAAAAAAAATTATTTGCCAGGAAAATCGGGAAGAATAATCTGGATAAAATCCACAAGACTTTCACTGAATCAGTCTACAGCACTATTACTATTGCAATTTGTCTTTGGACTTTTTTCAGACAGGTTCATAGAAATCCACTTTATACATGAACATACCTGTTTTTATTGTTATGTGTTCTGTTAGTCATATAAATGTGAACAGAAAGAAATTTCATTTTTTTCTGCATCAACAACATTTAATGATTTTTTTTATTTGAAAGATTGTTTGTTACCGATGTCGTAAGTTTTACATAATACACGTAATGTATTTGTGCAATTTTTAACATATTTTTTGGGGGATGGATAATTTCACTGTGTTTAATATATGAAAGCTTGAGTACCTTCACTTGAAATCTACATCACATTTCTGTGTTCAGTATGTAGGTATCACAAATTTCTATGAGTTTTTCATCAGATGGCAATTTGATTTATGAAATGTAATCTGTTTACTTGTTTTTAAAACATCTGTATGCTTAACTACACTTTTTATGACATTCCTATTGGTACATTAATTAAAATGTATATATTTTATTTTTCATGTGCAATACTACATTCTAGTCCCTTTAATTATTTCTTATTTATTTCAATCTGATGGTAATGTTAAGATATATCTAACGATCTCACAAGTGTGATATTAAATTTTGGTAGCAAAATAATTTATTCAATGGGCTTATTTTGTCAACGGTTGGATTGACCCAAGCATCCTTCTATAGATTTGTAAATTGAAAAGTGCAGGACTTTATAAATCTATTGATCCATGTATAAATTGAATATTAAATTGGATACTAGTCCTGATTAATAACTCCATGGAACTGGTACATTTGTTTTGGTACGGAGATTGATAACTGGTACATTTGTATTGGTACGGAGATTGATAACTGGTACATTTGTTTTGGTACGGAGATTGATAACTGGTACATTTGTATTGGTACGGAGATTGATAACTGGTACATTTGTTTTGGTACGGAGATTGATAACTGGTACATTTGTATTGGTACGGAGATTGATAACTGGTACATTTGTTTTGGTACGGAGATTGATAACTGGTACATTTGTTTTGGTACGGAGATTGATAACTGGTACATTTGTTTTGGTACGGAGATTGATAACTGGTACATTTGTATTGGTACGGAGATTGACATTTGTATTGGTACGGAGATTGATAACTGGTACATTTGTTTTGGTACGGAGATTGATAACTGGTACATTTGTTTTGGTACGGAGCTTGATAACTGGTACATTTGTATTGGTACGGAGCTTGATAACTGGTACATTTGTTTTGGTACGGAGATTGATAACTGGTACATTTGTTTTGGTACGGAGATTGATAACTGGTACATTTGTATTGGTACGGAGATTGATAACTGGTACATTTGTATTGGTACGGAGATTGATAACTGGTACATTTGTATTGGTACGGAGATTGATAACTGGTACATTTGTTTTGGTACGGAGATTGATAAGAGGTATTGGTTTAGAGATTGAAAACAGGGATTGGAACAGATTTTGATTACTGATACCGATGGCTAGAGAGACTTATTACATTATATAGTACATGTACAGAATTTTGAGTTACGTTTTTTTTTTATCTGAGGATAATTACTGTTATATAAATGCAGACATTACCTACTCATCTGATATGTAAGAATGTTGATGTTTAATTCCACGCTGTACTGCAGTATTGTGTATTGTCCATTATTCAAGTGTCTAGTCTTTGGTGCCTACCTTTTTATCGTATTGAAATGGCAATTTTTGCTGCCGTATTTGTTTTCATAAATTTTGAATTTTATTTTCTAGTCAGACTGCAAAATATCAGATGTTTGTACAGAAAGCAGTGTTTCTATTTTCTACAACATTTTCATGAGTATTGTTAGTTTAATATAAAAAAAATGATTTTTTTTATCTTTGTGAATGCCAAAGGGTTTCATATCTGTTGTTGATCCGTATGCTTGCAAAACTTGAATACATCAATCTTCTGGTGTTCATGATCTAAAACAGTCATTGAAAATTGAAAATTACTTCTAAAAATACTGGAATAATTTTTTGATTAATGAAATGACAACTTAATACCTTTTTTGTGTTTCTTAACCATTAAAGGACCGCTATTGAGCAACCAGTGATCTACTAATTCATTAAGTGTCATAGAGTTTCTAACAGTTGTGCATTGTGACAGTGCCTGTCAATCCTTAAATGTGTTCTATTCTATACTACATCCATGAGGGTGGAATCATAAGAATGGATGAACTGGTTTTCATGTTTGTATATCCAGTCTATGGAGAAAATATAAATTCTTCTTAGTATTTATATTAAAGACCTGGTCCAAGTTATATAAGCATTAAAAAGTATGGGTTTTTTTTTTTATAAATACATTGTATGTATTATCTGAATTTTACAATAAATGATAAAGAGAAAACTGTTAGCATTAATTATTTAATAATAAATCATGACATGGCTTTTTGCTTTTTTATAATTATTTCAGAATAATTATAAACTGATATTTTAATGATGATTTTTCGATTGTGCAATATATTGAAATGATTGAATTTTTTTCCATTATACATAAATTCTTTAATACATTTAATTTACAGCGAATCAATCTGAATTGTACCTGGTCACAATCAAGTAAATACCAGTGCAGAATGATAAGACTTGTCTGAAAGCAAGCATTTCAAATTTCAAATGAATATTTAACAAGAAAATTGCGAGGCGATGGGGAAAAAAATATAATTAGCATTGTGTGTGGAAAAAATTACGTGTGGTGCATGTGCTTGGTAATGTTAACTTAAAACTATATCTAAATTTGTAGTACCTTTCAATTTAGCTGAAATCAGATCACTCATTTCACTGTGTACTAAGATATCTCATGGAATGTACAAGGGACATAGTGAAATGAGGTCTGTTTTGAATTAGATTGCTGTAATTTTTGTTATGACAACAAATGTCTGTCTGTACAGCCTGGTGTACAATGTGGTGTCTTGAAAACGCTTCAGAAAGCCGTCCTAACATAATATTTGATTGTTTTCTAGATTGAGTGAACATTTTGTGGGTTTTACAGGTTTGAGTTGTGTGTTATAGTTCAGATATAGGTGTTTTTATGTAAAAGTTAGATTATTCAAATATATATGTGTGTGGGTATTGGTGTGGATTTGCGTGAGTGACATTTT